GGTTCTTATTACAACTCTGGAGGCCACCCTTACGACGAACCATAATTTCTTGCGTATAAGTATGTAGTTATTAATAGCTTGTCATTTCATTTATTTACCACACGATGGAATTGTTATCCAAGTGCTTTAGTTCTTCTACACATATCAGAGATGTGTGTTAAACTTCTTTACATTTTATTGCGAATAATTGCAACCTTGACGGTTGAGAACTCGTTAAACACATAAAAAACTCACTACTACATATTAATTATTGCTCAGTCATTGGCCGTGTGATAATTGGAGAAAGGTTAGACAAAAGAGCTTCAATTTACATTAAAGGCCTCACAAAATGTTTAATATTTAATATTTTTATTTAGATTTTTTAGAGATTGCTTGAGTCATGAAATGAATATCGGGTATCCACAAAAGCCCAGTGACATTTTTAAAAGGCCCTGTACTCGAGTTGGAATGGGTATACTTTGAATTTGAAATGTTTGTTATTTGGAATTATTGTACATTTACCTTTATGCCATACTTTGTATCCACAATTATTTTATAGTCGCTTGGGGTAATGCTTGTGCAAAAGGAATGAGCATTGGTTTCGTGGCACCGACTTGAGTTAAAATATTAAGAAAAATGATCCAAGGCGGGCGAAGAAGCTATATTTGCGGGACTTCGTAGTGGGAAAGCGAATGATAGATTGCACTCATAAAATTTCGAGTTGTGCCAAAACAAGAGCCATTCATAATGTTTTTCGGCCATCCAAATTTTTCATCCTTATCCATTGGGAATAGTGGACGATATGATACCGGCAGATAGGCCGAGTCACCTACATCACATTACAGCCATCTATATACCATTCATAATCCCTTTATGGTCCAGTCTCTGACTTCCTTGTCGTTATTACTGTAGGCATTATTGCAGCACTTTTACTCGCAAATCCAACTTTTCGTTTCCATCTATGCTATTTCTGGGACAGGCTGAGCAAACAACGTTCTGGAGAAATAGTTCGTACTTTTGGCCATATCAAGGTGAAAGCACATAAACGCAATACCAGCGCACAAAAGTCTTGTTTACTGCCAATCAGTGTGGATTATAAATATGTTTATAATTTCTTCTGTGCATATATTTGCCACATGCGTACTGATAAATTTATACAGGGCAAACTTTAAAAAACTTATACGTCGTCACAATCCAGAATACTTAATAAATCACTTTAGCGAATATTCAGACAGATTGAAGTAGCCATGTTTCAGCATTATTACTAAATAAAATTTTACATAAATGATAATCATAGTTTCGTTAGTTTATTATTGGGTCATAGAATGCAATAGCATGTCAGGATTACGTATTATGGTAGCCTGAAATAATGAAATGAGAAAGCGCAATAGTTCAGAATGTTGCAAAATAAAAGTGTGGACTGGTGCAGTGCAACCGTCTAGAACTGTAGTTTCCGTGTGAAGAAGGGGTTTACAGCATTAGAGAACAAACAAAAATTTATATTACAATTTCAGCAGCGACCAGCGATTTATTTGGCAATTGTCCACATCTTCTTACCCTCACACACTCAGCCTTTTATGGGCTGGAGAAAGCAGCAGAGGGAACTGTGGTTAGGAGAGACCTAAAGAAAGAAGGAAATCGGATCGAGCACACACAAAGCATGACAACAATATATTGTCTGATTGCATATTTTATTTCTCTGTCACTGTCTCCTTTATTATAGCGGAGATAAAATACTGCCTTTCTCTTCAGGAAACTGGGTTCCGGTACAAGGTTGCAAAAATTAGCAATTGTTGTATGTATTTGGTTCCTAAACAGAAAACTCTTCCTGGATTTGCATACAGTTTAAATTTCATTGCAACCTATTAACATGATGCAATTACATGGCTACATAAATATAAACACAGCAAGGTAACCACTACTATGGATAGTCCCCAAAAGGTCACATGTTAGTAAATAAGTAGTATTATGCATTATCCGATCGTCATTGACCACTTATTAGTGACACCGTTGGCTATGTAAATTTATAAAATTTCTAAATAAATTACTGATTATCATCATGGCACGTATGATGTTTTGTATGTTGACCACTAATCCTAAATTAATGCGGTCATTAAATTTTGGGAAAAATGTATGTAGTACGCATTTTCAGATCCTTAATATTATGAGACCAGAGGATGCTTCCGTCCTCAAGTTTATAATAAATCTCACATACACATATATTACATAAGGAAGTATACATCTATGTACGTGTGTGTGATGTTGGTTCCCTTTCCCCACCATCCACCTTGTCTCCCTTTCAAGCAATCTTGGGAGCAATATTATAATAATGTAGTGAAATAAAATAGAAAATGTTCCTCTTGTCAAACTAACGGGAGAATGCTTCAACTAAATCGATGGATTACTTTTGCTTTGATAGGATAGAGTTGAGGAGAAAGTGCCTTTCTCCAACATTCTCTTGGTTGGCTGGGTATTGGAAACCTGCGAGTTTATCTTTGATGCATAGTTCGATACGGTTGGATTCGCCTGAATGGCTGAATACATTTGGTTACCATTCCAAAGCAGCATCAGAGCAGAGTAGTCAAGTCATGACATTTAAGTTTGTTCAAGTTGCGAGAAATGTATTTGCATGTGTGTACTTTTACTTGCCTCCGAAGCGACTTGGCGTCTTTATAGTCATTCAAATTTTTAGAAAAAAGATATTTGGTTTCAGGTATTGGGTGGCAGCACTTGATATCCAATTTAATATATTGATAACCAAACCAAGAACATAATCATGAATTTTGGAGTGGAGATAGGATATTTGCTTCTACAAATTAAATGTCCACTTTTGAGAATTGGTCCAACTACATTTGTTCTTAGTTATGCTGAAATACTTATATTGCATTACGTTTATTTAGCAAATGCGTGGGACCCATGTTCAATTTGAGCGAGTTTTGAACCACGTTCACAGCACTGTTATGTTGCATACGTGTCATGAACGTATTGTAGAATTTCTATTTTATTATCAGGGTTGGTGGGGGATGGGACATAAAATTATACTGATATTACTTCCCTGTATTAAATTTGCCCGTTACGCATTCACTCTCGTGCGTCGTTTTATAACCTACACGGCATTTAAATTTTCAGAATGTTACGGAAGTTGGCTTTCCCAGCTTTCCTCAAAAAGTGTGGTAGCGAGCGAGAGGAAAAGTCTATTTCGCATGCTTCATTTGAGAGCGTGATTTATTAATATTCCATATTTTATGACCACATCATGGGAAAACCTTATTAATTTTAGAGTTGAACAAGGACTATTATAAAAACTATTTCATAATTTCCTACCTGGGCGAGTTTATGGTCAAGTCGTTGTGCTTACCTTGAAGAAGGTTTTACACGCATGTACATACTCGTAGAACCAATATAAATTATATGCATACACTGATGATAGTTTAATTTCGGCTTTATGAACGATTTTTGCTGCCTAACCGTGATTTTAGAGGACTTAGACGCGTATGCAGAAATACTTTCAACGAGTATCCTCTGTTGTATTGTTACTTGTGTGAATTTACAATGGACATGTACAATGCACAGAGGAAAGGTCACTCACCACTTCTCCCTAATTGAAGAAATCTGGATCTCGCAATTTCCGTGCTTACGAGCTTGCACTTAGAAATCCTTTGTAAATGGCAAATGAGGGCAGTGCACTTTGAATTATTATCAAATCGGCTGCAAAAATAGGATAACGGTTCATTAAAAGAAAATTTGAGCGAAAAAGCAGAATCGAATACTGCTTTTCCTGCTGGCATGGGTTTACATGTTTTGCCTTTCACAATTTGTTTGTTAATTATTAACAATTGTTGTCTCATGCAAAGTGTCTCCGGCTAATATTATTTGTCACTTTATCATTCTATGCGGGACACGGCGCCATAGAAGCGGTGTCAATTAATCCTGGTCTCTGGCGTAGCAGTTGGTCAAACTCTGAAATACTAAAACATACAATTTGCTGCTATTTTTGCACGCTTTTGATGAAGCTGGTCGTTTTGGTAAATGGAAGTTGGAGTATTTGGACAAATGTTCTCTCTGGCATGATGAAAATGATGATAATGCAAGTGACCTATATATTTCACCTAATCGCAATACAGCGGTAAACGCCAACGTGGTCTAGTTCGGGTCTCGGGATGATGGGCAAAAGACAATGGAAGCTCACAACAATAACATCGGCACGATTTATTAATTTATTTACCCATCTACACATAAAAGAACAATTTCATAGCTAAACACAGTGCCCTACTTACATAGCATAGCATTGCTTATGCAATCCTTTTGAATTTTCTACCTCTAAACAAGTATTATAGAATTAGCAAATCAAAATAAACTTTTACACATTTTCATATTAGTTCTGTAGTGTAGCTATTGTATTGATAGATTTTTGTACTTGTGTAAATGTGCATATCTCGTGTATGGATTCCCCAATCTGCAATCCATGAATGCCGGCTGCCGAAACAGAATATTATTTGGATGGAGAAAAGAATGCGAATAATATCAAAGTTTCTTATTGTGGAGAACATCTATAAAATCTACGGGTTCAATATGCTGACATTGAGGCGGTGGTGGTGATATTGGGTGCATGTGACATGAGGAAGGAGAAAGTATAGTTTTTATCAAGATCGTTTCCTAGTTCGTTCAACTTTCATCAGTTATCAGGAGAATACAGAATAGTAGTGCAGGGAAATGTGAATGTAGACTTTTCTTGTGACATGTCATCTTCCTCCCAATCTCCTCAATTCACAAGGATTGAGGACAAAAACTTGTGAAACTGGATAACTTTCTTCAACTCCTTCCGTGAAACCTTTTTCCTTTCTTATACGCATATCTCCGCTTGTCCTTTCATCACATCAAAATGGACATATCCTCGAGACTTACTCACTGGGCATACTTTTAGTGGTTGCTCTTGGTTTTGGGTTTGCAGATCATCATGTGACACTTCTGATACAAATTAATTAACGGAATGTAATGAAAAGAATTTTATTTTGTTGCAGGTGCAGAAACATCTGATGTGCTGCCTGGAGTTGGAAATATATATGTGTCAGATGGGAAAGTCGAACGTCCATATTTTGAGGTGGCCGGACCGAGAAATGTCACTTATATCGTGGGACACCATGCTCAGCTTCATTGCCGAGTGCGACATGCAGGAGATAGAATGGTAATAATTGCACACATTTTTCTAATGCATAGTTCAAGAGGACAGAGTTTAAAGACGCAGTCTTTCATGCCTGCACATATATTTAAAGGCTCTTATATAAAATCACAAAGGTGTTAGTTAACATTTACACTCCTGTATCTGCTCATTGCATAACATCAACAACATGATCAGAACAGAGTGTGTGCAATTAAATGAATCAAAGGCAAGCTTTGAATGTGGCGAAATAGTTTGTGAGGAGAAAGTCGTAGTATTTGTTACAATTAAACACTAGTGCATGTGTGAACTTGAGTACATAGTTGATGAACTTGCAAGGACATTTCACCTCAAAGGAGACGCAGTTAACTTCTTATGACGAATGTATGCGGCATTTATAAAACCACCCCCACCCACACCCAAATCCACCCCCACCCTCATCCACCCCCACCCTCATCCACCCCCACCCCATCCACCCCTACCCCCGTCCACCCCCACAATTTTTATGGGGCAACGTGAGATACCTTGGGGCAAAGTGAGATTCTATTTCATATTGGGGTATCGTTCGTAATTAGCGAGCGAAGCGAGCAGGTTAGGTTAGATCAACTAGGTACGCGGAAAGCCTGGAAGGCTGAGCTAGCAAACCTAGCTAGCTAGGCTAGATAGAACCTAGGTAGCTAGGGTAGCTAGAACCTAGGTAGCTAGGCTAGATAGAACCTAGGTAGAACTTCTAGCTAGCTAACCTAGGTAGCTCTGCTAGCTAGCAAGGCTACCTAGGTTAGCTAGCTAGAAGTGCTACCTAGGTTCTATCTAGCCTAGCTACCAAGGTTCTATCTAGCCTAGCTAGCTAGGTTCTAGCTACCCTAGCTACCTAGGTTCTATCTAGCCTAGCTAGCTAGGTTTGCTAGCTCAGCCTTCCAGGCTTTCCGCGTACCTAGTTGATCTAACCTAACCTGCTCGCTTCGCTCGCTAATTACGAATGATACCCCAATATGAAATAGAATCTCACTTTGCCCCAAGGTATCTCACGTTGCCCCATAAAAATTGTGGGGGTGGACGGGGGTGGGGGATGGATGAGGGTGGGGGTGGATGGGGGTGGGGGTGGGGATAGGATGGGGGTGGGGTGGGGGTGGATAGGGGTGGGAGTGGGGATGGATTTGATGGGGGTGGGGGTGGTTTTATAAATGCCGAATGTATGTGTTGATCACTCTAAAAGTATGTTTGTGGACCAGCACCTTACTCTGCGCATACGTATCTGGAGATGCACATCTAAAAGTTTGTCCCTATAATCAGTGGCAGATGCAGATAGTGTACGTATTTGTATGTAATTAATCGACAAGACCAGTTACAAACATTTCATACCTAATAGTAAAATCTAATTAATAAAATACGTATATGTAATCACGATAAATAGCAATGAAGGACAAGGAGTGGGGCGTTCTGAGACCCAAATTTAAATTTCCAGTTAATAGAAATAAAACGCATTATACCCTGATGTGTTTCTATTCGCTGTTGGTATGTACAATCCATCTTGAAAGAAATTTCGCGAGAGTCATAGTTCACGTGTCCCTGTAACGAAGCCAGGATTTCTTATATCCTTCAGCACATTTGTTAAGAGTGAAAGTCAACAACATTGCGACTGGTTATACGCACAGTGAAATTCAGTTCTTCATTTCTCTAGTTGATACGGTAACAGTCTGACAAAGCTTCTTTGAACTACAAGAAAGAAAACACAACTCCGAGATTTTGGCACTCACTTTTTAGCCCCATCGAAGGCTAATGGAACCGTCATGTCCGTCCGTCTGTATTGCGAAAACTCGTTAAAGCTAGCACATGAAATTGAAATTTTGTAAACATATCGTATGGGGCACGTGAGAAACCATTCCTGATCGACCGGTGGGGGATAATTTAGTGATTGGGGTTTGGTCAAGGTGCAAATACTTACTGCGCATAAATCTTGCATCAAATTTTAAGCAAAAGAGTGACCTCACTGCTTTCCCAAATCAGTTGAAAAGGGTGGAATTTTATGTGCTGAATTAATTTATCCACAACAAAGTCGCCTTTTTTCTTAAATATTAATTCAAGGAGGTGACTGGTGGTTGACCAATTTATTTATCGGAGGAAATGGCTGGATGGGGCTCTACCAAAGTCTGTTTCTCCTGCAGGGTTTTGCTTTGTGCGTATATATTTCACGAGAAAACCCATTATTTCGTCTTCAGTTAAGAGTGTTTCTGCTCTGTGCTGATGTTTCCCTTTCGTAGCGATCATGATATCATCAGAAGTCTTTCTTGGAATTGTTTTTCTCCGCATTTGTGACCCTCGTTCAGCATTGTTTATTTGAGGCACACTGACCCAAATGTTTTAGATGTTGTGGCTTTAAGTATAGCTGCTGAACCGATTTGGTTCAAGATTAGCATTTGTCTGGTCAGGGTGTCGCTACTGAATTGCCACAAAAATGTGGCTTAAAATGAATTTCAGATAGACTTAACCTAATTTAAATTTAAATTAGAGATATATATAACATAGATACACAGATGAATTCGATTCTACGACGACTCATACGTGCACCGAAAACGTTTTATACCAATTTGATAACAAGGAGAAGTTTTATCATTAACAACCTTGACCTACAAATCGCTACTTTTAATGGTTATAAATAGTTTGTTAAGTTACATCTTCAAGTCATAAATTATTGTTCATCACATGCAGTTAGGATTTTTTTGTTGTGATTTAATGTGTTTGGATGCAAACAATTAAATTTAAGTCGGTATTGGATTACACTGTGTAAAGGAGACATCAAAAGTTGAGGCTGCATCACTGATGCAGCAAATAAGAATCCCACACACATTTTAGTTTTTACGTCATGTCATTAAATTTAGCTTATCTACTTACATTAGGGCCCCCACTGGGTGAGTGGATGCCTACATGGGATGTATGTTATTTCAAGTTTTTATATACCAGTATCCACACATAAATATGTATATATCTGTAAGTATATTTCTGCATCGGGAATAATGTAGACTAATGCAGTAGTTCGATCAAGGAAGGAAGCGTAGATTATGATGTCGTAAGCTCAAAGTTCTCAGAAGTTGTTTGTTAGTCGGGGAATGAAAAAAAGTTGATCTAGTTCCAAAAATCAAAAATAACCTTCAGAAAGGTTTTATTCTGTCATTCAGTCAATCAGGCCGGAATGAAGAGGAAGCATTTCCCATGTGCCATTCTTGTTTTGTTGGCTTCCTCGATGATGGCATGTGTGTGCTAAACTAGAATAGTATTTGCAATATTGAGTCTAATCCTGTTGTAGGCTAGACCTCACTCCCCAAATACAAGCTATTCCATTATTATTCGATCCACTCCATTCGAAAAAAACTGTTTTGCTGGTTGGTTGGTTGGTTGAGGACTCTACTCTGCTGGGAAATAGTGGTGGTACTTTCTTATATCGTGCGTTTTGGGGATCAATACTTTGTAAGAAATCATTCAACTAACGCATTGGAAGAATTTCCTTAAAGTATAAATTGAAGATCGATTTTGAAACTAGAAAGAAGTTAAGTAGTAAAAATGGCTGGAGTGATGGGAGATGAGGAAGAGTCGCCCATGACAGTGGGAATCGAGTCGATAGACCTGCCATACTATGCGACCTACTCGAAACAGCCAACTGGAGGTCGCGTGAGTTTGATTTATATTGTCTCCTATCAATACTACCCGTCTTCCTCCTTATCCGTGCAGAGCGTCAGCTTGCCATACTTTTTTCCAGGTCATTCTTCCTCCAGAACATCAAATTCAGTACACCCCTTCGCTCCCTTGGGATAAACAAAAGGCGTTGGGCGAGTCAAACTCTGAGCTGCGAATCACTGCCACCAACAAAGCCAAGCCAAGAAGTGTTGACGTGGATTTGGAGGAAGATGACGGAGCCTACCCCACGTTCATCCCAGTGACTTACCAGCTTCCCCACTCTGACGCGGTGATAAGGAAATACATCAATACTCCACAAATAAACGACATTTCTGATAAGCTCGACAGCATGAAGGAGGACATCACCAAATCGATTGGAAAACTTTTGAAAAATTCAGGTTCATGCAGATGGTGCAATATCTTTAGCACTGAGGACTCCCGCTTCAGAGAGAGGGGTGGCTGTTGTGGAGAGCAGCATGGGTTTCATGGACCAGAAGCTAAAAGTCACTACCGACCTTATTTGAACTATAATCCAGAGATGGACTATGAAGATGGCATGAGAAAGATGATGAGAGCCGGAACGCCACGACTCACTAGCTCGGTGAGGGCTGAAATTGATGAATGGCGGGATGCTAATCCAGTTCGCAAGGTTCAGGATGAAATTAATAAAAAAGCTGCTGCTCTTCATGCCGACTCTCCAACGTGGAGAAAGAATATCGAAAGAGACAGATTCAGAAGGCAGGTCCTGGACTTGCCTGACTACGAAGAGGACGAGTATGGTCTGCCGAAACTGTCCCCTCTTCCAAGATATGCAAACACGAGATACCCCACAAACCACCTACTCACTCGACGCAGGGGATATAAGTTTATTGCCTAAACTGCATTGCGTAACGCTAAAAAGTGAAAGCACGTATTACTTTCACGTATCTTGTACGCTTTCCATCAAAATGAACGCCCATAAGTATGTGCATGCTTACGTACTTATATAAGAACGTATATATGTCTATGGTACAATATGTAATACCAAGATCAAAGGAAAGATAATAAAGACATTTCATGAACCTCTAGTGGCTGAAAGAAATTAATTAATTTTAACTATGAAAAAACATCATTATGTGGGTCTTTAGTTACAATGACGTATCACATATGCACGTATGTTACGCAATATTAATTTCCTTTGATTTAAAAATTTAGTCAATTTTTTAATTTATTCGGACTGCAAGACGGTTTCCCGTCCATTTCACCTAACTGCGTATATGAAATGCATTATATTATTACGAAGTTATTCAAAAGTCTTATTTATTTTATTTTTTAGTTGGAACTTGTTCAAAATAATAAATAAAGCATCTAATGTACTCATTTATAACATTCACATCCAGATACGTATTGCGTCTACAAGAGGAGTAATATTTCCTAACCGGAAGTACTTATATGTGCATGGTGCACTATGGTGGTTGACCTTCCTGAAAAAAACTATGTTTTTATGTATTACAATCTATTCATCTTAATTAAGGCAAACTGTTTTCACTTTGTTCTAGGTGTCGTGGATCCGAAAAAGGGACTTACATGTGCTCTCCTCTAATCAAATTAGTTTTACATCTGACGCTCGATTCAGCGTTATCCATCCACAAGATTCTGATGACTTTAATTTGCAAATAAAATTTGTGCAAAAACGAGATGCGGGTAAAATATTGAGCGAACTAATATTATTAGAATTATAAATCATGAACGACGACGTAATCCATCTATTGTTTCTTTTGTACTCTAGGTATCTACGAATGCCAAATACCGAACTTGGTACGTATTTGAGCTTCTTTTTAGTTCGTAAAGGATAAATTAATTTTAAACCGGTTATGTTTTGTAGGGGGAAACCATAAAGTACCAAGTTCTCCTCAATGTCGAAGGTAAATATTAATTTTAAAAATGAATTTTGATAGTATACTTTGTCATACTTTCTGATAATTTTGCAATGGGAATTGGTTACGATTCAATTTTAATTTTTAGAAAAGCTTGTGCACGAGATTCCTATTGCTTTCTTTCTTTGTAATGCTGTTTCAGTCTTGTGTTAAACCTTCATTTCTTTTAATCTTGGTGTAACTGATTTGTGTGGCAAATAATTCTTTTACATTACACGCTGACAACCACTTTGCACCTGAGCTTGTTCTTCAAGTGACATTTTCACCATTTTTGTTAATCACCTACTTTGTATTAGCTATGAAAGGGAATTTTCCTCGCATGTTGGAGGAAAAATTATTTATTTCTAAAAATCTTATGAAAAATTTGGTTGCTTTTCTTTCTTTCAGATCGCGAAATAATTTCGGATCAGCACAGTATCCAGTCCCCAAGATCCACTAAAGGTTTCCACTTTTATTAAATATTATTTTCGTAAACTTAGTTTTATTAGTTCAATTTTTGCACTATGCACGTTAAAACACAAGGGAAACTTTATCAGTCCCTCTACATAATATATTCAGATATTTTTGAAATTTTTCAGTGCTTTACCCCACCTTATTTATATCTTGGAATTTTTTGCATTTCAATTTACTCCTAAGTTTCAGCATATTTTTCAATATGTTGGATTTATCCTTTTAGTTGACTACGATGATTGCAACATTACAGCGGGATCGAAAACAACTATCTAATTAATACTAAATAATTGTTGATTTTTTATCGGCAGAAGCGCAAGCAATGATTTCTGGACCGGAATTCGTAAGGACTTCAAGCACAATCAGTCTTACCTGTTCGGTGAATATCCATTCCCAGCCAGCCGGATCAGTTACATGGTATCACGGTCAGAACGTGGTTGACTTTAACAGTCCCAGGGGCGGAATAAGTATGGAAACGACAAAGTCAGAGTCAGGCATCGTTTCTAAACTCGTTATTACAAAAGCTACCAGTTCTGATGGAGGTAATTGCAAAATACAAATCGCAACAATAGAAAGAGTAATCTGACATACTAAACAACCTGCTTAATCGCAAACATCATTTTAGGGAACTATACCTGCATTCCTGTTCCCAGCCACGCTGGACCTGCGTCTGTCATGGTGCATGTCGTAAATGGTACGTACAATTTTTGTATGCAATAAATGATAATAAGTGACAATTTACAAAAAAAATATTGATAAGTGCATATTTAGTTTTATTGTTGCGGCGCGACATGGCTGCTGCATTATAAATAAATACATATTTAGGTTTCTATTTGGTGTCATTATTTCTCGCAGGTGAACACTCTGAACCAATTCATCATGTTGAGCATAATAGCACGGGGGGAAGCCAATCCACTTGTTCACTTCGTCTCAACTTTCTTTTCGTCATCCTCGCTATCAACTACCATCAACTACACCGTGAGTTTCATTAGTGGAGCAGAAAACAAATATAGAAAACTCGTAACAATATAAAGTGAAGTTTTACTGTGTGAAAAGTGATTGAGATGAAATAATTTAAGCGACGTAAATTTCCATAACTTTCTCCGCCACCAACAACTTACTTTTCGCCAACCAACCAAAACTTCCTTAGTGACTACATAACGACTGTGTACACTTTAACCTTTAATACAAATTTGTAATGCTGATACTGTGATATTTCTTTAGTCAAGTTAATCAATCACTCTCGGGATAAAAGGATATGAACAACCACTTTTAATTAGTGAACTGTTTGCCAATGACCCTTTCGTGTGTCCTATCATCATCAATTTGCCCTTTGTTAGAATGATGCAACACAAGTAAATGTTCTCTTTATTCCTTATCTTAGAAAGAATATTACGTATGTGAATTGCCAGTTGCATACTTCCACTTGTAGCTTGGTTGTTCCGGGATACGCTGGAACGGTGCTGGTCAGACTGGGTATGACTTTCTCTTATTTTTAATTACCAAGCTACAAATCAGGGTGTAGCTTTGAATTTGCGCAAATGATTCCAATGACGAAGATTCGAATTCGACCCAAAGTATTTACTCAATAGCAGCAAGTCGTTTGGCTACAAGTGCGTTCTTTGACTATTATAAAACTCTGCCGAGTGAACCAATCTGCATAATGGAAATATATACTTATACGCAGTGGGAGAAACGCTAAAAAGCGTCCACATACTGGTGTGCAGTACAGGCAGGAGGTAAAATCTAAGCCAAATCATAAGTGTTTTGATATTTATCTGTTATTCATTGATCGAAACACACGTCATAACAAATACAGAGAAATTATGTATAAATTAACAATGATGAGAATTATAGATAGCTGATAGAACTACATATACCTATACCTGAGCTAAATATCCTTTACGCCATTACATATGTACAATACAAATTGACTTAGTTAAGGTGAAGGTCCGATACTAGATAAGTTCATAAGCATACAATTAAACTTAGCGTATAAAACTGGAGTAAATTAGATGTAATACTTGATTAATTCTTGTACAAATTCTTCCGTTATCGATTAATTATAGATTTTTATTTGCATTGTTTACTGTTTGGAATGTCTTAAACGATTATGTCATTTTCATCCTATTGACCCAAATTGTGGCAGGACATCAAAGTAATATCAAAATATGTGGTAAAATAGTGTACATTTATTATTATTTATTCTGTTCCACATTTAATTCCGGATAAGCTCTGTTAAACTTAATTTTGTATTGTCGTTTAGAGGAAATAAAGTAAGATTATGACCATGAAACAAAAATACGAGAATGTATAAAATCAATTGGAATGCTCAAAATATTTCCTCGTACAACCTTATAATTTTCCATTTATATGGAGCTCATGAATCTGCGTCTGCAATTGCAAATATTACAATAAAGCTAAATAGCACAGGAAACCACGTTGGTGATTTGGTCGCATGGGACGAACTGAACTCGTCTTCCTTCAACCCTGAGTTCTCGGAATCTGAAACACAGGTAACAATTTTTTGAGAAACTGAACATCCCTGAAACACTAAATACCATATCATTATTACATTTTTAACCATGAAAATCAATCATTAATTTTTTCATATTTATTTTATTTTGGACTCATCAGTCTACAACGACACAATTGTTGTACAACAACGTGCAGCACGCTGATGCTAGTTATTTATTCCTTAAAATGCACACAAGTTTCTTCCTCCTGATAGTCAGGCTGAGCATACAAATAGAATTACAAATGCAGCATTTCTAAGATCCCTGTAAAAAACAGCTAGGAATATGAGAGTAGCAATTCCCTCTGTGGCGTAATGGTTGACTGAGATGAAATTTATTGCATGAGCTCCAGAAGCCAGAAGTGTCAAATGATTCAATAAGTGCGTAGAATAGGTCCTTTGGAACCCATTAAATGCAGATAAACAATGGTTTTACAAGAGATAATCCAGTCATATTTAGCCTTGCACCGCTTCCAGTCACGCTGCAACGGAATGGAATCAACTGCAGAGATGCAATCCCAATATTACTTCTGCTGTATCGTACTTGCAGGCCTGGCTTCTCTCATTAGGCTCAGTTTTTAAATCAATAATTCATTTGCCCCAGAGTTCAAAAACAGGGGATCAAATGACTCTCACGGGAGTTGAAACATGCATTGTCTACGCCTAAATGACTAGCATAGTGGTAATCACTATCCTTACAGAACAGCAGATGCATGAATACAGATTGTACAGATGCACATGCAACAAAATTTCCAATGTGACTTCAGCCAGAGCAATGGATGGCATACGAATGGTTTTAGCCACAACCTCATTTATAGTAACCGAATTGGTTTCGATATCTAACATTACCCCAGTCGATAGACCCCACTCGACACACATACAACGTTCCCCTTGAGCCATGCTACTTTATTTCATTCAGGTTTTCAGTCAGTTCATTTACTGTCAATCCGATCAAAAGCAGTCCCTCTTGGAATTTATCTTGCAAGAAAAGAACAAGGCATGAGCTTGGCTGAGAGAATTTACGCTGCGTTCTTCCGACTTCCTCCCCACATATCTGTAAACGGAAGCAAAGCGCACAACCGGAAAAATAAGTTTGGTCCTCGCATCTATTTTGGTTTTGTGCTGTGGGTGTCACGAAACCAATCTACTAACCCAGGTCACACAGGTCCAATATATTTTGTTGGAGAAGAAGAGAGGGAGAGGAGGGGACGAGAAAGATGGAAATTGAAATAGAGTTTGGCAGGAGGCATTGTTCTTGGGGTTTGTTCGTGGTGGTGTTGTGTCATACTATTATTATTGCTTCTTTGCGGCTCTCGTACAAGAAGTGGTGGTGTCTGTCTCTGCGTGTGTGTCGCTGACGTAGAACTCGGCTGTGTGTAATTCACTGCATTGGCATTCGAAAATTCCATCATGGTGAACTCGGCTAACTTGCAGCCAGACCACATACATATATAAATGTGCACTTTCACTGCATCCTCATCCACATGAAGAGGGTAAACGGTAGGCACAGAATTGGACAAACATTATTAAATTATTTCTGAGACCCCCGGGGTTCACCTTATGAATCTGTTCCCTTTGAACCAACGCCAACACACACCCGCCGCGTCCTTTCATTCCTTTGATTTCAGTCCATCAAGAAATGTGACTTACCAGTGTTACTAGTAACGAGGGAAAACACCAAAGTCATACGTAATAAGTAGGCATACGCTCGCTCGTTATGCGCACACAGAATTATTTTTAATTTTATTTCGTCCATCAGATAATTCGTTCAATTCTCTAATTTCTATAAGATGCAGGTTGAGTGTACTTTGAGCAAATGAACAATACTTACGAGAATGACGTGGTCGGACTTTCAAGACTACAGAATCCGGGTAGACGGTTGCACCTGTAATATGGTCTTTGTTAATTCTGAGCTCATGTTCAAAATGCAAACCTGTCGTTCAATAAACTAATCCTAAGACGTGTTGTTATTTTTTTTATGATTGAAGATTCCTACAGCAGGTTAATTGTAGCAGATCAATCTTACTAAAGTGCGTAAATTCTTATTTCAGCGGTATATTTTTAGCCCGTGCCAGCTAAACAATTCAGGAAGGTGGACACAAAAGTAACGTACTTCATCATCTACGCTAAAGCAGTGTAATCAAATGCTTTTTTTGTGCTTATTCATACGTTTTAGTATATTAGATAATTACTTTTCTTGCACTAGTAAATATTTTTAAGGTTTCCTTTGATAGCTATGCGTGCATAAATTTATACGAGATAATTATGTAGAATTCATGTTATACATAGCTATATTTCTGTTAACGTTTCTTTCCACCTGCATACTGTCTAGACTAGATTAGTAGTGAGTGAGTTGATTCAAGGATTGATATGTCATTAGTCTTTACAAGCTTTCATTCATTCACTCATACGCGTATTGTCTAAATACGTATGCAGGTATTTAGATACTAAAGGTGAAGCAATCTCGGGCTAGCACTAAATGAATGTATATTTTAACCTGTGCCCATTTCTGCTTTTCACATTTCAAATTATAAAATAAAATAAGGCACAAGTTTACATACCGCCACAGGAATATTTGCCACTTTGAGGTTTGAGGATCACCAGTATTGAGACGGTTTGATATGACGACTTTTCGGTATCCACACTGAATCTCCCTTTTGCTTTCTGAATGGGAATCTCGTTGAAAAACCACGAAATATTTGGCGGAGAGGGCGAGCGTCCGTGTGAAATTATACAGGTGAAATTTGCGAGCTGTGAGCCTTGATCCAATTCCATTAAAGACGGTCCCAAGATTTTTGCCTCGTACCCTGGAGTCGCAAAGAGAAGATGAAATTGATAACTTTCAATTGTAAATGAGCTGCTGGATAGACGGGTGGGATCGTAAATTGAAACATATCCACTGCACATCGTCATCTTGATCGCCAGGCACGCTATGTGTACCGCTCTATTCCAGTCCAATTCCTACATTGGCGAATTAGATCCAGTTGGGAAAGTTGGGACCCCGTCTGGTTTGGTGTTATCATCATCTTGGATTGCCTTACGTTTGGTACAATGCGCTGTACTATATTGTAATGACATTATGTAGGTGAATGCCTAATGTATCAGTTAGTGCAGAGTGGAGCAATTTCTATTAGCAGGGCTACTATGCAGATGGAATGTCCTTGCCGCCTGAAGAAGAGCCATGCGGGCACGGTTCAATGCTGTAATATGCTCAACAAACTGAACTTTCGCTTGTTTCCACAATTCTACATTGAAATAGGCCTATTATATTCTGTTGTTTCACCACCAGAATTAATTTTAGAGAGAGAGATACAACAACACATAACTGAACAGGGAAACATAATTGGATTGAATTTATTAAAGGTGTACGAATTGAAATTAAATGCTGCTGGTTGGAAATGCGTTCCCAATGAGTGGAAATAACAGCATGTTGCAATTGTCCCCTGTCGTGTTCAGTACACAAATTGTTAAAATTATACAACATATGTCTCCAACAGCCATAATTTCATCTCAATCCCAAATAAATTGGGTTACAAAATGTTTAATTTGCCAAATTCTTAGATTCTAGTGACATAATTGTGATTTGTGAGAGCAAACCTGAATTGATAAATCTGATCTTTCTCCAAAATAATTTAATGAAGTACTCAGTATGTATACTCTGAACCCATGTTTGCACTCGAATAGAATAACTAATCCTAAGTCGCAAACGACTCCATATTTCTCTATTTGTTAGCAAACCGCATATTACGTAACGGAATCAAGATTGGGACAGACCTCCCAGTCAGATTTCTGTCATTTTCTCAATCTCGGTCTCCTCAGCCATCCAATCACCTAGGGTGTTATGAAGTCATAAATATTCAAAAAGTGGTCAATCAACTTGATACCTGTCTACCTAATCCTAATTCGCTTATGTATTTGTCTCTGTTATCAACGTCTTGTGTAGCATTTGATTTGTATCCTTTGTACCCCTCTCTTTGTGAATGTGAATACGTAAGATGTGTCTATTTTTCAAGTTTACAAAAATGCAAGTCCTAAATGGAAGGTGAATGTAAAGGGATATTGATTGATGACTTTTTCCCGGAAGGAAACAAAGTTCGGTTATTTCAGAAAAGTACAAGGTTACACAACAAAGATTTAACATGGAAAAATAAAATTGCAAAGTTTAACTGTGCCATGTTACGTGCTACATGTTTGCCAAACTGTGTATGTAGATTCAGGTCCCTCATTTATTAGTCTTAGATAGATAAGCTCTTGTTGGTCTCAAAGGACTGGAACGAGGCAAATGAAGGAACGAACGACTTTTGCTCCTAGCAGCAGGCAGGCGAGGGATTGAAAAGTTTGTTCTGTATGGACTATTCTGTAAAGCAGGTAGATTTTACGAGTGCGTATCGCATGCTGTGCCTGGTGAAAGCGATGAATAATTAAAAGATGAGATCCGATCCAAGTGCGAAGATCGCTGTGGGAGAAAATCCGAGGAGAGTGAAATTATGCAAATACACTTCTTCAAGTGAAAACTCTTGTCGTTCCAAAATGCACTTATACACATTATACCTCAATCTGTGTCCCATGCATATTGGGTGAATTTTAGGGTGACATTTCTATGAGTCTTGTTCTTGTACGGTTAGATTGGCTCTGTGAACTAGTACCAACTGTGTACCTTTAGAATGATGGTCGTCTTTTTGATGATATGGCGAGTCCAGCATTCCTAACGCCAAGGCTGCGCTGTCCGGGTCCTCAGAAGAACCTTCAAAATTCAAAGGTTCAAAATTGTAGTACCATTAAATTACTTTATGCCACATGACAATACCAATCAGAAAATATGCATTATTGAAATCTTACAAATTGTTTTCATTAAAAATTATAAAACTAAAACTATGACAAATAAGGTCAAGGAAAATGTAAGGTATCCATTTTGTTTATAGTCCTTGATATGCTCATTCATGGTTTTGCGCAAAAGTCATACATATTACTGTTCATCCGAGAAAAATGCGGCCCTAGAAATTCTGAAAGGTTACCTGGCGGAATTTATCTATTTTTCTTATTTTATCAATTACAGAAATTTATTTCAGTGTCAAAATTCAAACGTTGCTACGATATTCCCTAAAATTACGATAGCTGCCAGGTAACCTTTTAGAGAAACTTGGCTCGGCGAAGGCCACATTTTTTTCGGATGAACAGTAGTTATATTGCTTATTTTGACAAAATTAGTGATTTTCGTTTTGAAAGTGTTAATTTTGCAATCTTAGATGGGTTTTAAAAATTGTAACTTTGTAAAGTTCTTGTAATGTCTAATCTACATTATAGATTTTTACAAACTTCCTCAATAGCTAGTTGCTGACATGTATTTGATAGATAGCTGGTGCATGCAAGTGTTTCAATTAAATTTTATAGATTGTTTCGATCAGAACAATTCAGTTATTGCCACGCAAATTGTTTAAATGGTTTATGTACTAATATAATTTATGCTCATCGATCATATTCATATACATACAAAAATACATCCTGGTATTATCAAGCAGAAAAATATCACAAATGTGTGTGTACCAAGAACGATGAGGTGCACCGTTGCCGTCATTTTGGGATCCGTGTTAATTTGACATTCGTACGTCCCTGGAAGTACACATATCTTATTTTATTGCTTCATTAAATCATCAACGTCGACTGCTTGGTTTCGTACCTTCGTCTTTCTTACTGCTTGACGATATTTTGATTGTATAAGAGTTTCTCGATTTCCCTTCGCGAAGGAGAGAGAATCGTTTGTCGTTGGTGTAAATTTGATTCCCAGACGAAAGGATATGCAAATCTCTTTTCCTCATCCAGGACACCTAAAATTTCAAATTATATAGATTTTCTTGTATGAGCGTATAAGAGGCAAGATGTATAGAAACTAAAGTATACATGAATATTTAATAATTTAGAGCCTTCCCTATATTACGCATGGCCACGTTTGTCCAGGAAATGTGCATAAAATTTGACATATTGTGAGCTTGTGACATATTGTGATTATGGTATCTCTTAAAAATAAATTCTTTATTTTTACTACATGAATTCCAAAATAAGTTTGCGGTTCGCAAGCTGAAAGGATATATAGATTCCTATTCTTCAGCTGAAAGGCAATTTGTTGAGAAAGTAAATACTTAGGCCTGTATTTTGATATACTATGTAATGCTTCATTTCTGAGCTTGTTGTAAATATACATAAACCCAAAATAAACCTAGATTCGCAGAAAATCTGACAAAACATCTGCAGCCAGCCTGAATTTGTACTGCCAGTGTAAAAAGAAAAATCAACTCGTAAAATGCAAAGGAGCTCTTTACACTATTTATTTATTCTTTTAAAACAGTAGCTTCAACTATAGCAGCGAACGGATTCAATGTTTGTCAAGACAACTGAAATGTCCAATGTGGGTCGTTTAGAATTTTTAAATTGTTCAGTTTAAAATCATTCAATGAAAAACTGAAAATATATGCTGCGAACTTTCCCCTTCAGAGAATGCATACTTATTAGTTGACCCTATGCCCCAAACCTGCTGGCATTGTGTTGCAGTGGACACAACTTTTCCTTGTCTTAGAATCACTCGTTAACTGAATCCTTGCACCATCATTATCAAATGCCCTTTAATACTTTTTAAGCTTCATATAAAGCCGTATACATAAGTGATTGAAGCGGAAGCGCTTTGCGCTGTGCACAACTCTGTAAAGCACCAACAAAGCCTTCAGCAGGGCTTAAACCTTGGTCTTTAAAAACTGTCACATTTATGAACGTATAAAATATACGTGCAAGTACAACGCAACAATAAAGTATGTCAACAAAAGGGTAGAAGTTATTATATAGCATGGACGACAACAACCTTGTATGAAGTAAGTAAATGTAGTGGTTTAAAATATTGGAAAGCATACATGTGACGAAAGCAGATTGCTGCCCTCTCCTGCAAATAAACTCTTTCCTCTCGGGGGGTACAACCAAGTTTGTGGAATAAAACGTTTCCTCTTAATCAAGACGATATGAAAGTTTGGCCCGTTCAAATAAAATACATTTCAAACTCTTGTGTTGCTTGTCTTGATTGAGGTGAAAGCTGGTGAGAGAGATGTACGTAGGCGCCCATCATTATGATGATTTTCACCAAAACTTTTCTCGCTAATTTTAGCTTTTGCAGTAGGTGATGATGACTGTGAAAAGTAACATTTCCACACAATTAACACGAAAATAGAAAAAAAAAACTTTCCGTGACAAAGTCTATCGGATTGGAGGGAGAGAGCCGATAGTTGGACAAATATCGCAAATATTTTCCTTTTCATGGAACTACAGGGTCAATCGGAGAGAGCAGAGGCATTAATCCAAACTCTCATCTCATTCCTTCGGGACGTTGCTGAAGTTTAGAAGAGATGGTGAAAAATAGCGTTGGTTGCGATCAAATCGAGCCACTCATCGTCGTCGTTCACCATGACTCAGTGCGAGCCAAAGGGAAAATCACTGAGTCGGATGATATGGATATATGCATGTACATAGAGTGGCAAATCGTAGTCTTCTTTACTTTTGTTCTTGAAGGAGCAATCTGTAAGCGAAATGGACGAGACAGGACAAGGGCTAGCTTGGGGATTGGAGAGGAGGACGAGAAAGTGTCGAAATATTTCACGGCCTTACACAGACCATCGTCATTTGTTCTGCTGCAGTAAAGCGGCGTGTCAATCGGAAATAAGACTCTTGGGAATTAGGAAGGACCGTTGTCCAAAATAAATCGCAAATTCGTTACCAAGTCACAATTCACCTACGGAGAAAGAACGCCCCATCTTTTCGACTAATTATCACCATTCGCAAAACACCAGTTTCACTCATTGAATAACAACGCGTGGTGGATACCCGATAGAGTTTGTCAGTATGAGACGAATGATGTTGTCAAGATAACAATTTTTGATTAGATCACGTCATGCAAATTACATAAATACTACTTATCTACTTTGTCGTCTCAGACATTTCATTAGGATCATGCTGATATATCAAAGAGCCGACGCTACGTGATGAGTTCCTCGTAATAAAAAACACTATACATATTATGTATAAATAGACAGCTTAAAATTTTTCCAGTGACATCATTGTATTTAATTTGAAGAGAACACCAACATACATACAACATGACTTGGATTGCCTGCGTTTCTGTATCCGTTTAACATCAGAGTTGCAACTTACGAAGGGAATTTGCGTACCAGTTGACAATCTTGAAGATCTGTTGAAAATATTTTTCAAGGAGAGCAAACTAAAAGATAACTTAATCAATGAAATTCATAATTCAGCATTTTCAATTCAGTTGACCCACATTTTAAAATTGATAAATCGCAATTCGTTTGATTCATTAATATATTTACTACATACAGTTTACCTTGTCCGAATTTTCAAAGTTTTGTTCCATGCCTTTGGTAAGCATTTCCTGCGCTAAATGTTGTTGCCAATATGTTTGCAACACACAATATGTCGCACTTTTTATACAATCCTGCCTCAAACAGTATTTCGGAACATGCAACCATCAGCAAATGTTTGATGATAGTGTGGTCCTAATTGAAAAACTATATCAAGGTTCAGTGGGCGGTGGCCACGGTATCTTTTCATCGTAAATGAATAAATCCACTTCTTCCGTTGTCAAGCCCAATGATTAATGAGATATGGGTTCTTCTGTGTAGATCAAACTGTGGATTCAGAAATTATGGAGAAAGGAGAAGGTCGTTCATACATCGAGTCGATATCCAGTTGAATAGATCCACACTTCATCTCTGCCAATGATGAAGTGCACCAAACTCTTTATTAATTACTTTTCAACTGATTATGACACCCCAGGCAGCCACTCATCACCACGCTCTGATTGCTTATTGAATTTCAAACCTCGGGTAAAACTTTACTTTGCTTTTTCATTTTCGAGTGTAACCCACTACGCAACAAAAAAGGTTATGCATCGATTATATTTTAATTTAATTTACAAGACAGGCCCAGAAAAAGCGAATCAACAAAAGCGCATGTGGCCCGCATCCTCAAGTAAAACATGTACAAACATCAAACTAATTAATATATAATTAATTAACGAAAAATATACGTGTGTAAGAGAATAGTGAATGCTTCGTACATTGATATCATCTCAACGTAGTTTGTACTTACATACAAATAAAATCCATCTGCTCATCACGCTCTTTTCAATAACCTCGTACGTTCATATGTAAATATGTACCGGAAATATGCGATAGGGAATATAAATTTTAAATGAATTTGTTAACCTGACACTCGCTAAATGAAGTTTTGAGGTTGTCACATTAAACGCATTGCCGCAGAGGGACATTTCATTTTCAATATTTAATGTACGGTATGTACGAGGAAAGTGCCAGAGCTGCTTCCTGAACAGAAATCTCGCCGCCAAAGTGGCAGAGGAACATTTCCAGTCGAAGCGTGCATGGTTCATGGACGGCAACGGTTGATGATGATAATGGAGGAAGAAGGCATGCATGCATTATATCTCTACTCTCGCCAGTCTCACCCCACGGTAAAAGAGGTGTGAGAAATGTAAGCAAAAAAACAGAGCAGTTTCATTTTGGGCGAGAACCAAAACCAAACCGAAACCGATGACGGGGCCGGGATGGTTGACGTTGGATTTATGAAGGGGTACGCCACCATTACAATTTAGAATTTATGGCCAAACAAAAAAATCTGCTTTAAAAGGGAAGGAAATGATAATTGAAGATCGTACCGTTTTGTCGCCAAGATTGTGCACAATGCAGGTAATGTACGCACTTTGTCCGACAAACACGGTTGTGTTATTGTACTGGAATGGTTCGATGTAAGGACTCCTAGTGGTCAGGCCTATTCCACCACCACGGGAAAGATGAGACTCTCGAGCCACGGAGAAACCTGTAAATAATTACAATTAGCATTTAAATAATTACCATCGCTACCAGCCACCATAATTATTGCGAGTATGTAGATATACGAAAGCGTGCTCGCTCAACCGTTCGGCTTTCTTTTGCCAACAGACTAGCAACGTCGACAGCCAACAACTTTGACAATAATAGGATTGCCTTGATTTGGCAGTGTCAGGCATCATAACATTGTTATGTCCAATTCTCGTGTGGAATTGCAATTCATGGAATGAGCATGAACTCACTATATACATGCATAGAGTGAGTGAGTACATATATTTACCATATATTCCCCAGAGAAACTCGTCGCCCGTCGTAACATAAATAATTACATCTTTAAGAAAGCTCTTCGCAGTCCAAATCAGTCTTAAGGACATTCCTTACATCGACTTTTGAACCTAATGTCCTACTTTGATGGTTTGATTTTAAGTAACTTTCGTTTTAAGCTGCGAAAACCAGCTTCAATCAAAGAAATTGAAACTTATAATTCAATAAGTACAAGAGGTTGACAATTAAAGTCAGAAAAGTAATTTTTCAGTCTGAATGCATAGCTTTGACTGCATGCAATTTATCTGTTTCCATTACAACCTCCAATGGAATGAGACCTTACAATTTGTCGGCAGTCGGTTGGTGTCATAATAAGAGCACAAATTAACCACTTGGAGGAAATGGGTGGAAACAACTCTGATGAAAACAGCTCTAGAAAGTTTAGAGATTATGCGATTAAATCGGTATTCCGAAACTCAATGGGACTTAATCCGCATCTGTCATGTTAAATTGCTGGCGCATTCCATATTCGTAGTCAGGGTTTGTCACTTTCGGGTATTCGAATCTCTCAAGATTGAGTTCAAAGAAACACGTCGTATGCTCCACATGAAGTCAAAATGAACACTTTTAGCTACATAAATCCAAACCATATCCAAACTATTGGCTGATACATTACTATTTTATTGCTGATGATTTATTAACTTTCTAAGCATAAATTTCCTGGATAATCAGCAACGTATTTATAATGTTGATCATTTTTATTTAGGACTTTAAAATAATTGTTGACTGACAGAAGCAGAGGGTCCAAATCTATCTGCTTACTTGAAAGACCAGAAAGGCCGTCTCGTCGCACAATACTGTTCAATAATCCGTTTATGAATTATAAAAACGTTTTAACGTGATATTAATTATGTAATTAACGAAACCAATGAAATGAGCAATAAGCATGAATTACCAGAGTATTACACATTACTTTGGTACAACACTGCGTTGTTTGGGTTACATTAGTTACATAAAATGACTAGTGTCCAAGCCAAATATTGAAGATTTTGTAAGCCATTAATTACCGTGCCCCGCCAGTTATTTCAGCATCTTCAAACATACAAAAATGGCTGGTAAGAAATAGAGGTCAAAATTTCTGGTCAATTCGTTCAGTAATTTTTGCGCTTTCCTGTCAGAAGGTACAAATGAAAATTCTCTGAGCCCTTTCTAGGGTTACAAATGAAGTCATAACTAACATAACTTAACCCCTCACAGCTTTACATGAAGATCTCAGCACAATTCTGTATGCATTCCTAATAATTTTGTAGAATAAGAAAGGATCCCACTTTCTTTACAGGAAGCATAAAAAATACGTTATTTTTGTACTAATGCAGACTAATGCAAACTATGTAATGCAAGAGATTAGCTCGTCAGTACACAAAGTGCAACATTTAGTAAAAGCCAGCAAACTTTGGCCAGCAGTAATCTAGTAGTGTTCATGTATATTTATGTTCAAGTAATAATGCTTCATAATGACTCCCTATTACAGTGAGAGTGCTACTACCGCTATGCATACTCAAATACCCCAGTTTCCTACATATATCTAATTAAGAACCGTCATCATCTCCCAAATAGCTATGCTTTAATCTGTTTAGTCCTGGATCATCCACACATTTGAGATGTTTTGTTCCAAGGTGCACTCGTAATTGCTAAACCCAATTATCGCGCGACCTGATAGCACAGCTTCATTGAAATAGTTCGGTGCGGATGACCCTTGATATAAAGTTGCAAACATTCTTAATGCTTTCCTGTGGCCTAGAAAAAGAGATGTTGGAGGAATTCGAGACAAAAGAGACACCAATATTTGGTAGTTTGCCAGCCCTGTTGCTTTTCCTTTGGCCAGACAAACACAATTGTGAAGAGAACTAAAGCATTGTGTAAAATTTTACATTTTGAGCAAATATTTTTTCCTCTTTTCTAGCTCAAATAAAGAATCAGAGGTATTTAAGCACATCGGTAAATTTAGTCTGATGCGCTGCGAATTACGATAAACCAAGTCATTGTACATCACAAGAGGTTTTCAAGAGTACTCCGCAATCGTATTTCACGTTTTTATGATCTGGAATATTTTCTCCTGAATAGTTGTTGCACATTTTCATTGGCATTTGCATACTACAATTATTATGTATTAAAGTCCTAAAATGAAGGATGTTTAGTAAACGGTTCGAATGCTCTCACCATATTGAATAATAAACACAGAGTAGAATGTGAAGTCTCTCTCAAATTATAGTTAAAGTTATCTCAACTAAGAAACGCAGGTTTAAAATTTTAATTAACATGAGAAATAATCTCAAAAAAATTCTAGCCAAGTATTTGATAACTTTCTGCATTTATTTTTACCTGTTGTCTGCAATCCAGAAAAGATAATGAGAGAGAAAAAAAGTTTGTTGAGAGATCCAGTGCATTCAAAATTCCAAGTCATTTTCATCATTCCTTATTCGGTAAGAGTCGATGCACTTATTGTTACAATATTCACACACATCTGACACTTAATGTGCTTATGGAAGATATTTTCATGAACATACACCATTCCCCAATAAGAATATCTGTATAATAGAAGTAAATGCAATCTGTATATATTACGCAGATTCGTTGGGCAGAAAAGCAAAATTTACTGGATTATTAGTGCAGAGATTTTCGGAGAGAAGATGAGGAGACAATAATGGCCTGCTTTCGGCTTTTTCTTTTCCACACACAAATCAACAACTCTCTGTTTCTCTTTTAATGTCTCGATAGATTATAAAACACATCGTTCTGTTGCCAACGAGAAAGTGAGTTGATAGTCATTAGATAACGTCGAATAGATGTGACTGGTGATAATGACGACCATTAAAAGCACTATAACTTTGACTGGCTTCAAATGAAGTAGTAACACCACATAGATAAGTGTCGACCCACCACCGTGCGTGTGGGAGCAGTTGAATACAAAAAACGGGAACAAAAAGTAAAGATTTGGGCAATTTGCCTATTATTTTTTCAACACTTGGATTGTTTTGTTAGGCACTTTTGGAAACTTTTGCCGTGTTCATCAATCCGAAGATTGGTATGACCGAATTATGAATGAAGAATCACTTTTTTTGTTATAACCCATCACAAATGTCACAGTGAGAAATGCGGACCATGGATTTCGAAATCATAAACTTTACAAACTTTTAATATGAATTTCTGGAAGTAGACTCTGAATTTGTTCTGAATTTTCACAATACTCTAACAGTCACGGTAATAGCCCACTGTCACCATTTTTTCACTGATCTTTGGGTTATCACAAAGTTTTGAACGGGTTATATGTTTCCATTCTCCTTTACTTGCACTAACTGGCACTAGTTTGGACGCACACTCTTTCTCTCTTGAGTACAGTAACACGAGTTGTGAGATTTTCTGAAGTTTTTCTGCCAGAAGTTTTGATTCGTCTTTGTGCCAACTTAACTTACTGCTGCCTGTCATTCATGTTATACATGGACATCAGTCACTACTCTCCATTTCTATTCTTCTGCGCTTTCCCGTAATGAGTAATCTCTCGGATTTTGTGACTTTACGCGAACGTAAATCAGCACGTTGTGCTCACGTAATGTTTACCTCATCTAAGATGCAGACCAACTGAAGAAACAACGCTCTGCTTACAAACACACGTATTCTTGGCATGCCAAGAAAGGGACGTATCTACTTCTTACTACAGCCCAGCCAAGTAATACCAGATTTTAAATCTCACCACATACACAGCCACACTAGTTTCTGAAGCTGCATAAAGACGCACATGGGAAACCACAACGACGTGAGTACAAATGACTGTAGCACGCACAGGCACAATGAGTTGTTCCAACTTGTAATTTAAGGACAATAATGTTCTTTTAACGGCAAAAGTCTTTGGTAAAGGGTTGGATCAGAGTGATTTCAGACAAAATACTTGAATAATATTGTATAATTATATTTATAAGAATGCATGAACTGTGAAATATGTATTTGGCTGAACGGGAGGAGTTTTTCCATTACTCAAAACTTGCTGGAATGAGATTAATATACAAAAAAGGTTGGACACATCATTTAAAGAAAATGCAATTTACACCCATTTTTCCTAGTTAATTGCCTTCTTTGTCCAAAGCTAAATAAAATCCTAGAACAAAGGAAAAACGAGTAAGGAGAAACATACGCGATCCGAGTTTTCAATTTCGGCCCAGCAATTATTAAAGTAGTGGCACTTTACGCACAAGGTGTATGTTTTTGTGAATGTAACAGCCAACCGTCTTTTAACAAGATTTAGGAAGATGCATGGACCATCTTTCTCCGTAAATACTGCGAATGCAATCTGTAAAGTGTTTGTTTAGGAAATGTTACACGAACCCTTAAATAAAGCCGTGAGATTATGATTCTATTTTTTCAGGGTGTGATTTTGGTAGAGTTTATTGCTCATTTGGTTATGTGCATGGCACTGAATGAGATAGTTTTTAACATCCCCAGAGTTTTTACTGCGGTTTTTGTTGGGTTAATGAGTTCGAAATGCTGGGGCTGATACGCCGTAGCTGTAATAATGAGCGGAATGTAGGTTGTAGATTGTGATTATTCCCTTTATTATGGGTTGCGCTGTCATATAATGATACTTCCTCGACTTTGTTCAGAAACTCATTCATGAAAGGGAACTGGAAAAGTGCGAAAATGCCACATTCTGTGAAATTTTATGAGCTCTTCTTCGGCTGAAACCTCTAATTTAATACGGCCATGCAGCTGTAGATACAAAAAATTACTGTTTCATAGCGTAATGACTGTCATTGGAGTTTTAGGGTTTAATTTGTGACACATGTATTACATCACAAACATGTTTAATAGAATATATTTATTACTGAATGAAATAATGTGTCATGTCAGTTTATATAGGGTCCTTTTTAATTGTAAGCTCATCCTTGTGTGATATATACATACGTTCACATAATGTGAGATATATTACATGCATGTATTAACTGTTCGATATCATTTATACATCTTTTGTACTTTCCTTGGCTACATTTCATGGCTTCATGCGAATGTTGTAAACTTGCGCTTGAAAAATCTAGAGCTTCGAATTGCGTACAAATTACTCACATACCCTTTCCAGGATGGGTAGAAAATAGTTTTTGATACAATTTATGTATAAATATGTTGCAAATTATTTAGGTACTAAATTATAGATTTTAACGGCAAGCCTTTCTAGGAATTTTTGCCACCATTACGTTGCCCACACTACAACGTACAACACAATCAATACATAATCATCTATGTACAAGTAATTTGTTGCGTGACTGCGACTTCTTTAAACCAGAGCGGAAAAGAATCCGGCCATGGTACTTTACTTGTTCATGAACGTAATTGAAGTTGTAGTGACTCTTCCAAAGCTATTACCACCCGAACACTAAAACGCTCATCCTGTCTTCGGTATGTTTGGTGTTTTATTGTTGTTTTTTTAGCCTTGATCCTACCGACGTTGTAGTTGGATTGACATAGTTCATCATAATTGGAGAATTTGTTCGTGTGTATGATGATTGGAGATACATATGCACATGTACAGGAGTAATGTGCATTGCAGGAGTCCATGCAATCATCATTGACTAGAAAGGAGAAAGACTGCTACCAAATAATTTCTCTATATTACTTACTGTATTTTTTTTACTGTTGAACTGTATGAGTCAAAATTATTGAGAACGAATATTATTGGGCTTTTAAAAGACTAGTTTCTTGTATTCTGTGAGGTTTCACAGGGAGAGCCGTTAAATCATCCCTTGTTTTGAACTGGAATTTCAACAAGTTTTTATTTTGTTGCTGCTGTTGCTGTGCCTCATGGCATTTTTTTTCAACTTGAAATCACGACTTTTTCAAGAATTTATTTCCGTTCTCTATTTTTAACTTATTTTGAAGCTGTGAGTATTCAGCATTGGCAACAGGGGTTGGTTTTTTGTACGTGAAGGGGAGGACGAGGCTGGCTACAGCGTGTAATGTAATGGAGAAGATAATAAATGGTGTGTTTACCTTTTATGCATTTCCTGTCCCTTGGGGGTTTTCAATTTGCTCCTTTATTACACATCTTAAAGTACCAATCAAAACTTGTTCGGATGTTGAAGGGCTGTATTTTATTGCTGGGCTTGGTTCGACAATAATTTTTGATGAAGATTTTATCCGGTCTGTTCCCTGTATGTATATATTCCCAGTTTTCAAACCACAAACTCCAACTCGCACTATGGTGTGTAAATGCATTTTACAAGTGAAGTAGAATTGGTCAGGTTGTATTTTTTTACAATTTTTCATGAACATTTTCCACCTCGTTAATTCCTAATTTGTTTTTGCGGTGTCAAGAATCAACCAATACTTAAGAAAATAACATATCAGATAATGTACGATAAAATCTAGAATCGTGCATCACATCAATCTCAGATTTGGAAGAGGATAGAAGAAAACCTTCTTTGTGTCTCATTTGGTTTGAGGCAACGCATGAAAAAATCAGGTCTCTTGTAACTTATGCTTTGATGGAAATCATTATCCTATTTTATTCATACTTTGATTTATGATATGTTTTCGAATAAATTATGAACTGATTGTTCCTACATTTTGGTCTTTAATGTTTTTTTCTCCATATTTATGTTTGAAATGTTTAAATATAATCTTGCAAAAGCGCTAAAGTTGCATTGTTAGTGAACAAGTCGATGAGATATACATTTGTAAAACGTCGACACACAACCAGCATCAGCTAATTGGAACAGGATTACTTACATATGGACTGCAAGGTCCTTGATAAATACAGGAAAAATCTCAAAAACTTTGAAATTGTCCAACAAGCGAGAAAATTCCTGGTATTACAGATATACGCAGTATATTAGGTATGCATACTGTAAGCATGAGTGTAATAGCATTCATGCAGAGGTATTTCAATAAATCTAACCAAATTTTTATGTCGCCAAAATTAGATTTTGTAATGCTAATCCTAAGCTAAACAACGTAAGAATAACATAGCAGATGGATCAAAATAATAACAGGCCATGAATGAAGAGACGACTCAGCGTCCTTCTAAACGTAGCGTGAAAATGGTTTCTCATGAAATTGGATTACACACTTATTAAACTCACCCTAAAATTATATAAAAAATTAAGTTCTTTGGAGAAGCATTTGTTGCTGCCTGTAGTCAAAACAGTGCTTAGCTCCCAAGAATTAATTGAGACGTTGACTATACATATGTAGTTCCATTAATTTGATTCACACTTTGCCAGATTTTTGCTGCGAGGAAACACATTTTTTATCTGCTAACGTACTAATCTTAAATATAAATGTAAAAATGTGTGTATAATTATTATGAGAATGCGGTTGCCGTTGTAATTTATAAGTTGTTTTTGCCTGGAGCAAAATTCTCATGAGCTTATAGAGAGGGCTTCTCTGATTGCCATACGAAAACCACTTTATGTCACTTTTCTATCACTACACTAACCAACGAACATCAACCTTTGCACTATTAATGGTATTATTAATATGTTGTTATATATCTATGAAGCAGCTGGAGAGAGCCGGTTGTTTTTGTATGAAAAATATTTGGTCGACAACAAACTTTAAAGCATCCATCAAATTTATTAAATCTGGAGTTTATAAATGAATAGCATGATTTTGTTTTCGGCTGGAAATAAAATACAATCGGTGATAAACCTTTTGCCATCTGGGAAGTTACAACAATGTCAGAGGAGCACAAGTTTGTCCGTGCGATCCTTTCACAAGGCGTACTTGGAGCGAGTTACGGTGATCGGGGGAGGCCACATGGGGTCGGGCATTGCACAAGTATGAAAACCCACAAAATTTTGCAAATATTTTATGTTTAACGGAACTAATGCATATAGCAAGTTTAAGGCAACTGCTAAACAAGTATATGCCTAATCCAAATTGTAGAGGAACCATCGCGTATGTGTGTACCATTAATTGTGCTATTTTATTATCTGGCAGATCTCGGCAGCTGCTGGAAATTTCGTAACAGTTGCTGATGTAAATGAAAATGCGCTTTCAAAATCTCGACAACGAATGGAACAAAGGCTCGTGCGATTTTCAAAAAAACTATTGAAGGTTATTCAATACACATTGTTAGCCATAAAGTCCCAATTCCCATGTGTCAGTGTACAACCAATATCGAATCTTAGAACAAGTAGCTTGAAATAACTAACATCTCAAAACGAGAAATATCGCGTTTGACATGCATTACTAAAATATTCTACTTATAAAATAGGACGATGCAGAAAAAATTCATAAGCAAGTGGAAACTGTATTAAGCAAAATTCAATTTACCACCGATATAAAGAACGCGGTTAAGCAATGCGATCTGGTAGTGGAAGCAATTCCGGAGGACATTGAGCTTAAGCACAAATTGTTTGAAACAATTGATAAAGTATGTAAATAATGCCAAGGGTCAGGTTTTGACCAAACTTAACGCTGTTAAGTTAACCGGACCGAAATAATTATGCATTTAATTGTTAAAGAATTATTGTTTAAACAATAATTTACAGGTTGCTCACGAGGCCACAATATTTGTCACAAATACGTCTTCCATCCCGGTTCATGAATTGGCTCAAGCTTTGAGTTCAAAAAGGAAGGAGCAGTTTGCTGGAACTCATTTCTTTGAACCCGTGACTGTAAAGTTGTTGGAAGTTGTGCGAATTCCAGAGACGAGGGAAGAAGTATTTCACAAGGTGATGGAGTGGGGCAGATTCATCGGTAAAGTTCCCGTTGTCTGTAAAGATTCTCCCGGATTTATTGTAAATCGACTCAACATTCCCTATCTAATTAACGCAGTCAGCATGTTTGAGCGTGGTCAGTAATAACAATACACCTACAAACCAACTTTATTCTTGGCGTGGGTTATTTATGAAGAATTTGATCATAGGTGATGCGTCATATCAAGATATTGATGTTGCCATGAAACTAGGGGCTGGTTACCCTTATGGTCCTTTCGAGCTTGCTGATTATGTTGGACTGGATGTCATTTACATGATATTAATCGGTAGCAGAATTTATCCTCATATTTTATTCCTACCTAAATACATGTAAATTGGTTTTTGTATTTGACTTTTTGTTAAGGGTGGGAACGTCGGTTTGCAGACGTCGAGAGATTCAAGTGTCCAAACACCATAAAGGAAATGTACAAACAAGGGAGATTTGGAAAAAAGTGTGGACAAGGTTTCTACTCGTATTGAGAATCTTGTGATATGTAAATATGTTCGTCCATGCAAATTGCTCACATTACATAATAAACTACATACAGTCTAAATTCGCACTAAATTGTGGTATCGAATGGTAACATTTTCATTCAATTTCAGCATGTACATCAATTCGGTGTAAAATACAAATATGAAATCAGACGCAATAACTTTTGAATTACCTGGTCTTCATGACGTATTTATGGTATATCTAGTGAGATACCAGAGTAGGCGTGACCAACCACGCTGTGATATGTACGATGATGTTGTATACATTGGAAAAACAACAACTCATCCTTAATGGGATCCATTAGAGATAACAGATGTTCTGAGGTTTCTTATGAATCCAATTCTCCGGAGCATCATGCATCATCATATTCAAGCACGCTGAACATACTGTAAATTTCGTGTGCAATATTTTAACCTGTACCAATAATACCTCATTTGGTTTACCGTATCGTATCATAATTATCCGCAAGTTTTGCTCAAAGAATATTGACGTATCAAATATGAAACCATGCTTTTAGATTTTGTCTCTTTTTAGATTTTTGGCATTACAAAAAAGAAATGGTGTGTGCCACGAAAAAATTATGAAAGATTTTCAATCATAAAAATTAAACTTTATTAAATATTTCAATTGATTGATACGCATGCTAGAACTTTTTGCTATAATATATGCATACACCGGTTTGGTGGCGAAAACCTTTATCCATGCACGCATTTCCATATTGGTGACCCTTGATTGATAAGAAAACAAGTGGGCAGTAAAACAGGACGGAACATATGCCTTGAATTTACAATAGAATTCGTCGTCACTAGAAGGTAACAATGTGTCTCATACGGTATCCACCAGTACATAATATCCTGACATGACGGGATAATGTACGTACGTAAATATGTATGTGCCCAAACCACAGCCATATGTAGAATATGTTTGCACTTTGCATACGCGTGTGTTATACCTGTAATTATACCAGGCATGAGACGGATTACCTTGCTAGAGAAGTAAATTTATAATGTATTTCATTATCTTTGCCTCGTTATAAAGTGGTATACGGCATAATGTGTATTTAGCAGGATGCATTTGGGGACTCTTCATTTCTCCAGAGACACAGGAACTCCCCAATCAGTCAAACTAATCATCTCATTTACTTACTTACATCCCTGCTGCATTTCTGGCTTCTTATCAATCGATCCGCCGTCCATTTGAAACCATTGCAAACTTACATAGTTGGCATAATAATACACTACACTCATTCCTCCGGACACTACATGCACATCGTAAATGCCGAGGAGGCTCAAAATCTGCAAACGGTCCGTGTGGTGCTGTAAAATTTCATCCAGTGATTGAAAGATCAGGGAAACTTTATACATAGATTTTTTTGCCCATTTTTCTATAATATCAATAACCCAACATTTAAAATCCTGAGGCTCTTTAATCCTAGTTCTTTAACGATCAGCGCAGTATTAATAGAATATTCTAAAACTTTTACTACTACGTAAAGAAAATTTTGAGTACTGGAAAGTTGAAACTAATTTTTTTAGCAGTCTGCTGAAAATTTTATCCTTTGATCGATAATGATTAATTTTAAATCTGTGACCCTCTGGCTACTTCCTTTTGCGCTAAATCTGGTACTACAGCAATTAGTGCTAGTGGAATGTAAATCAACGAGGAAAGATTCGTCTGTGTCTGGCCTGAATCAAGCGTTGGACGGACTTTTGCTGAAACTTTATGGTGACATTGAGCCTCGGGATGAAATTCTATGGAATACTAAACATGCGGAACATGTCGGCGATGATAATGCAATTCATTATTCGAATGAGTGGTTGGTGTACGTTCAGGAGAAAGAAGCCGCTGATCGACTCGCTGCACAAAGTGGATATGAAAATCTTGGGGAGGTACGGACGCGATCAAACTTATTAATTAATTGCTCATGGCCATAAAATAGCCTCAAGATACATATGAACGTGGGTTTTCTTTCTGTATGTAATAATAATAATCTCTCTCTTTCTCTCCTCCTCGTGGTTATCTCTGTATTTAATTGGAACGGACTTCATTAAGCTTAAGGAATTTCCTGGTGTCTACCTGATGAGAAATTCGAATCATCCCAGGAAACATAAAAGGAGTGCACGGGAACTTACTCAACAACTACAAAACTATCCACAAGTAATCAACCCTTTAATATAATCCAATAATTTATTAGGCATAAAAAAACTGAAACTCATTACTGACAGTCCAACTAATAAATACGTGCGTACTACTACAGAGATGCTCCTGCATGCATATTGCATAATAAATATGTATGTGTACGTCCGTGAGTACTTAAATATTTGGTATTTGTTGATTAACTAAAACAGGTTGTATGGGCAGATCAACAATTTTCGAAATTTAGAGTGAAACGAGATCCTCTAGATTTGATTCATCTCGTGCAGAATTTTAAGGTGGACAACTTTTTTAGACAAAACAATCTCAACATTTTCGGGAATCTCGGAACCAATAATAGATTTCAGGATCCGCTTTGGGAAAAACAATGGTACATGGTGAGTTTATATCCATTGCAACTAGGTGGATAGATGCAGCATTATTTGATACTTGAACCCTTTGAACATTTCGGTTTCTCAGCAAGATACCAGGACTAGGAAATCTTTACCAAGACTTGATCTCAACGTTCTGCCAGTTTTTAGCATGGGGTACACTGGGAAAGGTGTAAAAGTCGTCGTTTTAGACGACGGATTGGAACACAGTCATATGGATATTTCACCAAATTACGTAATCAACAATTAACTAAATCAGACCTGCACGGAAATGCACTTTATTTTTTTGTACATTCGGATTGAATGAGACGTTGATTTTCTCCTATTGATCCGTTTTCAAGGTGGCTAGCATTAGTGGTGATTTAAATGACAACGACAACGATCCCACACCTCACTACGGATCTCATCCAGATAATTCTCATGGAACACGATGTGCTGGTGAAATCGCAATGGTCGCAAATAACTCTGTTTGCGGAGTTGGAATCGCCTACAATGCTGGAATTGGAGGTGTTCGGATGCTGGATGGACCTGTGAGTGATCGAGTTGAGGGAGAAGCACTGTCATTTGCGGTGGACCAAGTGGACGTCTATTCTGCTTCTTGGGGTCCGAATGACGATGGTCAGGTGAGTATCTTATCTTATATACTTATCCATCCACAATTTCTAATTGGTATTACATGCGAGTATTGAGTATATTTATGATGATGGTGTACTTTTTATCTTAAATAAAGACGGTCGAAGGGCCTGGTCGCCTGGCTCAGAGGTCTCTCATCAAGGGAATTACTCAAGGGCGGAAGGGAAAGGGGATAATATACGTGTGGGCGTCCGGAAATGGTGGATCTAAAGGAGATTGTTGCAGCTGCGATGGTTACACTTCGAGCATCTTCACCCTGTCCATCGGAAGCGCATCCGAATCTGGGGCTTTTCCCTGGTACGGTGAAAAGTGTCCCTCCACGATGGCAGTCACCTATTCTAGTGGGGCCTACACGGACCAAAAATTGTAATTGTTTTCTATTTGAGTCACCAATTTAAAATGTTACAATCATTCACAACCCATCCGTGCGTATTTATACGCAATATCGCTTCTACTGGCATGCAGAAAACAATTTTTAAATAAAAAGCAAAACCACAGTTTAGCCAAGCAGCCCTAGTGTTGCGTAAATAAGGAAATATATATTTAGAACATAACTATATCAACTATATGCATATTCGCCCACGCTTCTGATGGAAATTGCAGGAATGTGGGTGAATTCAGCGTATACATAGAGATGTATATACAAGTGCATATACATCCATTTATCCATGTTATGCATATGTATTTGGGATACCAAGGAATGTGATATCTAATAATTGTGTTTCTTTGCTGTGGCTTCAATCAAGGCAACTACAGATTTGATGAATCAGTGCACAACGAGCCACACAGGTGAGCAAAAATTAATTTATAAAGAACGTCCGGGAATGAATGGGAATGGTCTGAAAATGTGGTCATAAAATCACAATGAGTTATCGGAATTTTAAACTTTTTGCATATGTATAATACCAAATACGTACCTACATAATTTAATTAATAGCTAAGGCCGCCACACCCCCGTTGGCGACTAGTTCGATTTTCTTGCGAAGATTTTTCATTAAATTTTTTCCCGAAGTTTTTGCCACTTCCGAGGTGATTTTCTTCCATCGTCCTTTGAATTTTCGAAAGGTGTCAGGCACATCTTGAAGCCGGGAGTATACTGACTTAGAACGTGCCCAGAATTTTTCGATTGGGCGGAGTTGGGGTACATTAGGTGGGTTGATATCTTTTGGTACGAAATCAATATTTTTCTTTCTGAGGTACTCGGTCACTTTCTTTGCATAGTGACAAGTGGCGAGGTCAGGCCAAAACAAAACTTTATCATTTTTGTGAAACCTATTAATAAATGCTTCCAATCCAGCCTTGACGCAATTTTTCAGATAAATATCTTGATTGATATTCCCTTCGAGAACTACCGGGTCTGATACATGTCCGTGACTGGAGATGCATTGCCAAATGCAATATTTCTTTGGAAATTTGTCTTTTTTTCGTACTTTTTCTTCATAAGCCACTTCAGAGGGATCCGAGCTATGAAAAAAATGACGCCCTGGAAGATTTGAAGGGTCAACCGGAACATACGTTTCGTCATCCAGGATCACTACTTTTCCACGCATTTTCTTCAACAATTTTTGACAGCAATCCTTGATCCGACTTTCTTGTACGGGCTTGTAATTTGGTGCAGGTTTTTTGGTCCTTGCTTTGATTCCTAATTTATGGACCTTAATTTCCCCCAGGTAGCTTTTGGAAATTTTGACTTTCCTGGCAGCTACAGCTACTGACGTTGATGGCTTGGTTTTGAAAATTTTTTCAATTCTATTTTTCACTCGAGTGGTCGCTAGCTTCGCCGGACGACCAGCTGGCTTCTTGAATTGCACATTTTCGGAATCCTTGAACTTTTTTATGTAGGAATACACATTTGAACTTGGAATTCCTTCCTGCTTAAAAAAGTTCTAGGTCACCTTGGAGTCTCGGTTGGCTGTCGTGTTGTAGAACTCCATCACTCGTTTTCCTAACAGCTCCCTTTCAAACAAGCTTCTTCTACCCTTATCCATTTTTGAAATTTAAGAGTGATATACCAAATTGACCCTAATGAAGTGGGCTTTCAGAAATTTAAATTATTATAGTTCGCGGGTTTATTGATTTGTCAATATACTCGCTAGAGCGCGCATTCCCATTCATTCCCGGACGTTCTTTATATTTATATATCAGTGTGTTCATATGTGTGTGTGGGCCATGCAAATTTCAGCCGAGTGATAATAAATTTTTGGCTATTGCAGGAACCTCTGCTTCCGCACCATTGGCAGGTACATACATACATAAGTGGCTAACAGCACTATAAGCGTTCCAAAATTGATGGAATTTATATGGCGGAAATTATGTAAGATGTGCATAAAATGTACGTAATGCATAACAGCATATTTCTTTTCTTGCAGCCGGGATAGTTGCGCTCGTTTTGGAAGCAAAGTAATAAGTGAACTAACGAACGTGTTCGTAATGATCCCTCCAAAGAGTGATGCGGTTTGATGGAAGTTAACTTATTGATGTGATTTCTTTGAAGTGGGCAGTTGACCTGGAGAGATATCCAGCATCTGACGGTATGGACAGCACAACCCGGTCCACTTCTGGACAATCCAGGTTGGAGAACCAATGCTGAGGGATTCCAGTACAACTCCCGTTTCGGATTTGGTCTCCTGGATGCTCATGGAATGGTTAAAATGGCTCTAAATTGGACAAATGTTCCACCGCAGAGGATCTGTCGTGTCAAATCACTTCCATTGTAAGTGGTCTCTATAGCATATTTGTGTCCATATCATGCTGTATTCACGTACTTACGTATATGTATATGTACGGGATCGATTGCTCGTCACCACCACTATATATAAATACACATAGAGACTAAATGGGGAGTTTAAAAATTGCACAACTGCATGCCCATGACCTTGGTATTAAAAAAAATTTTAACTATTTTGGGGATGCATCTTACCCTTGTTTTTCCGAATACCCAAAATATATAGCAAAATCATTTAAAGATTAAATTTATGGCTTGAGTACGTGATGCATATGCAGACAAAAACTACATATACTTTTTTGAGTTGATGTGTTGGTAAGCGCATGTTTGTGACAATTTTGGAGTAGTTATCGTTTTCACTTTCAATTAGTATTGAAAAATCTGCAGTGCACGTCCTTGTGCTGTTCATTACCTGTTATTGGTGTTGCGTTGTTCTACATTTTGTACAAGGTTTTAGGAATTGCATTAGGACTAAATCACTCCTGAAAGCTTTCCAAATCCGATTCACTCCTCCTGTGTAAAATTGAGTTTCATCTCTCAAATCCTGCCAATGGTGCAAAAATGCCCTGTCGATTTTGAAAGGTAGATCAAAGTGCAAGCTCTCAGGTCAAAGTGTAAATATGTTCGCATGGAGCTCTCTCTCGACTCCATCGCAATTTCCTTTCCCCTCCCTTTAGAAAGTACTTGTGTAAGTTTTTATCCTCATCTGCCCTCCAGCAACGTGAGCATTATGGCTGGTACATAATACTTATATAACATATTAGTATTGCTCATCCAGAGGCCAAGGCTTATTTTATATGAACCATGCTCACACGCTTTCTCCTATGCTTTCTCTTTCTCTCCCTCCTTCTCCCCACCCAATTCAAGGAAAAAGAGAAATTTCCCGAAGGTGTTATTACATTAACAACCTGGAAAACTCGGTCACTTCGATCGAATTAACCCTTAATCCAATTTAACGATTTATCATGGTTTCCTGTCCAAGATGAGGACGTGTGTTAGCTGGCCTTTGTTATTTTTACCCAGGTCTGACCGGGTGATTGACCCAATGAAGCCAAAAATCGTGGAATTCATTACGGACGCTTGTCGCGACACGGAAAACCAAATCAACTTTTTGGAACATGTTCAAGTGATCACAACGGTCCAGTGCAGTCAACGTGGTGCACTGCAAATTGATTTGACTTCCCCGCAAGGTCAGTTTAACAGTCTGATCAGGTGCTCATCTTTATACTGCTAAAAGCATGTATGAAAAGAGGGAAGAAAAACTAGGGTTGCTTGTTCCTACACACACACGTAACATACATACATAAGTCCATATATATTTGAAACAGGAACTATTACCAGGCTCCTTTTCCCAAGGAAGTTTGACTCCTCTGCAACTGGATTCTCAGAGTGGCCTTTCTCCTCAACACACACGTGGGGTGAAAGTGCTGCGGGGAAATGGATCTTCAATTTAACCGATTCCGTAAGTTACACACATTTTTAGTTTGTACATCCAGACCTGCATAATATGATTATGCATGTATTCTCCATCATGTCCTGACCCCCTGTCTTAGATATTAATCGCTATTGTCCAAGCGACTCTTAGATTTATAATTTTTTCCGTGCTTGCTTACATATTAGACGGGAAATCCACGTCACGAGGGATTTTTGGAGAACGTGGAACTGATCTTATACGGAACACAAGAGCCAACTTTCCAAGCCTCGAAAGGGAGACGAGTGTATCCACAAGAGTACAAGAAAAAGAGTTTGTTCCCACATAACGATGGATTGAAACCTGGTGATAGGTTGCAAGCCATCTTGGACGATATGAACAATTGGGTTTAAAATTACACCCATTATTATGGAATGCTGTGGATTGGGAAATTGAGTATTTTTGTAACAAAATTCCAAATTATGAACATGTATCCTTGCATTGTGTACAATTCCTCGATACCACGCTGTTTGTCATATGCGTACTAGTATGATTTTTAACTTTTACGACAGATGTGAATTTTTAAGATAGCGTGTGTGGAGACAAACATACTTTCGATTTACTTTCGTGTAATTTTATGTAGGGAAAGCATATTGGTGAACTTATTTAGCAACTTTTTATTTTAATATTTTGACATCTACACACGATACAAATCAAGAGTGATAAAACTTGTTTCAATTCTAGTCAAAACTAGTTATTTTAAAATCTGAGAAAATTGGGTATTAATTAAATTCACACCAACTGTGAATGAAGATGCAACTGTGAAAGTGTATAAACGCACTTTAGCGAAGGCGTTGTTGAGCGTAATGAATAAGTATGTATCTTCAAATCAATGAATAAAAATTAAATTGAACTGCAATGAACTTAAGATCATGAATGAATCATTTATTTTTACATTTTGTTAAATAATCAAAAAACATCAACAACAGTACTACACTTCACAACAACAGTGTTTGCTGGAAGTTCAGCTTTTCAAATTTCACTTAAAAGTTAGCATGCAGTCGTTTGGTTGGTTATACACGATTATTATAAGACTAAGAAAACGTGTGTCGCAGTTGTGTGTGGCCTTACTGAACTAAGAGCTAGTTAGTTCTTATACAATATTCTACGTTTTTCTTTAAAATGTAACATGAAGTGAGCTGTTAATATTTTTTACAGTAGTAAGATTCACAATGGTTGTGTCTCTGTGTGTGTATATGTGTGTGGGGCCATGCACAATTTGTAATTAAAAGTATTTACACGCACATCATCCTCGATCCTCCTGTTCTTATATTTGTGAAATTCTCTGTCGTCTTTAACGTTACGTAGTATCTAGCTGGAACGTCATAATAATTACCTTAAGGATTGACTAATCAAACATCTGCATATGCGAGTACCCTATAATCAACGAATAAAATTAAAACGACATTGGACAATAAGTGTCAGATGGACGACAAGAATGATGACCATTAACACCTTCTCTCTATTTTTTGATGATGAGTAAAACAGTTACGGGATATAATAAAGGAAGTTGCACTCTTATTACTTTCTCCTCATCGACGACGACGACTCTTTTACAACGACGTTATATAATAGGAACGACGGCAGATGAGAATTACCCCAAGCTCCGTGGTCAAAAAGTCAGAATATAATACCTATAATTACTACCATTTAATACGACGTAATATTCGTTACTATGACAACAAACTCGACTTGTTGTGGAAGGATTTGACAAATTCAAGGCCCTAATTTCATGTAATAGTAAAATGTAATTAAATGTAACGTTAATTAGCATATCTACGTTTGCGGGGGGTATCAAATCCTAAAATTAGTTGTTATAAATTCTTTTACAAGGCAAACCTAAGACGTTTAATATAATTATTCGGTACTGATGAACATGTTTAATTAGTCATTCCATACTTCTAACAGTCGGGTTTTTAAAAGTTGTTGACGATATTAGCTCTTATATTCCTTACTCAGCTTAATTACGCTTACGTTTCTCAATATATGGTGGCTTAAAAAGAGTGCTTATAGTTCTTATGTAATATGTGGATGTCATATGGTTCAGACGAACAATGAATAGTCACGTTGTTATTTTTACGGTTTCGACAATCAATACAAGGTGATTAATATATAAGTATGCTAATTAATTATTATAATAATAATAATATTTACCATTACATCAATGCTACCATGATCAAAATCCTACAAAAACCTCAACGACACACCATAGAAGTGATCCCCCCAATCACCGTGTATGCATGTTGGATTTAATGTCACTGGAAGTTGACCACCCACCAAGTACACATGTATGTATATTGATATCAATAAAAACCTATGGAGGTACAATGGAGACGTAGAAAGAGAAAAATCCTCCAATAACTACTACAATGACAACCCTATAAACATCTATAGTATGTAACTAATTAATATGTACTCATATGGCATAATGCCTACTAAAAAGTATTGTTATTGTAATCTTTACCTTATTTTTTACTACCCTTCTTGCTTACTATCTTAATTTTATTAATGACAATCGAATCATTCTTAATTACAGTTGGCATTCAATCGCTGGTTGTTTTGTTGCCTGCTGCAGTGGTTGCTGCAAGTGGTGTCGGATGGACGAAATTTGACGACTCGTTATCATTGTTCCGCTGTGTAGTACATAACGGCGATCAAAGCTGCCCAATAACGACAACCACATGCACAGCTACTCGCAAACATCAAAATTGAAGAAAACACATGAGAAACGAAACAAAACATGACAGAAATATATTTTTACGACGTTAGAAAATCAGACTGCAAAAATGGGAAAAGGACAAATTGCAGTTCTATCTACTTGTTAGTTCAACACTTTAATGGAGTAGTATATAGTGTGCATACGTCCACCTTAGAATGAACTGATACACCATGAAATCTTAATTATATAATAATAGTAATCATATGTACATTTAATAACATGTCAGCATGTTAAAAGAGCAAGTGATATTATGAAGACGGTAGTGAAATGAATTTAGCATCTGGTAATAGAAATGCGGCTCAAGAAAGCAATATTAATAATGGTCGGTGTGTGAGAGGGAGGGTAGGTCGTGGACACACTGGGAGGGGAGACTACTAGACAAGAGGAAATTAAATTTGAGAAAAATGCGTCGTCGTCGTCCCCTAAAAGTACAGTATTGTATGTATTTATGAATGTCAGTGTGACACTTTTTATATAGTAGAGTAGTATGGCTGAGCGTTGCTTATTATTTTACAACAGTATCATCTTTCACAGTCGGTCTTCTTTATCTCTCATCATCTCAATATATTATAGGTATGTATGTTATCCTTACAAGTATTTGATTGAAAACTGTAGTACATATATAGCTGTTCCCGTCGTCCTTTTAGAGAATACTGAACTAACCATCGTGTGCACCTTCTTATATTTGAAACTAGTCAATCATCATCAAAGTGAACATAAAAAATATAAACTTTATCATTTCATTTCGCTACTACTATAGTTTAGTAGTTCAGTTCAAATCTTATAAATACAGAGTCTTTTGTTTTAAAGAACCTACTACGTGGTAATTTCTAGTCAATAAATTCACGCGGTTACACAAATAAACTAGTCGTAAGTTGATTTAAGTTAAAATTTCATCTCGCGAGGGTGTGTGTGTGAAATAATCGAATACGGCTTAAATAGCTTAAACTCTTATTAAATTTTAATGACTCATTACTAGTTGTATAAATAACGAATGTTGCGTGTACCATATCCTTTTTTTAAATGTGTCGCTTGTTTGGGAGATTGAGATTGTACAGTATTACCTATATACGCTGGATTTATAGCTCAGTTATTAAAATTCGCTCATGGATAACGTTCGAGGTTTGTAGCAGCAGTAGTAGTGTAGTATATAGTAGTAGTCACATGTCATTCATAAAATACGTACAAAATATTCATACTTAAGGCTATTCTATAGAATTGCTACTAGAGTACAAAATTTGTAATTAACAGAACACTTTTTGTTTAGAGGACTGGACTGGGGTCGCCTATTTTGCATCGTAAATGGTCAGGATGGTGGACTGAACCACAGATGATAAAATCACCATATATTTTAATATATATATATATTTGTATTTATACTAGTTCAATCAAGAACGAACGAGAAGGAAAGAAAAACGACGACGAGGAAGAGGGATGAAAATAAAGTCTTAAAAAAGGTCGAATTAATTAATGTGCAGCAACATATCAAGCATTTGTCATAAAGCACTGCATGAAGAAAGTTTATTATTATTCTGCCAGGATTTGTTTTTGTGGTAGAAATTAACGCCTGTATGGGTGATAGCTTGATGATTGGCTTGGTTGTGAATAACTCCCTCCACGCTGTGGTCCATAATTTCCTGCACCAGTTGCGTCAGTGCTTCCATATCCGGAAGCAGCTCCAGTCCCTGCTGCAAAAATATGATGATAAGCTACACGCTACACCCTGTCCTTTTCCACTTTTTTTTATCTACACACACACTTCCCCCGAAAAGGAACACTCAGTCTTGAACCAAATATATAAAGATAAAAGGACACTCGATAATTGATTTTTTCTGATGATATCATCACTGTAGTACAGTCCACTTGTTCCTAACCATGCTCCAATCGGTTTCTTTTACAACAAAATAAACAACGCTGGCCCAGGTTCTTCTCCATCTTCTGTGTCTTAATTAATATAATAATAACAATAATATTCCGTTCGTATAGGGAAAAAGCCCAGCCCAGTAGTCACCTTATTAGAATTTTATACCAAAGATCTTAGCTAATAAAAAGCCGTCAACAGTAACTTAAGCTAATCTAGAGAGATTGATTACTGCTAAAAATTTAAAATTAGGTAGGTGGTCATACGAGATGGTAAAACATACTAATTAGGAGCCGATCAAAATACGATATACGTAGTAGTGGTAGGTAAATAGCAGTAGTAATTGTAGTTGTAATTAAAGTAAGGTAATTTGTAATTTAAACTAATGTAAAGTAAGTAAGTGTAGTAATCCGAATTATAGGTGTCTTAAAATCAATATTATCAGAAATCAATAGGGTTTCTCAAGACTGAGTGCCTATGTCATGTATCGAAGATTTTTAGAAGTCTGACCGTAAGCACGAGAAGGTCCATATGCACCAGCAGCGGTGTCTTGTGGTTGTTGCGAATAACCAGCAGAAGTTCCATATTGAGGTTGCGGAGTCGAGTATGGGTAGCTGGACGCTGCTTTTTGTGGAGCAGGAGCAGCCCCGGGCGCAGTTCCAGGCGCAGCGCTCGGAGTTGCCCCTTGCCGCCCGTACATGTCAGTTGCTTGTGGGGTTGCCCCACTGCTCTGACCATTCTGTCCCATGGTGTAGTTCCAGTTGGCTCCATAGCTGTTTTGCGGAGTTGTTCCTGTGCCAAAGTATCTTATATTATTCTACCCAGTAAAAAAAGTATCTTCAAAAAAATGTACGAGGTTTTAAACTAACAATGGGAACGACAACCGTGTTCAACTAAGATTTTTCTGGTGACTCGCATAGTCCGATAGACCAACTCTGTATAAACAACATTTCGTGCGTCACTTTGACCAGTGTTTTCACAAACTTGTAGTCGCTGAATTTTTCGCATTGGTCGAACTGATGCACCAAATTTTGCTTTAAAGAGTGCTCTATCGAACTGTGTGGGTCACACAAAGGTTGGAGTTAACACCAATTGTAAGCACTAACAGAAAAGGAAGAAACAAAGAGAGTGCTTAGTTGATTGATAAATAAAGCAATTTGATAGGTAAATAAAGCGTCCCAAAAATAAATTAGGACAGCCACGCTTTAACCACTTCGCCCCTATAACGACTATGTGGCGTATTTGATCTTTACACCGAATACGACCATGTGGCGTAGTTCCCTTGGCTCCGGAATACAACCATGTGTCGTATTGACCCTTGACAACGGGTACGACTATGTGGCGTATTTTCCGTTCACGCCGGCATACGACCATGTGTCGTATCCGGAAAAAATTAGGTCATTGCCCTTCCAAGTATAGCAAAATATAGTTTTGAGTCAACAAAACGCCCTTTGGGCGTGAAGATGAATTGCCTCTTCGAAATCAATGTTATAAAGGGAGGTAAAAACAATTTATAGCCAAGTGGCTATTTCTAGCCATCACGCCCAGTTTTGAGAACTGCTGTTGGATGGAATTTTTGTCACCTATTTCAACAGCGCTTTCCGACAAAATTAGAGAAATTGTTTTTCTCGGATTTAGAACGAGCGTTTTTGGCGGGAAAATTAAACCTTGGATGAGTTGCATGAAATTAATATTATGAGGCTAAAAATAATATTGCCATTAGGACAAAATACGTAAAAATTAATTATTACATATCTGGAGCTGGGGCAATCTCTTTGGGCGGGAAAATTAAGAGATTGCCTGGAATTAATAGCAATTAATTTTCCCGCTTAGAATTGAGTTATATACACCAAATGCGCTAAAGTCGATTTCGAACAGTTGATGCTATAATTATAGCCTGTATATTGTATGTCAAGAATTGAAAGCAATATTTGCGAAGTTTAATTTTCCCGCCCAAATCTACTTCTTGGGCGCTTGAGGTGCGATAATCGATTCTTGCGAATTTATGTACTATTATGCAAGTGTTACTCCATGTTTGTCTAACTTTCCATGCGATTACAATCATTTTCAAAATTCGGCGGGTTGGCTATTTTCGGCTATAAACATTAGTGGTTCGGAAAAACGCAAAGATGCAAATTACGGCTCAATATCCATGCCAAAATGGTTATTCGCATCAACTTTCATAAAAAAGTGTCCAGAATAATTCAGGTGGGAACACCATGTTTTAGTTGATCTCCCAGTAATTAACGTCATGCAGTAGGTGAAAATTGCGGGGTCAAGGGAAGTAAAAATTCGTGGTTGCTAGGGGTGAAAGGTATGAAAATATGCGTTTCTCAGGGGTGAAATGGTTAATCTCGCATAAAAATTCATAGTCAACAATAAAATTTTGAATCATCTATCAGAAATTGTTCAAATGAATTTATATCAGTGATAACACTAATAAACCCATCAACCATATACTACCACGTTATCATTAAATCGGCTCTAAGAAATTTTTTTCTGCAAAAAATTGCAATAATATTAAAGAAGCAGTACAGCTGTGTATAATTTATAAAACTCAAGCAACAAGGTAGGCAGCAACCATATATACTATAACTAGATGAGTTTAGTAAACTGGAGTGGACCTATCATATTCTAAGAGTGGTTGGTGTAAAGTAATTTGTAGCGCCAAGATTAATTATAACGACTTAAATTGGTGTATAAATTAGTTGAACGAGTTGAACCCCTCTCACCATAGCCACCGTAGCTTTGCTGGGGAGTAGCTCCATAACTTCCCCATTGGGGCATTTGTTGTCCCTGGGTAGCTTGACCCCATCCTTGATAGCTCTGACCGCCTCCAGGTTGATATCCTTCAGATATTACAAGAAACAAAATCATTAATTAACTTGTATTAATATGTGTAGAGTTAATGAAACTATTGACATTTACCTTGAGGAGCGTATCCAGATTGCTGAGGTGGAGTTCCCCAACCTTGGTAGCCTAAAACGATTCGAGGTTGCTTTATACACATCAGTCTAAAAATTATTCAATATAATCGTTTCTATTAGCATATAAAACCTACCTTGCATCATTCCACCTGGAGGCATGTGACCCATGGGATTTCCCATCTACAAAAAAAGCATTTCCAAAAGTTAAAACAATATGTCAGATTAAATAACGCAAAGGGATAATTAAAAACTAACCATGGTGCCCCATCCAGACTGTCGACCCATAACCCCACCACGTCCATCTCGAGGTTCAGCACGCTTAATTTCAACCTGGAAAAAGTAATTAGGTAAATGTATAACAAAAAAACACAATTTGTGCACAGATGTTCAAACTTCAAATAACACAAACAACCAGAGTATATAGAAAAATAACATACTTGTTTTCCATTAACATTGACAAAGTGTTCAGCAACCAGTCTTTCAACAGGGTCATCAGACTCGAAGGACACAAATCCAAATCCTGCAAAGTTCCAAATGTTTTTAATTTCTTTGCACTTTACACTAAATACCTGTCTCATTTCACATAACACATGATGAATTATAATTTTTGTATATGGCCAGCCTTGGAGGCACAACACATATTATGTGTAACCACATATAAATGTGCTGTGTACTATGGGAAGGACTTTAATTTTGGCTGATTTAACTTATCACTCCAACAAATAGAGCAACATTTTAATTCAACTGCAGCCATATAATAAGTTTCAAACAAAAAATGAAGCACTCACCTCTGGTTCGTCGACGCTCTTGATCATACATAATAACAACTTCTACAACTTTGCCATATCGATCGAAAAAGGATCGGAGATCTGGAATGAAAATATTGTAAATATTTAGACAAACTTTTGAAGTAAACTTGCATACAACGGAAATACTTGCAGTTATGCATTTACAATTACGACCATCGTATTAACCTAACCATATTAAATACATTTCGTATTGAGCAAAGTAGTGGTATGTATGCTGTATTAATTAAATAAACTCACAAATGACAAATATTAAATTGACTTACCGGTTTCAGTCACATTAGGTGGAAGTCCTCCTAAAAACACTTTGGGCACGTTGGATCCACGTTTGGGTTTCTGCATCGTGCGTGGATTACAAGGTTTTGGGTCGATCTACAATTAATTTATAAGAATTGTTACACTTCAGTGTTATCCAAACTATAAAAAGCATTTATACAGAGACTAGTATATTACCGTTCGACCATCCAACTGATGCGGCCCTGAAATGAAAAATGACAATGGTATTATTAGTACAACTTGTACTGCACAAATGTTCTCGTAAGCAAAATGTGGATATAGACAGACAGACAGTAAGAAAAATTAAGAGACATAGTTAATTAATTGCGTAGTGCAAAAATTATTTTTCGTTTATTTAGAGTAAACCTAAACTAATCTTACCACTATTTAAAACAGCATCCACATTCGCAGGGTCACTGAAGGTGACGAATCCAAATCCACGTGAGCGACCAGTATCCGGGTTTTTCATGACGACTGCATCAACCACTTCTCCAAAACGGCTAAAATAGCGCTGAAGCCCATCAATGGTTGTTTCCCAGCTAAGTCCTCCAATGAAGAGTTTCCTGTGGCAAAATAATACGTTTCCACCATTAGCAAACGCACTCACTTACGCTTATTGAATCGCTAAGTAAGACCCCTACCAGTCATCCTGGTCCTTATAGAAATCGTTTCTATATAAAAATTCAACACAAGAATAAAGCGAATCAATCAAACTGTTAAACAATGGAACCAACTTAACAAAAAAGTTTTTGTAGCACACAAGACAATCAAAGTTGAAAGACACTAGCTCGCAAACAAGTAAATAATAATTCAATTCTATAAACAAAATCGTCTAGCAGCAACTAACAATGCATCTACCAACTTTATATTAAAATCAATTTTAGAAACACAAGAACATGAATTTATTTAAATGATGCTAAAAAATAAATCAATTTATCACGGACCACGGACGAAGCTAGATTCAAAATTAATTGCAAATAATAAAAAAAACACAATAAATGAATAAATCCGTCTATATTATTGAGGACTCGACTTGTCAAATTTGTCAATTAACGCAACACAACCAATCAAAACATTCATTCATCATTGGACACACTTGCAAATTATTTCAAATGAAGGATTTAAATTAAACCGAAACAACAACGCTTCTTGTATTAGTTGTACATTATTAAAATGAGTAAAATAACTATGTCTGTCCTAATCTATGATGTTGGGGGTTAAGAATATAATGCACATAATAACTATAATAAAGAGACAAAGACAATACAACTTACCCACGCTCATCTCCTTCGCCATCCTTCTTCATGATGCTATCCTGGTTATTCTTGACACCGCCGGACAGATTTCCTCCAGCAGTGCAGTCAATTACGACGTTAGAACCTATGGTGACTGCTAGTGAGTACTGAAATGGACAAAGTAAGTCGATAACGTTAGACCCTTGTTTGTTGCTGCCGAAATGGGAAGAAAATTTTAATGTACTTCTTTGCGAGTCTCGATTGAGAAGAAGAGATAGAGAGAAAATGTGGCAGAGGAGCCCAAGGCCAACGCAAGTTTCAAAGAAATTAAACCGACCGTTGTGCCATCATCGCCACTACAAAGAAGTGTACACCAGGTAAGCTCACCTGTTCAATTTTGATGGAATATGTCGGCGAGATAAGGCGCTGTCAACCTCAACTGAAGAAAGCAGTGGTGGTGGTGGCGGCGGCGGCAGGCTGATGATTGATGTGTCGTGGTGACCGTGGAGGAGCGAAGCAGCAACTCAAAAGAATCTACTGAACAGATGTCGTCTATAACAAAATAGATTATTATTATTACTACTATTACATTCTCCTCATATATTTATTAGTATACAACCGCTGGAATACCACCCACCCTTCTTACTCTTCAAAAAAAAAACTTGAGAAAAAATGTTTCAAACAAAGAGAGGGTGTAACCACCATGACTTACCTTGCTCTAAGAAGAAGTATTATCCTTAACCCCCTAAATCGTAATTAGAATAGTAGCCCTACTTAATATAAATTAAGTCTAAAATTTATCCTAAATTGTAAAATTAATTAGGAGAGAAGTGTAAAAGGACTCTTGTCCGTGGCGTGTAATCCAACATGGCCTCGCAGCAAGCAGCAAGGAGCCGGCCGGGCCATCATCACCATCCAGCACTCGCCTCCCAACCTCACAGAATCACCAGGCCTGGCTCATCCATCCCGTCCATGCTCCAACCACCACCACCACGGAGACGCTCCTCACCATCCATCAAACACGTCACCCCGTCCACGAGGAAGAGTGTTCTAATTCTACTAATTTTAATAGTTGGAGGCGAAGGAGCAATTAGTGAAATTACATTTGCAGCCTGAAGATAAAGGGTGGATGAGTGGGGGTGGTTTGGGGTGGCGTGGTGCATGCGAGCCATAGAACCCTGCCACACCTGCACTGCTGTCCGCAGGTCATTCTACCTTCTCTTCTCGTCTCACTCAAAAGCCAGAGGCACCAAAATAGATTTTTTTGTCACTCGTTCGATGAGAAAGTCAGCAACAAAGTTGTTGAAACTCAAAGGCTGCATTATTTGAAACAATATCCTGCCTGGTTTGGAAATTTACGAACCTTTTTATTTGTAACTTTTGGAATCGAGTTTGAAAAGGTACTGCTGGATATGAGAACCCTTATTTATTTTGTACTGTTTTTTGTACCGTTCGTTTGTATGATGCATTCATGAGAAGAAGTTCAAAGGTCTTTATTTTAACTTTTCATGTTGATCGACGTTATCTACGACGCTTCGATGAGTCATGTGCATTAGTAATGAGATAATTTACAAGTTTTTTTCTGAACGGTTTATCTTGGCTTTAATAATGTTTACTCTGAGCTGCTTTCCAATTGGGGTTGCATTTGTTTATCTAATAATAACAATATTATTATTTGTTTTTGGTTAAACTTTTCTCTAGATGACGGAGATAACGCGTTCCAATTACCAAGAATTGCTCCCTGAAATTAATGAACAAATTAAAAATGCAACCTTCATAAGCTTTGATGCTGAATTTTCTGGACTCGGCCCTCCCTCTGGGGGAATTCGCACATCGTAAGCATTATTTATCATTAAATGGTAAGGAAGGAAATCATTGATGGTTTTGCATTATATTCGTATTTTATCATTTAATGCTAGACTATTTGATAGCGGTGCAGAACGGTACCAAAAATTACGTAGCATCGTAATGCAAAACACAGCTCCTCAGGTTTGAAGAACACTGATTAATTTTTAATTAATTAATTGATTAATTTTTACTTCTGCTAATTTAATGTCAATTTCGCCATCATGCTGAACGAATTGGTGATGTATTTTTGATGTATTCACATAGATTGGCTTCTGTATTTTCCGTAAAACTGACGATGATGCTGCTAACGTATATCATGTCGATGGATACCAAGCATACGTTTCTGAACCATGTTTCGCAAGTTTTAACAACACGAATAATGTCGTTTTATCCCTGGAATATAAATGTGCCAAATTTTTGAGACAGTGCAATTTTGAGTTCAATGCGGTAAGAGTACAAGACAGTATTGTATGCATACCGGACTATTATTTGTAAATTGTTCGTTCATTTTAGCTTATCGAAAGAGCCGTACCTTATCTAAATTCCAAGAAAACTAGGGATCTTACAGTGTATTTTAACCAGCATCCTGACTTTATATGGAAGCACCCTAACCGTTATTTTGATAAAGTGTGTTAGTCTATGAATGTAAATAATATGTATAAGGACATTAAATTAATCCATGGCTTGATTGAACTTTTAGACATTTTTCCCAGAGTCTGAAAGAGCTGGAAAACATTGTTACACATCAGAGGATAAAGTAAACATTGTAAAACGGCTGAGGGGATTGTCGCAAATAGTTGATGTTATCCGGGAGCACAAAATCCCTTTGGTTGGGCACAATTTTGCATTGGACCTGCTATATTTCTTCAGAATGTTCTGCACAGAGTTACCAGGTAGTAGTATTGTATATTCATATATTTGCAATAACAATAATATATATTTTAATATCAAACTGGATTATCGTGGCATTACAGATGACTATGATACATTCAAGAGTTTGGTTGGCAACTTCCTCCCTCACGTGTATGATACAAAGTTCATGGTTCTAAGCTGTAGGAAACTCTTACATAGTCACCCAGCGTATAAGAATAATCAAGACAAGGACAAATTAGAATCAAGCAGTTTATTTACAGCATTTCTAAATACGACCGTGATAGGTGATCGGTTTTGTCCACATGTGGAGATGAACTCTACATGTGTCCACTTTGAAAAAAGTAATTTGGCATGTTAATACTATTATTATTTATTTCATTTGCTGATACATTTTCTGATTGCTCAATAGGTTTGCAAATCGGGCGAGAGTCTGATTTAGAGGTTGACAAGAACGACCTGGTACATAGTCCTGGATTTGATTGTATGTTGACGATTGCAGAAATGCTGGATTTTATATTCTGTACTATTAAAAGTTGGTCCATATGCATTAATTAATTAATACTGTTTTCTCTTGCAGCATGTATCACTGGGATTTTGTTTCTTAACATTAGCCATATTGCAGCTAGAATTGATAAAAAGTAATCAACTACTGATAGCAATTAATTTATTGAATAATTTGAGTTCGTTCTTAACAGTTTTGAGCGAAGGACCGGTCCCCCTACTCTTTCCGAACTCTTGGAAAACGTCCAGTCATGGAAAGATCAAGTTTTTATTTCCCGTGCAGCCGTGCTGGCAATGGTGCATTATTACATTATGTTATATCCTTACCACCAATGTCACAATGTTTGTTAAGTTCCAGTAATGTTGCTCTTGTAGTATCTTAGTGGAAATGATCCAAAACCTTGTAGACCAAGATGGACTGAAGCCACGATTATGCAGAAAATTAACTTTCCCGTTGTATGTTTTTATTATTTTTCGTTTATTTGATTGGTACTAAAGAGTTATTTATTATTAATTTTGAAATACTTGTAGCTAAAGGAGTCCTTACTGAAATTAGGTCCAGTAGACATTGAGAAAATAAACGATTACTCATTCCGATTTGCTGCTGCAGGTGGTAAATGGTAAGAAATATATTTATTCAATTTTCAGTATAGCGTATCTCAGCATTCTGAAGTTCAATTTGTTATTTCATAATAGTGCAAGACAAATGAAGAAACTGCTTACGGATGAAGGATACAAAATTAAAAACATCAATATTCCTTACAACAAAGAAAGCTATGCGGTATCTGGAGAATTGAAACAGGATGGAGTGTATGACCGATCCAAGCTGTTGGGATAACTCAGTGTTTACGTTTGTTATGCACATATGTATTACGGCGTTTTCTGAATGAAATAAAATGTATATCATTAGCCGTATATTTTTCTAGTCAATTACATTTATGATGCACCATGCATTAAATAGGAGTAGGTCGTCTGCTCAAGTAGTACATTTAATGAAGACATGTGCTCTGATTAAAGACCAAAGGAAGCGTGATTACGGCTTTCCAAGAATTCCACATCCACACTGCTGAGAGCACAGATTCCGTTTGCATGCATGAACAAAGTGTCCGACGAAAGTTTTAAGCTTCACATGCAAAAGGACTGGAAGTTACCCAATCTTCACTTGATTGAGGATTTAGTGTGGTGTACTTTTCAAGGTCATTCCCCGTGTGACTGATCACATAGGTCATTAGCTCATTTTTAGTTTTAGAAAATGGGGCTCAGATCAAGGAAAAAAACAGTGTTAATCTTCCTATTCTTTGTCGGCCTAATCATTGGACTTGTAATTTCGTATGGAATACGACTATTATCTAATAAATCGAGTTTGTGTCGTCAAACAAATTTGGCTCCTTCTACATCCTCCTCAATATCGAGCGCAGTAGTAAAGTTCCCAGACCAAATTGTCAATCTCGCGTCCAATCAATGGAACACGTCGTTTGGTGACAGTAGTGGCGATGACAGATCCAGCTCCTCCCCAATTACTGCGAGTGTTCAACGAGATGATAAACCGAGACAATTGCTGTTTGTGGGTGTAATGACTGCTAGCGTATTTCTTGCCACGAGGGCGAGGGCCGTGTGGGAAACCTGGGGTAAAACCATTCCGGGGAAAGTGGTTTTCTTCACTGGAGGCAATGCGTACAGCGAAGAAAGGAGAAAGTCATTTAACGAGTCCTTCCCATTGGTCCTCCTCCCCGGAGTAGATGATTCCTACCCTCCGCAGAAAAAATCATTCATGATGCTCAAGTTTGTCAATTCTTTCCAAGTCCATCTTACTTAACCTAAAAACCTACAGTATTTTCTTTTTTTACTGACTGGCATAATTACCATAAAGAAAATTTAAAAAAAACATGTCTAATTTTCAGATACATGTATGAAAATTATGGAGACAAGTATGAATGGTTCATGCGAGCTGATGACGATGTATATGTGCGTGGTAATAAGCTGGCCGAGTTTCTTCGACAAATTGACAGCCGGCACATCTACTTTATTGGTACCGCTGGTCAAGGCAATCAGGTTGATAAGGGGACCCTAAACTTGGCACACAATGAAAATTTCTGCATGGGTGAGGAGCCATTATGTTCACGCTTACATAGTTAAATATGTAATCTTGTTTTTTTTTGTTAATTCCGCAATTCTTAATTTTAAAAATTTTCACATTCAGGGGGTCCGGGAATAATTTTGTCCTTCCAAACTTTGAATAAAGTTGCTCCTCACGCCCAACAATGTCTAAAAGATATGTACTCAACCCATGAGGATGTTGAAGTGGGACGATGTGTAAAGCGATTTGCCAAAATTTCCTGCTTGTGGGCTTACGAGGTTATCAGCATCTCACTTTCAAATTTAACTCGCTATCAATAATTTCTAAACCTTTTTAAGCAATTTAAACGACGAACGTCAAACAATTTTCAGATGCAAACAATCTTTCATCATAATTCTAGTGGAGATTTGGCTTTCACTGGAAAATTAAAACGCAGAGAGGTGAACAAAGCTATTACTTTGCATCCTATAAAGGATTTCAAGCATCTTTACCGTCTTCACGTGTACTTTGAGGTTCATGCACACACATTGTATACTTATCGTTAGATTTATAATTGTTTCGTGAAAAGTTGCCGATAAGATTATGAATGTGTTATAGGGGCTAAAAATTCAAGACATGCTCTACGAAAAAATTTTAATCCAACGAGACATCAATTACATGTCACAGTTTCTACCGCTAAATAAATCTTTGAAGTACAACAAACAGCGAGGTCAGTTTAATCGAAATAATCTTGCTATTTTTGATGATGGGCATTCCACTGAAGATTTCATCGGAAGAACAACAGGTACCTTACTTAATTTATACTACCATACTTACGTATGTATATATGTACATAAAGACCACTAAACCAATATATTGCGTATGCAATCAATGGTGTAATTGGATTTTATCTATTATATGAAAATAGGATTTTCTCCCAGCCTAACAAAGTTTTCCCCAACCAAGCTAAACGACATAATTGACTGGGATTTTATTGGCAAAGGAATATTTTCTGCTGGAACAATAAGTCCAAAACTAAAGCTCAAGAGCGATGGGAAGGAGGCCTTGGAGGATATTGTCAGAGAGGTGCATAAACGATAAAATTACCCATTAATCTGATTCACTGATTGAGTGTCAAATTGTAGGTGATGGACATAATAAACGGCTACTCTCGGGCTAGAGGTAGAATTGTAGATTTCAAGGAAATCTTGTATGGATATCGAAGAGTGAATCCTGTACATGGATCAGACTACATTCTTGATTTGCTCATGACTTATAGAAAGTACAGAGGTCGAAAAATTACTATTCCTGTTCGTCGCCACGTTTATATTCAGAGACCATTTAGCCCATTACAAATAAGTTTAGTTGAACCAATTTCTTCCGTCGAAGATCAATCCATAGTAGTTGTTAATACTGTAAAGACTAAAATTGTAATGATCGTCCCGTTGGCAGGAAGGTACTCAACATTCAAGCGATTCTTGGATAACTTCCATTTCACTTGTATGGAGTTGTATCAGTTGGATAACACCTCTCAACATGTTTCGCCAACTCTATTCGATCTTAGTTTAGTGGTAGTGTTATTCGGCACTGACGACGAGAAAGACAAGTTTTTACACCTGGTTCAAAGAAAAAGGGATTTATTGTCGTGGGGAAATGATCCCGAAGAGACGCAGTGTAAAATTCAAATGGTTCAGCTAGACACAGAGTTTGCCAGGGGCCAAGCATTAGAAACGGGTATATCTCAATGTAACGATGAAGATCTTCTATTTTTAATAGACGTTGACTTGACTTTCAGTGCAGATGTGTTAAGAAGAGTCAATTTAAACACGAAACAGGGACGTCAAGCGTATTTTCCGATAGTATTTAGCCAGTACAACCCAAAGTTTTATAGCGACCCGACGAAAGATGACAAAGGGGCTTGCAAACATATTAATGGCGACAGTAATTTTAGCCAAAACCTCGAGTGTCAAATAAATTCTGATCTCGGGTACTGGAGAGAATTTGGCTATGGAATTGGGTCATTTTATAAATCTGACTTCCGAAAAGCTGGTGGATTTGATACCAAAATTAGTGGATGGGGAAAAGAAGATGTTGCATTGTTTGACAGGTTTTTACAACACACTAATCTAACAATATTTCGTGGACCAGATCCTCATCTAGTTCACGTGTTTCATGAGAATGAGTGTGACCGAAAATTGCCAAAATCACAGTTGGAAATGTGCCTTGGGTCACAAGCAAACACGCTGGGAAGCGATCTAAATCTTATGAAGCACCTTTTAAAGCAAAGGCAATAATAGGTAATAGGCCGGTTCGTAATATAGGGGAATTATGGGGCAAGTTTAATAACTTAAGTCCTGTTTAGTGTTATCATTTTCTTGTGTCATGTTTAATCGACTGGCTTCACTCAACTTTAGACAATATTATGCGATGATTTAGTTTAGAAAGCGACTATAAAAAGCTTGGCCGATACTTGATTAAATCATGTCAAAAAGTTTCTCACCAAGCAGACAGACCTCGCAAAACGCTAAATGGGTCTTATCTATTTGCATCTTTAAGAGGTTGGATTATTACAATGTACTTACATATGGATTCTGATAAATGTTTATTCCAAATACACATAAAAATACATTAATTAAGGTACACATATTAACACATAATTTTTATCTATCATATCACTTGAAAAAGTGCATGTATTTGTACAATACGAGCGTTATGTATGCCATGAGAATTTTCTAATCTGGAATTTGATTGGTGAGAATAATATTCCTATGCATGACATAACGATGGTGTGCGAAGTAGGACAAATGTAAAACAATTGATTATTATTTTGTAAAAATTCCTAGTCCGCATCAAACACCTTACATTTATATCGAGGTGCATCAAAATAATAGTATACAATAAAAGTAAGCCTTATTAATCAAACTATATAATCATTAATATAATAATTATGCATGTTGTCAGTCAATCATCTAAATAAGTATGTGTATCATATTTGAAATCTGAAATTGGTAGTTGACAAAAAATACATAAATTTGGGTGATATACAGTTAATCCCCGAATTGCATAAAATAAAATCTAATGATCATTTACTATTTTTATTGTTCTTCCTTGAAAATGAGATTTTGAGAGTGATTCTAATTTTTCAGAAGACTTGACAGCTTCCCTGTTATATCTCCCACTAGGCTGACCTGATACAAAATTAGGTGGACCGTATTGTGGTCTGCTTCCAACGGGAGCTTGAAAATTTGCTATAAGTGATGCTGGCCTAATGTCGTCGATAGAAATTCCTGAACTCCCAGCACCAGTTTGACTAGATCCTGTTTGATACCCACCAGTACTACCAAACGCCGCTCCTCCGTATCCACCGCCAGAAGGTCCACCCACAGGCGCTCCGTACCCGCTACTTGGTCCACTACCGCCTCCTGGCGCACCATACCCACCGTTTGAAGGACCAGTATTCCCGCCTGGAGAGTAGCTGCTAGAAGGACCACTGCCGCTTGGCGTTCCGTATCCGTTACTTGGTCCAACACCACCGCTTGGGGCACCGTACGACCCACTCGGCCCGCTGCTTCCTCCGGGGACACCATACGACCCACTTGACCCACCGCCACCCGGTGCTCCATACCCGCCGTTTGAAGGACCAGTATTCCCGCCTGGAGAGTAGCTGCTAGAAGGACCACTGCCGCTTGGCGTTCCGTATCCGTTACTTGGTCCAACACCACCGCCGGGCGCACCATACGACCCACTTGGTCCACTACTTCCTCCGGGGGCACCGTACGACCCAGTTGGTCCACCGCCTCCTGGCGCTCCGTAACCGCCGCTAGATGGTCCACTGCTTCCCCCGGGGGTACCATACCCGCCGCTAGATGGTCCACTTCCTCCGCCAGGCGCACCATACGACCCACTTGGTCCACCACCGCCACCAGGCGCACTATACCCGCCACTTGGAGTGCCGCTTGACGGACCGCTACCCCCTGGCGCTCCGTACCCACTGCCTGGTCCACTACCGCCGCCTGGCGCACCATATCCACCACTTGATGGGGCTCTGTTTCCACCTGGCGCCCCGTAAGATCCACTTGGTCCACTGCTACCTCCGAGAGCACCGTACGACCCTAGGCCACTGCTTCCTCCGGGGGCACCATATGAACCGCTTGATCCACCGCCTCCAGGTGATCCGTACCCGCCGCTAGATGGGCTACTGCTTCCTCCTGGCGCACCATACGACCCTGGCCCACTGCTTGATCCTGGCGCACCGTACCCCCCACTTGGCCCATTAGTGCCGCTTGACGGACCGCTACCCCCTGGCGCTCCGTACCCACTCCCTGATCCACTACCGCCGCTTGGTACACCATATCCGCCGCTTGATGGGGCTCTGTTTCCACCAGGCGCTCCATACGACCCACTTGACCCACTGCCTCCTCCTGGCGCACCATATCCACTACTTGGCCCACTTGGCACACCATATCCTCCGCTAGAAGGTCCAGTATTCCCACCGGAGGAGTAGCCGCTTGAAGGACCGCTACGGCCCGGGGTTCCGTAGCCACTGTTTGGTCCACTACCGCTTCCTGGCGCTCCGTACCCGCCGCTGGATGGTCCACTATTTCCTCCGGGAGCACCGTACGACCCACTTGGTCCACTGTTTCCCCCGGGGGCACCGTACCCTCCGCTAGATAGTCCACTTCCTCCGCCAGGCGCACCATACGACCCACTTGGTCCACTACTTCCTCCGGGGGCACCGTACGACCCAGTTGGTCCACCGCCTCCTGGCGCTCCGTACCCGCCGCTAGATGGTCCACTGCTTCCCCCGGGGGCACCATACGACCCACTTGGTCCACTGCTTCCTCCGGGGGCACCATATGACCCACTTGGTCCACTGCTTCCTCCGGGGGCACCATATGACCCACTTGGTCCACCGCCTCCTGGCGCTCCGTACCCGCCGCTAGATGGTCCACTGCTTCCTCCGGGGGCACCATACGACCCACTTGGTCCACTGCTTCCTCCGGGGGCACCATATGACCCACTTGGTCCACCGCCTCCTGGCGCTCCGTACCCGCCGCTAGATGGTCCACTGCTTCCCCCGGGGGCACCATACCCGCCGCTAGATGGTCCACTTCCTCCGCCAGGCGCACCATACGACCCACTTGGTATACTTCCTCCGGGGGCACCATACGACCCACTTGGTCCACTTCCTCCGGGGGCACCATACGACCCACTTGGCCCACTGCTTCCTCCTGGTGCTCCGTACCCACTACTTGGTCCACTACCACCGCTTGGAGCACCATATCCGGGCCCTGCATTTCCTCCTAGGGATCCATATGATTGACTTGGCGAACCTCCTCCGATTGAGTATCCGGGTGACGGAGGGCCATACTGGTTATTCAAGGCGCCATTACGTCCAAATCCTGGTCTCACAGAGCCTGTAAAGAATTGTGTATCATCTTCTTACTAAACGAATTCATGCATTCAGATGTATTAAATATATACGAATGAACTATATTAATGAATGAAACCAACCTCCTGGTGCTCCATATGAAGAAGTTCCCGTATTTCCTACATTTTCCAAAATAGAACGAATTCGATTTAGCAAGTCTGGAGTTACCAATTGACCTGCCAAACCTGATCCAGATGTTCCAGAGCCTGGAGTTCCGTATGAAGGAGTTCCACTGGAATATCCCCCGCTGTTACCGCTGTACCCAGCAGAATTCCCTCCTTGATAACCACCGCTTGAGCCTCCGCCAGTATTTGCTGGAATGTATGATCCTCCACCTTGATATGAGGTTGGTATTGGTGAACGGTTCGGGTAACCTGTCCGTGAAAAGATGATAATGATGACTCATGCAAATAAGCAAACCTTGCGAATAATCAAAATGAAGGAAATCTTTGTATGCAAGCTGAAACTGACCAGGGAAACCACCGGTCAGTGGAGCTTCTCCAACAGCAAATCCACACAATGTAGTGAAAATAATCTGAAAATATTATATGATCATCACAATATGTTAGTTCACAAGAGTGTAAAACTTGCATTCGTATATCATCTATTTTTCCAGCTTACCAAATTTTTCATGTTGAATGTCACATGAAACCACTTTCCTGTAATACTTTTTGGGGTAACTCCTAAACCCACATTTATTGTTCAAATTGAACTTATTTCACTGATCACAGAAACAAGTAATTTTGTTTTTAATATATTATGCAAAGTCTCAATCACGGATTCACATGTTACACTTTAAAACGCTTACTGCAGTGCTAGATTTATATTATGCAGAACTTATCATCGTCCTTCTTCTCTCGTGACTTTAAACGAATAGCCATTTGATAAAGTTCCCAGAAGACTTTTATACCTTTCGTTGCATCAACTCAGGAATACATAAGATTCCTCAACATTTGAAAGGTACGTTGGATTAACTAGCTTTACCTTTAAAAGTCACATGCATACTTACAAACAAGCGTCGTCGACTAATTCCATTCTGTCTTGACATGTATGTCCTGACATGTATGTACATGTACCTGAAAGGTGGACGACTTGTAAAAATTAAACAGAAAGTGCAACTTGACTCCTGATACTCAAGACAATTAATGATCAGCTAATGTATGGATTTTGAATTGAATAGTGCGAGTAAATGTCGTTGATATAAATCAGAACTCTTGAGACTTTTTATAGCTTTAAATACATACGCAAACATTATTCGATCATTATTTATCTACTGCTGTAAACAACTACATTATGGATATATGCATTTTAAAATTACTCATCGATCGAAATCATACAGTGATTTAATTTTGCGTAATAGCTCATGCAATCCGACCATCTTTTATTTTCTTAAAATTCTCAACTTTTTGCTGCAAATGCCAAAGCAGCTAGAAGTTTATTTTTACAATAAGTGTGGAGCAATTATGATTATAAACGGGAAAATAAAAAAAGTATAGGAATATTGACTTGTTTACACAACAGGCAATCTCGTCTCATATATTGAAACGATTTGAGACCATAAACACTAATTCAGCAACATTTGTCGTGAGCTTCTCCAGAGTGGGTTTAGGTTTGTTCCGATGTAAATGTATGATTTACTGTATTTAGCTTACGAACTAAATTAAGAGTTAATTCAGAATAAACCTTTTAAGCGCAAATTCATTATATTTTAAGTAACTGAAGTATTTAAAAGTCTGACAGTTTTACTGCTAAAGATAAATAAATCATATTTTTTGCAGATATACGGTGTATCAAAGTAAGTTTAATTAATTACTTAAACTACCGGATATTGAGCAAAGGGATACATGATTGATGACAACACAACAATGGTCCAAGATGTTTAAATTTGATGGGCAGTGTTATATTCGTAATATATCAATTATGGTAATAACAGTTTTGATTGAATCCACCTGTTGTGAGAAGCACTTGTGGCAGCTTAAATTGTGTGCAACTTACTCATGTCAATCATAAAATTGCTAAATGAATGCATACGTATGCACTATTATTAAAAAGCTTATCAAAAGTGGCTGTTCGTAAGGTCGGATAAAACATTGTTCATCTGAAAAATCTTTTGTATAAACATCCACCACCTATGCTAAGCAGGTAATATTTAGGTACTGGTGACTGATAAGAATTAATTGAGAACATGGGAAACTAGTTGAGTATCGAAGTGCATGGTGGTGTAGTAGTTGTCATGATTTACATAAATTGAAGGCAGCTGACTAAAATATATTATGCATTACAAATGATTTTGGTTTTAGACTAAAAAAAACTGTGGGATTATGTATTTCAAGCGCGTTTTTCTGGTTGGTTTTGTGCTTACATACAAGAACGAGGTGACTTAACAATGAGTAAAACATCATCATGCGTGTATGTGAGTACATTTTTCACAGCGGCTTAAAATGTCCAAAACAATGTCCAATTTATAATAATGATAGATCGTAATGATACAATTGATGTCCATGAAAAGTTGACATTCTTTTTACTAATATGTGTAATACCTCTTTGATTGAATGTAATTCATTTAAATATGGTGGTCTTGTAATTGAGACTAATATTAAACTAACTGGATTGTACAACATTCATATAACACGTATTTATGTATGTCTACATATTTATATATGTACACAAGTAATATGTCTATGGATTTAAAGTAAATGTGCGTAATTTACAAGTACTGAAGTCACGTTGTCTTCTGACGGACGGACGGATAACGTGTGACAGGAAAACAAATTTGTCCAATCACCAATGGATTATATTATATGAACGTATTTAGAATTGATAAACACTCATCAAATAAGTCTAATAATAAGACATTTTATTGTACAATTATAAAACTACATGCATCGTAACGATTGCAAGTAAAATGGGTCAAAAATATACTTTTTCTCACAAGTCAAATATTATAAATGCTTATTCAAAGTATTCATAACACAGTCAGATATGCAAATGTTAGTTACTATTTGAAGAAAAGGAAGTAGAAAAATCGTGTCTCGATTTTTATTAGAGTTTCGCCAAATTCTTATTTTTGCATCGGTCAATCTTTGAAATATTTTAGGATACAACATTTACAAAATACGGAAATCCATAAATATATACCATGTACGTACATATGTGCACATATGAATGTAATTTATATTTATAGCGTAGGGGTGCTGATTGGCTATATTTTATTAGCTGCAAGCAATCGTCTCGTAGTATGAGAGAGGACATAACAACAATGATATACCTACATTTGCCGGATAGGAAATAGCAACAGTTTCAAATTACAAAACTCTTCGAATAGTTATGTATAGCATATCCCACTTACAGTTCCTTTCATTACATGAGCGAGCAGCGGATAAAATTCGATATTTTATGTAAATGTGACAATTAAAAAACCTGTTTCGTTTGTTGGTGTGTAGGCAGTGTTGCCAACAATGTCATCAAAATGTTTTTTGGTTATCTGAGCGTTGTAAAACTGATTTAGAGTGACTTTCAATTTTAAACGGAAATCATTTATTTAAGACGTGTGCATGATGATGTTCTCACAAATATTACGAATGATATAACATCCGTTGAATTGAGATTTGGAAACCTTGGTGCATCTTCTTTTGATTTGCAAAAGATACCTTCATTTCCTAGCAAGTCGAGACAGACTTCTCAACTTCCGGTATAATATGTTTTCAAAATGTGTGTAATAAATTTTGCTGTTGCTTCTGGTGTACGTAATTACTAAAATTTGTCCACCCAAATATCAGGATTTGTTAAAAATTTGGTCTGCCCTACTTAAAATCAATAAAGTAAAATTGTACACCTCTCAGAATAATCAAAATGTAAAAATTTTTCGCACTTTTGGTAAATAGACTGTTTTTGTACCATTTGAATGGTATTGCAGCCCAATAAGCAAAGTCTCATATTATGTATGTCCATTTGGGAGACCAAAGAGCTAAAGTTAATGAGTCATTATGCTCGATAATCGGTATATGCATATGTATGAAGAGTGATTCATAAATTGGCCTGATCCAATGATCCAATGATCCAGTTGTGTTAAAAGCACATAATTTTAGAAATTTTCATAAAATCTGAAATTCGGCATTTATTTTAGATTTTCTTTCTAGAAAAGGTATATGAAGTTAGACATACGACCGTTGCATTACGTGATACCAAACTAATCAGTGCCGTTTTGACTCAATATGCATAAGTTATAAAGATCACAATCACATGAATACTTTTGAGAAACAATACATATTGACATCTCATGTGAAATTTGAAGTGCATCAGAGTTGCATGAAAATGCAGTAGCGTGAATCCCCAGCTTCTTCCATTAATTGTATAACGCAATTACTTACAATTCACCAGGTTTATCTATCCACAATCAATGTCACGTTGAGTGTGTCGCAGTCAGCAGTACGTGCATAGAAATATATTCTGATATCAACAATGACGAGGACCTGATGATTCACAACTACCAACGCTTTTGGTGAAAAATGTGTATGCATAAGAATTCCTAAAGCAATATTTTTTTAAACTTATACTGACATTAAATATTATCGTATGTATTATTCAAAATAATAATTTTGGATTTGTAGAATATTAGTAACAAAGTATCAATTCTGCAATGGATGGGAATCGTAATTATGTGCGTATGTGCATAATCGATATTTGATTGAAATCCACCATATCGTCAGCGTTGAGTGTGAGACAACAACAAATGCTATCGTGTGATATGAACTCATCGTATTTTTTGCTTTGACTTATGATAGACAGCTAAATAAATTGGACTTCATTCTCATGCAAGAGTGCATCCTCCATTGTCGTACTTTTTAGATTTGGCTAATCGACATTTTATTGAGATACGGTTAATGCGAACAATTAGTTTGCGTTTATAATGATACGCCAGCCGCCTTGTTTTTGAGCAGACATGACATAATATGTTCGTGACTGCGTTTATGAGACTTATGCAAATAAAGAAAGAGTTGCAATTCAGAGTCAAGTAGACTCGATAACTGAGAAAGTTGTGATAATTTAAAGCATTCCAATTTTACGGTTTATACACTTCAAATTCTGATGGTATGGAATAATTGGCCTCCGAAATGTCCAGTCGTGGATAACATTGAACCCGCTACAGCTTGGGAATTCTTTCGGTCACTAGAGTTAACATTATCGTGTCAAATTTGACAAAAGGTGTCCATCCACACACACCCACACCCAAAAGTGAATAGTTCTTTACAACTAATTTATTTATATGACTGCATGTCATGGATCATATTTGATGAATGGTTATACTATCCATATTTTATTTTTATTTTCAAAACTATTGAAACGAAATATTTCATGTACATTTGCATATGGTTGACTCAATACAAAATGTAGCTTTATATCTGTGCATAATCAATATCGTGCACATTCAAAAGATCATGAATCTATTTTTGAAAAACTCTATAAATATGAGGTCCCTACGAAATTGATTGTGAGTTTAATTTCAATTTTTTTATGTAACAATTACGACACAACAGTTTTTCAGAATGCAGAGAGCAAAGATTATTTCTGGGATAATTTATATTTCCGCAGTGGTTCTGGCAATAACTGAGCTGTCCTTCAGTTTCAGTTTCAATGGTGAAACTGTGCCGTGCAAAGGAGTAAATGTCACGGGTTATCCCAAAATGAAAGAGCAATACAAGCGCTGCAACAAAACCGTTTACGATGGGTATAAAAAACGAGGCGAAACCGCCGAGATGGTCCCAGCTTTACTTTGTACAGCGCAATGTGTTTTTATAGAGGACAAATTGGTATGAAGCATTTAAATAAAAAAAAACATTTGCTGGATTTCTGTAAAAATTGTTTCTTTGAAGGTGAACACCAAAACGGGAATGCTCAACAAAGCTGGGCTTGACAACTACAAAGAAATGTTTGACCATATTCCTGAGCTAGTTCGAAAAGATATCAAGAAAGTATTTTACGACTGCTTCGAAACGAATAAAAGTAAGAAATCCCATACGTATAGAGATAAAAACTTGGGTATATGCATATGTGTACAATATACAAACGCATGTAAGTTGTGACGCCGTGACGCCGTGTATAAACTTGCTGATGATATGTTTGTCTTATTTATTAGACAGTACTGTTTATGACGCAAAGAAACCAAATGAATGCAGTGGGATCACTAATGTCGCAATCTGTGTAAAAGCGGGCATCGATGGAATCTGCAACCCTGAATCAGCGGATGAAGAGTGAAATAGAGTCGAGATCCTATTACATTTAATTAATAAAGGTCTAAATAAAAATCGACTTTGTTAAAATCAAATGTTACATCATTTACAAAATGAGTAATTATTTTTGTCCATTAATTGGATCATTGTAAAAATAGATCCAAATAGTGAAATTCCTCAATATACTTTTGCATTAGAAAATATGGGGGAATATGAGAATATGAGCTTCTAAGGATATTTCTATACATATTTTACTATGAAAATAACCTTTTTCAAATTGATGCATATCAACAAATCCATCAAATTGGCTGATTTATTATAATTCAATTTCCACGAATCTGTGCATTTTTGAGTATGCATACCATTAATGCTATTTTGCTGAGAATGAATTAATTGATTCTCCTTCAATTGACAATAATATGCGTGATATTTCATTGACATAACATAATCTGACAAATGTATACTTGTAATTTGCTTGCATGATTCTGATTCATCATTTATTAGCACAATATATGTAACACTCATATTAGAGGCCATTCCAGAGGAGATTATACATGCATACATACATATATATGTACATGCCGGGGACTAGCAATGTCGTAAATTCGCCTCAGTAATTATACATTCATTTCAACATAAAAAAATGTTTTTCGTACATAATACCCACCTTGTAATTGACTGATTAACAAATAAAGATTTTTTTACTCCATGAAACTGATCAAACCGTGTTGTGATATATTATCTGCATGTCCACGCCACAATCTTTCTTGTAGGCGTGATTTCAGTTCATTAATATATGCCAGTTTGAAGGGAAATGTTTGATGAGTCGACGACAACGATAACGAAAAGCATGCGATGCAGTTATCCAATAGTAATTTTGAGGTTTATGAGAAATGTCGCATATTTTGATTGACGATATGCTTATCTCAAGTGTACAAGCAACAGCAAAATGGACACTTAATGTGTAATACCCAAAAGATAAGAGTTGTAATAGTTGTACTTTAATGACCACTTGGATCACACATTTTTGTCACGATTGTCAACCGCGTCGGAGTGGATTGTGAACCTTTGGCAATCAATCTCATCAGCCGAGTAAGAAAGACGTCATATTTAAAATATTTAGAATTCTAAAATCCACTTGCTTCATTTTTATTTATCAATTTTTAAGGTGAATATATAGAAATATAGAAATACTAAAATTCATTATTTTCATTTTCTTTTAGCAATGAGTACGCCAACCTACGACTGGGCAGTTAGGAATGCTCACATTAAGTCCGACTTTGTCCGGGAAGCTATTGCTGAGTTTCTTGGAACCTTACTTCTCCTGGTAAGATATTACAGCGACATGCACAAAGCTATAGCATAAAATAACCCAATTAACCTACGCATTAATAAACAAGCATTCTTATATTCTCAAATCTCAATTTCCTCCTAATATCAATATTAACAATTACAATAATTGAGTTAGCTGGTGGTTTTAGCTGGCTTTTTCTTGTTTGATTTCTGGGAAAATGTGTTTAATGTTCCGAAAATGCAGAACTAGGTCAACACTGATAACAAACGTAGATCTCACAATAGTCATGACTCTGATCAAATCTGATTTTGACTGTAAAATATTCAAATAATAAATTAATGTAATTGTAGTATCACACATAGGTAAGCATCCAGAACGTCTTTTATTTAAAACCATCACGAGACTAAAAAATTTTCACTCTCGTGGCAAGCAGTTTCATTTTAAAGTGATACCTACACATTGATTGGCATGCACATTGCACATGCTACTCTCAATACATATGCACACAAATCTGTGTGCATATGCAAAATATATGGGAAATGAATAAAATGCATTAACTGGAGTATCTGTAAATCTAACTGAGAGTGAGTACACCACTGTCACCAGTGTCACCACTACAATGTAAACAGACAAGATAGCATTGAATTGTTTGGACTGTCAAGTCAATCAAACATTCTATTGATTGAGATTTTGCGTGACAATGATTTAGTATGTAGTGCCATAATTATCATAATTAATCATGTTTCTTTAATAATCTATATTTCGTAGTTCTTTGTTGTTGGATCAGGGTTGGGGGCACTCATCCATCCTGACTCACATGCTGTGGGCGTTTTTGGCGTTGTCTTCGGGTTGATGGTTTGTGTGATTTTTGGCTATTAAATAAGATTATTTAATTCTGGCTGATAATTAATTTAAATCAGCCCGAAATCGATTTATGTATATTAGGTCTGCGTGCTGATTTTCGGTGGCGTCAGTGGAGCCCATATCAATCCAGGTATTATCCCATTAATTAAACTGGATTGATCATTTAAGGATTGATCTTATTAATCCAGCCGTAAGCATTGGCCTTGCTGTCGCTGGACATTTAAAATGGGCCAAGGTGCCCTTGTATATACTTGTTCAATTGCTTGGTGGCTATCTTGGATCACTGTTAGCATATCTTCTTTATGAAGGTTAGTCCACTAAACAATTTGTACAGAAGCCTTTACCCCTTGTACCTACGCTGTAATCATTTTAAGTACTTTTGTGCAGATCATATTGAGAATTATGTGAAGGGCTTGGCTCCCGAATGGACAGGATCTATTCCAGAATATGATTTGAATACGGGTGGCAAAATTATGGCATCATTCAGTCCTGCCGGTGCTGGAACTTCACTTGGAATCGGAGTTTTGACCGAGGTAAATGTAAACCCAGACCCTGCATGAACTATGACACTGATCGCAATGGTTTTCCATGATGACTTTCAGATTATTTTAACTGGAATTTTACTAATGGCTGTGATGAGTGTAATTGACAAAGGCAACATGAAAGTTCCTCCGCATTTGGTAATTAACAATGCATATTAAGTATTTATTATTAACTAGTGTTTAATTTGCTATTCATTGTCAACATAAATATGGATTAATTTCCGATTCGTGATTACAAATTGCAATTTTATTATCTCGTATGTAGGTGGCATTTTTATTGGCACTGACCGTTGCTGCATTAGCAATGTCGCATTCAGTTGTGACGGGCACAATGTTGAATCCGGCAAGAGATTTCACTCCGAGACTAGCAGCAAAAACATTGGGATGGGATAACAAACTCTGTTTTCAAAATATAAACTTTCAGTGAGCAATTGAACGAATTTGCATAATTGAATGGCATTATCCAATAAGAAACACAATTTAAAAAATAGGGGTAAACGACAAGAGTGGTGGCTGGTGGGAGTTATTGCTCCGCCATTGGGGGCAATCTTGGGAGTTTTGATCTACAACTTTCTCGTTGGTGCCCAGTTGACCAACAATAGAGATGAGTTGGAGCCAAATAACAACGTTGGAGGAGGAAAGGGCGAAAATGGGGACTGGAGAAATAACACCATGTTCATTCCAAGGACTGGAGCTCAACCCCCTGTTCACCAGCCACCAAATTATAACCAAGGGCAAATTAATGGACATTATAACCCAGGGTTTGCGCCAGGTAGTATAAAATACGTGAGCAAGTAGTCCGTGGAATCACATTTTATACCAATTTAAATATTTTACAGGTGACGTTCGACAACAGCGATATTAAGCAGGCGTACACAGTATTAATGAATTTATAAAAGTTTTTACGTTATATACTCGATACTTATTCGATGAGATTAATTCATATTTTTAATACTAAATGACAAATTTCATAAAAATATTGTACATATAATTCAATAAACCTTGGTTCAGATGTTTCTATAATGCAGTTAAGTTTAAAGTGCATCATATCTAAAACCAAATTATGTATGCTAGTTGACGCGTTCGGGACCAGAGATCACGTAAATTGTATGCACAGTCAACAGTAAATAGTTCATCGACGCGTTTCTCAATTTCCCCATGCAGAGGATGCTATCCTTAATTCTTGTATATCTATTACTATTATCGAACATATTCACAAATTTAAAGCTAATTTTAGGAGATGAATGAACTGCTAATTATGTAGCACATATTAATAGTCTTTGTGTAAATGAGTAAATCGCAGCATCAGGTCACATATTGTAAGCTAATTGGCACGTTATAATTATAGGTAGTCACTGTAAATGAGCTTAAAATTAAACTTGCAACTCGTTCTGATTGCCTTAAACAAAAAGCATAGGTATGCATACAATATTCAAATGAGAAGATTCGAGAATTCTGAGAATCACCCAATCCGCCCTAGTTCGTAAGAGAGTGTTTCATATTTTATGAAGTACACGAGGACGAGTGGTTTATGATGCAAAGTAAAACCTCAAGACTACTTTCATGTCCACGTTTATGCGAATTTCATGTCACACTCATGAAACCTTAGTCTGTAATGCGAGTTAAATTCATATTCATATTATGAAAGTCAGTATACTAACCTCTGGAATCGATCATAACACATTAATGGAAGTGGGCCTTTTTAGCTCACTAATAAACAGTCATCAGCGGGGAGGATCGTGAAGCAGGTTATGTATTTATTCCAGCAAGAGTGTGGTAAGAAACAGACGACCCAGATTTATTGCAAAGTAACAATTTTCTTTGTCCCTCCCTGTTACTGTTATCCTCTAAAGTTTAGCACTCTCTCTCTGGCACTCCAAAGTTCTCGCATGCTCTCACCATCACGACAACGGATTTAACTCTGTAATGGTTAGTACAGTGGGGTTTTGGTGCCCAGGTTGAGTTTCTCAAAGTTGCTTCTTGTCAAGCTAACTGGAAAAAGCGTCTCTTTTCACTCCAACTTTCTCTTTATCACGAGCTCCGTTCCGAACAAATAAACAAAATCTTTACCATCAAACGACGACTGAGCCACCCGCCTTGAATGAGAAAATGGCTACATGTAGAGTTTCGAGGTTTTCCTGCGAAAGTGTGCACAATTTTGTACAATACTGATGATACCACAGATGATACTATCTTCACCAGATATGTACAAGTATATGGCATGCCTTTTCTTGCAACTTGATCCATCCCTTTAATTACTATTTTGAAACGAAGTAATGCATCATTAAATTACTTTCCAAAAATAGGACATGTTTCGTAATATTTAGTTCTGTACTTCAAAAACAAAAGCATGTCCAAATGTCAACCACAGATCTCAAGATTAGTATTCATGGAAGCTTATAGTCCAAGTTTTGTACAGGTGTTATTTATACGATTATATAACAAAATACCTTTGTACGTATGTATGTAGGTATTTACGCATGGTCTGGTCCCCTTGCGGTATAAAAGACATGGTAAAAATGTATCACATAGAACTACCAAACATAACTTTCTAAAAGCAGTGCAGCACAAGAAGTTACTTTGTAACACTTGGAACAAAAGTTTACATAATTCTTTACTGTTTTATTGAAAAAAGAGAAAAACATAAGTCCTTTTCCGTGCTCGCAGAGGCAGAGCGAATACTTAATTGATTTCATTCCTAGTTGAAAAACTAAATCTCATCAACTCCGTCAGTTGAGCGTATGTCCTTTTAAATTCCAAAACTTGTGGCTGCGTGAGAAAAGCATGCGGCAGAGCGAAGGGAAAGCACCCCGTTTTTTTAGGAGCGACCCAACGAGAGAGGAGAAAGTTTGGGGCAAGTCGCCCCAGTCGGCGGGTTGGGTTGAGAAGAGGAAAAACATCTTCCTCAAGAAAGTTGAAAATAAAAATTGAAAACTTGTAGTAATAAAGTAAAATTAGTTATAATATTGAAATTATAGAGAGGAGTAGAGGTGTTTATCCTCTCTTTCTCCGATAAGGTTGAAAATTGGTGTGACCTGATAAATTATTAAAATAATGGCGTCGCTCGTCAAGGTGTGCGGTCGTTTCGGCACTGCAAGGCTCAGCTCTAGTCAACAGCCTTTGGGAGTACAATTGCACAAAATTGCGCCCAAGTCCCTCTCCACCCTTCCTTCATTTATAGACGATAAGAATAAGAAAGAGGACAGCTTGGCTCTGGTGACTGTGAGAAATGCGTCGTCAACTCCAGGATCAGAAGGTTAGATTTCGATAAGTTTCGAATAATATACGTTACACCCAACATATCTTTACATGTTTTTTGTTTGCTTTCAGTATCAACAGAGAAACCGAAACCTTACTCGCCCTTTCAAAACACAAACAGCTGGGGAGAGTATGCTGTTGCTCGTTTAGATGACCTTATGAATTGGGGTCGTAAGGTGTGGATTTTGCATTATTTATATATCTATTTAGTTACTGTTGTTTATAATTACTAAATGCATTTTTGGATATTTAAGAGTTCAATGTGGCCGTTAACGTTCGGTTTGGCTTGTTGTGCCGTGGAAATGATGCACATTGCCGCGCCCAGATATGACATGGACAGGTTTGGAGTTGTATTCAGAGCGTCGCCACGCCAGGCTGATGTTATCATTGTTGCTGGTAAGAAATACGTATAAGCTTTTCGTACATACTCAACCATATTTAACTGGTTTGATATAAATTTATTACCAAACAAAAATATCCGGAGCGATAGAGTATACAACAATCAATTAATATTTACTTCAATATTGCAATAATACACGGAAAAAAATTTAAACAATGACAACTATTTCAATTGGAGTTGATTTGAAGATGTTTTGTTGCTGGTCCCCAATTAATAGATTTGATATCAAGGGTTGCTGGTGGGGTGAATTCAAGTTCACGAGATGACCAAAACGCGAAAAACATCTTCATCCTCTCCATATGCCGGTCCTCCCAGTCAGAAAAGTTCTCATACTTGCTAAAGTCAGGCTGGATTAGATGGTCATCGATCTCACCACCCAACATCTTGCAAAACAAAACTCCCATTTGACCAATTCCTTCCATCTTGCTTGTCTCGGAGTTGAGAATAGTTTGGTCTTCGTCTTCACATTGAAAAATGGAGATTCCTTTGGCGAGTGGGTCAACAATAAGATGTCGTTTAGGAATGTACGATTCTGGCATCGGTCCTCTACTGTGGTCTTGTTTTGATGTACCAACATAAATTTTTCTAATTGTTCCAAATTTCATGTATATCCATTCATCGCCTTCTCTCCAGGAAAGGTCTGCAATTTTGAGTAGAGGGGACTCTTTCAACTCCCCTAAGTCTGAAGGTTCCCCAAGTGAAATTGAAAATCCGCTGCTCTCTAGAATTTTTTTCACTGCTTCCCAATCCACTTTATCAATATACACCTGATCTCTGATAAATTGCAGCCGTTGCTTCTGATTTCCCTCATTCGCATTCATCATTGTTATAATACAAAGAGTTATTGCGATAGTCTGGTGGAATATCCGAGACGAGTCCAAGTTCTTGGCGACCCATGGTTTTGGCGTGAGTAGAGTCCATCTAGGTGGGAGTTTTTCCTGCAGTCTTCTTTCTTTGTATTTCTGAAAAGACGCGTAGTGTCGCTTATCATTTCTGACCACTTCGATGAAATCGTTTAATTTGTATTTTGTGTTTTGTACATGAACAGGCGTCGAAAGAAGGAAAGTTGTAACAATAGGATTATTGTCATCTTTGATAAGGAAATGGGTCGAATAGGAACTGGAATGGTCAGCACATGACCCATCTAATTTTGAAGTTTTCCAACAATTCTCAAATTGACATGTCGAGCTTGTCTTCCAGGTTATTCGCCCATGGCTAAATTTCACATCAATAATTTCTCTGGTCTCAGAACTGTTTTTCTTTTTGAGAGGGTTCTTCTCTCTATTTTTGAGTGTACGTGGTGTTGGAGTCTGGCCGGGTTTGATGACTTTCAATGTCCTTCCTGATCTTAACAATTTCTTCATGTCATCCGACGTCTTCATCAACCTATCCTCCCCAGAGTAGCCGAGATGTGCCTTGACGTGCTTGAAAATGTAATCCGCCATGCTGTTTTTTGTGGGGGGAATCCATGTTTCTCCTATTTCTGGAGGAGGAGGAGATGATGTTCTCCAAGGAAAGCGGGTAGCGCTGACTTGTTGGGAAGTTGGTGGTGAACATTCTGAAAAACATAATTAATTATTACTTCATGCATTAATATAATTGGTAATAATGTCAAGTTGTACGAACCTTGAATCTCCATTAATTCACCAGCTTCATTTTTTACACAAATCTGGATAGTAGAGCCCGGAGACGGTTCATGCACGTACTTGTGCAATAAAACTTTCTTTTTAGGGGGTTGACTATTGTCTCTCTGCGAATCAGCGAATTTTGATAACATTTTACAAAAAAAGTACTGGAGATCTCCTTGAAAGTAGAAAAAAATTGGCAAACTTGACTCTGTTCGACAGCAAGAAATGGAGTGAAGAAAAAGTTGAGTGAACTCGAGAGTTGAACTCAGCAAATTTTCACTTTTGTATTCCTTTTTTTCATTTCCAGGTACGCTGACAAATAAAATGGCACCAGCCTTGAGAAAAGTTTATGATCAGGTAAGTCATAATTATTTTAGTCTCCATTACAAAATGACATATAATGCAAGATCGTCAACTGTGTCTATAATCTTATAGATGCCTGAACCCCGTTGGGTGATTTCTATGGGAAGCTGTGCCAATGGTGGGGGTTATTATCATTATTCTTATTCGGTTGTCCGAGGTTGCGATCGAATTATCCCTGTGGATATTTATGTCCCCGGTAAGCACATCCGTCCGGCACTGCTGGACAGTTAAATTGATGCAATTCCATTCAACATACACTACATAAAAATGATTTTTTACTTGTTAACAATGTATAGGATGTCCTCCAACCGCTGAAGCTTTGATGTACGGGGTTTTACAACTGCAAAAGAAAGTCAAACGAATGAAAACTTTGCAAATGTGGTACAGGAAATAACGTAGTAAAGTTGAAGCATACGTAGTAAAATACTTTGTATTATAATAATATTCCCTTTCGGTATCATCGGTATCTGCTGAAACGCATCATAAAGCATCCACAAAATTGCGGTTGTTTCTTTTAACCGCTGCCTGTTATTCACATTGTAAAATATGTACTAAATATATACTATAGACTAATGTTGAAGTGAAAATAAACCCACTGGTAAATCAACTCATTGTACTGTTTTTCATTGATACTACGTGCATTCAAAATTTAAATGATCATAAAATTATCACATCAGTTCTTACGTACCTACGTACCTACTTTAATACATAAGTTCCAACCAGAGTACAAAAAATGGGACATCAATAATTTGATAAAACTTCGCATCTGTAAGTAATTTTGGTCTCTGAACCTCGAGAATTTGACACGGTTTTAATTTATATGCATGAATGAAGCTTGAGAACTTATGCAACTCACATTAAATGCGTACCTATGTAAAGTTTTGTAGAAAACGATAAACTTTTACTGGTGTTAAGATTATAGTTAAGCCCATAATCGCTACCTGTCTGCCAATACTTGACTTTTCTCTATTTCCCTCCGGATAAACTTGTTCTTTGTTTCTTTCTGTTGCCCTCTTATACATAAGGAAAAACTTTGTATATAACTACTTACAGTCTGCTTAACGTTGAGTTCCGAAAACGAATAGTAATAGTAATCCTTGGGTAAACCTCTGCTGCGTAAGTGTGGGAGGCGGAAAGTAACATGGAATATTTACCATCTAATGGTGATGAGCATACACAAGTATGTACAAATTTATTACACGTTCAATAAAATATTCACTAGTACATATGTATGTATGCACGTATTTAGCAGTTCTGAGCCGCTGGGCTTATGTATGTACATACATATTTATGTATACCTTGAATTTATCCCTCTGACGCACCGGCCGTCTGTAAGCCTAAACTGGCCTCAAGTCAAATTTGTGAGCTATGTGTGTGCATATTCTCACTAGGTCATAGGAAAAGCTCTCGGATGGATTTATTTGCTTTTTGTATAATTGCATTTATGGGTTATTGCACTTCAGAACGGTGAGGATACTGACCATTTGTATTTTTATTATGAATATTATGTGTACATGGATTTGCAGGGAAAATCTCAAGAGAGAGCTCCATAAATAAGTAAACGTTCCAACTTTTTCAGATTTTCAAGTTCTTCATCGCAGGTAATCTACCATAATAAGAACAAGTTCCTAATTTCTTCCACCTCTCAAATTTCTTTGGATCTTATTAATAACCACCACCACCATCTGCTTCCTCTTACTTTTTCATCATCTTTGAGACGATGGCCAACTTTCTTTCAGCGCAGAGCAACCCTTACAAGGGAACGTGAGTGAGGACATGCTTAATGTCAGCCTCGTGGGCTCCACAAATCCAATCCCTTTCTATGTGTAGAGACTTGTTTGATGAAAGCGATCTGTGTAAACCCTTCTCCATTTTCCCAAATGCACTGACGATTTATAAGCTCAACGGGAATGAATACAAGAATTTGATCGAAAGAGAATCATCGTGGCTGAGGAGAATGAGGCTCTCGAAATTCTGATCAAGAAAGAAGAGTTTTCCGCATCGCAAGTTACCATTCGTATAACCTGTCAAAAGGAAAGTAGTCTGATCTTCTAGACTACTTATGTAGTTTGTATTGGGTGGCTCAGAATGCCCCTGCTGCTGCTGCTCACTTTTATTGAGAGATCTGCTGGAAACCATGATCTCCGATCCTGGTGATGCAGAGTTTTTGGAACTGAGACATGGAGTCTGGATATTGGGGGTTGCGGTGAAAACTGGCTGAAACTCACTTTCAACTTTCACTTGCATTTCAGAATCTGCGAGTGGAGCATGATCTCACATAATACTTGAATTTCACTCCTTAGCTCTCAGATTTGCCTTTTTATGTCCTGGTGCGTGAGTCAGTAAGTCAAGTAGGGCTATCATCATTTTTGGGGGTCGAGTTGCAAAAGATTGGCTAAAATTTCCCCTACACTCTCGTTTTTTCCTTGCATACATCTTCGTGTTACGGTATCGAGTGTTTCAGAATAGTGTTCCTTCACGGAAAAAAGTTGCTCAATGGGGCAAATAAATATCGTCTCGTGAGATGTGAAATTGTTTCTGCGCTATAGCATGCATACTTTCATCGAAACTCCTGAGGGACCCCGAATAAAGAAAATAATGCATATTATATTGCGAGTTAAGTGAAATTTATTATTACGTCATAGCTTTTCATCTGGAAAACTTTTAAAACAAAAATTGAAAAGGATTTCTGTCTCCCAGCGGAACTACAGACGTTGGTATATGTGCATTCATACTTTGACAAATATAGTCCATACACCACGCATATTACTGAAGAACTCTCGAAATCCGATTAGAGCACCTGGGACACAATCCAATTAAAATACCCAACATCATCAAAACTGGGGAAATTTAAGAAGACGAAAACAACTACGACAAAGGGGCTGAACAAGAATTTACATAAATCACGAAGGGACAAGAGACAAACTGGGTGGTGCAATGTACAGCTCGTCATCAGCAGCTACGCCAACCTCACTGTCGTGGGGTTTGGTGGATAACGAGGGCGACGGCGACGGCGGAGAGAGCATGACCACATTTTGGGAACACAAGGAAGACGACAGTTCTATTTGGAATAATTCCACCCCGAATAGCACGATCGAGTTGGAACTGCCAATTGACATGCAGTTCAATGCTGGCCATGTCTTATCAATTGTCGTCTACTCCGTGCTCTTTGTTTTGTCGGCAATCGGTAAAGTGGCAATCATTTTTACTAAAACCAGTATGATCACTATAAATATTTGTAACAAACAGCATGATTTATTCATGTGTCTACCACACATATCAACCACATATTATCAGCATATAACTATTTCTTGACTTGTTTACTTGAATATCAGCCATCATAGATTTCAGGAATTGCATTATTTAAATTAAATATCACCCAAAACTCCTGTCATATGTCGACATGCTCTTACGACAGAATGAGAACTCGTATGAACCGAAACTTGATCAGTGCATGCGATACACTCAACATTCGAGAATTGCAGAGTGAATTTCCAGCAGCATCTAAGATTACACTGCTTCAGAAGCAAGCCGTGTTCTCCAAGATGTTCCAAGGTGCCTCGGTTGATATTGCCCTTTACACTTGACTGAATTTGAATCGAAATTTGTTCATGTACAATCATGGTTCAACGATGAGAGTTGTGTTTACCATGAGCAGGATTTTATTTCGTTTGTGGGAAATTGAAAAGACTTTTAAATACTTCATTTTTTTAACGGAAATAAATCCATCAAGCAGGGATTACTCCTTTCATTTATTTAATGTTCAAGGAGACTTATGACATTATTGACCTGATCGATGTTGCAAAAAAGTTTGCCAAGCTGATGTTAACATCTTTCAAAGGGGGCGATTTATTCATTCATTCCTAGTTTCCACATCTAACAAGGGAACCTTAAGTACTGTCACATCTCGATTTCCTTTCGGATGGTCTTAATTGACAGATAATTTAGGAGGGGAGGTTGTGTACTACCAACTCACTGATCTCGATGCCCTTTGGATATGTTATAGTGTCCCATGAATGAACAAGAACCCCCAATTGGTTTGATGCCATGGCCGCATTTGCGCCCGCCACACCCACTCAAAGCTGCCCAAAACCCGCTTTCACTCCAGCTTTCACTCCATCAAATCCACGCCAAAAATCCAATTTTACTCGGATTTTGACATTTCTTTCACCATTATACTCCCAGATAGCTGCTTTCTTATACCCAACACCAAACTCAACTTTTTGAAATTCTTATTATTTTTAAAACTTAAAATTCTAAATGAGCATTGTCGTAGTAATCAACAACGCAAATTATGCATGCGAAATAATATTAAAAAAGTTGACTTTGATGTTAGATTTAAGAAAGTAACTATCTGGGAGTATAATGGTGAAATAAATTTCAAAATCCGAGTAAAATTGGATTTTTGGTGTGGATTTGATGAAGTGAAAGCTGGAGTGAAAGCGGGTTTTGGGCAGCTTTAAGTGGGTGTGGCGGGCGCAAATGTGGCCATAGCATCAAACCAATTGGGGGTTTTTGTTCATTCATGGGACACTATAACATATCCAAAGGACATCGTGATCCATGAGTCGATAAATTTATATTTATTTTTGCAAGTTGCAAAACATTTTGGAAGTTTACATCGTCAGCTTTTCACCTACTCAACAAAATAAGTTCTCCACGCCTCGTTTGACATTTTAAGGTTTTTGAAAGACTGGAAAGACTTCACCTGGGAGGGACCCTACGGGGTCCCTCCACTATGGAGTATATATAGGACATCCTAGATATACCCCCTTAGGAGAAACCACGGATAACAAAAAAGCTTATTCACCCTGCTAAATTATCTATCAATTAAGACCATCCGAACGGAAATCGAGATGTGACAGTACTTAAGGTTACCTTGTGAGTAGGAATTGCCCGCAGCCAGACTCCCACACAAAGTCAGTATTTGTCCCACAAAATGTGGAATTAATGAATGTGGATCTGCGAAAGCATGTATAATCATTTGATCTTTACCAATAGTAGTCTCAAGGGAGGAATTAAGGCATCTCATGCTGTAAATAATTAAAAATGTCTTTATGGTCAAACTCAACCAATTATTTAGCAAAGTTTGCTGCTATAGTTTCTTCGACCATAAAACTGGTACACCAAATCAACCGCAGTATATTAAGTTTCGGGATAGGCAACGTTATTGCAATGCTATAATATGGTTCCAATCACAATCTCTACCCAAGTTCTATTTCTAATTTGGCACTTTGATATTTTATCGTGCCACTGCACCCTTTAGTTGTTTGTATTGTTACGCAACACTGCACTCCAAATGTGAATGCGATCCGTAATAATTGGGCCCTTTGAAATCTGAAAATTGAAATGTCCTCGTTTAAATTAATAGAATTTTCTCTAGTTTCAACAGCATTGAAATCAGATACTAATAAAGAGCTTAAGGTTAGAAAGTACTGAAAATGTAATCATACGAGAAACAAATTATTCTTCCGGACCACTGCGAATAAAAGTGTACATAGTAGGACTCCATCACCCCAAAGCTGTGTGTGCAATGCACACTGTGCATTGTACGAATAAAAATGAAACATTAACTCGATTCGCCATGAGCACTTTGAAACGAATGTCACAGGAAATGGTTTGCATACATGGCTCTGAATATATAAATTCCGAGCAGCATGCATGTATGCATGCATGATATAGTACTCATTATTTATTACCGTTGACTTACTTATTACTGCAATAGAATTCATGCATATATCACACACGAGAGAAACAAAATTTTGAGAATGCACATCCATTAGTGGCAATGTTGTCAGTTTTGTGGCTTTGGCAAACTTTCCAAGTTTGACATTTGTGACAACTCGTAGATTCAGCCGTCTTCCTCCAGGAGTTTGCTTGAAAAAATGAAGAAACGTGCCATTCTCATTTCCCTGCAATGTCAGGAAGGATTGAGCCATTTTAGAGAGATGTAGCCAAGAAGAACTCCTTATTGTTATTCAGTTTCCATATGCAATATGCGCGAATAATGTCATTATTCATTCATGTACTTTAGTTATAGTTCAGTTTTATCCACCTTGGGGAATTTTTTCTACATGCGCTTATTCAATTAGCAAAAGTGCATTAAAAAACAGGTTGGAACAAAATATGCAATCCTTATTCAAGACGTGATTATGGGTTTCTCGTATTTCGAATGAAATGCCACAAGATGTCCAAGGTTTATTTAATTAGCCCAAAAACATGGCACAAGAGATAGTGGCTACTTTCGTACACAGTTAACAGCAAAGTTTCTCTTTCCATTAAAATTTGCATAATGAAAAAGTTAAGCCAATTACTCAAGAGATTACATATCCGCCAAGGAGTGAGCGCTCAACTCGGAATAATAACAGCTTCCCGTCAATATGACTGAAAGTGAAGAAACCATGAATTTGAGACTTTGCACGCTGCACACTTTCGGTTCTATCTACATTATTATGATCCAGTGATCTTGGACAAGACGAGTCAGCATTAGCTTACGTCAGCAGCATATAGATTTATATATATTAGTACCATGTATATGTACACAAAGAAGCACACGACACTCACGGTGTAGCCATATGCATATGACTGTATGAGTAGTACATATACCTATGTATCTGTATTATTTCTGTATCACGAGCAGTACATAAACATGGAATAATCCCATCAAAATATTTATCAAATCCAATTTACATACGTTGAAAAGGGGAGATTGTTAAGTAGAAATAATGCTGATCGAAGGATAGTTAGTATCCACTAGTATCCAGTTAATTGAATGACTGGATACTGGAAATTTGAAATGAGCCTATTGTCATTAGATTAGATACAAGTAGGAGGAACCTCTCTGACTAACTTTCACTAGAGTAGAAAGTGAATGCACAATCTTGTATTTAGTTTTAAGGGTGGTTCTTCAAGCGGTAGGTCATACATAGATTGATAGGAATCATGCTATGATTACCATACTGATGACGTTAGTGACGTTAGTGTATATAGTATATATGACGGAAGTCCAACAAAATGATCTCTCCGAAAAAGGACCATGGTTATGAGATATACATAAATCAATCATGTAGCTTTCATTCAAGAACATTACATAACCTTATTCCCGCTTGAATTAAAGAATACGCGAAGTGTGAAGTCGTTTTTATCATACCACTTAAACCTTACATATTTATGCACAGTATTCCATGTGTTCATTTCTATTTGCATAATATGCTAACACATAATCTATGGGGGGATGCGTATGTATGTATGAGGCACGTTCTTATTTTTCAGGAAATCTTACTGTTCTAATAATCCTTTTACGAAGAAGGAAGACCCGACTTGTGTTTCCACCTATGGATTTCTTGCTGTTAAACTTGGCAGTTGCTGATTTAATGGTACGTCAAAATCCTTATATTTAGTATGTTCCAAGTGAACTATTTCCTTGACATTAATAATTAATTGCTAGTTAGTTATAACTAACGTGGCGAAACGATAACCAGTGGTCGTAAAAATGACCAAACACTATTTTCTGCCATTAATTTATATCGAAGGACGATGAACAACTTTCCGTTACTGTAATTCAGTCCTTGTTTTGCAGGTAACCATGTTTTTAATGCCTCTCGAGGTTGCATGGAACGCTACGGTAACGTGGCGAGGAGGCGATTTGCTCTGCCGAGTAATGGCCTTCTTCAGGATTTTCGGACTTTTCCTCTCAAGCTTCGTTCTGGTCTGCTTGGCTGTCGACCGGTGAGCACATTATTTACGGATAATACTAAAATCGTTTAACTTTATGAAAATACCTTCATCGAGGAGATTTTAAAATTTAAAAATTAACTTAAAAAATATTTCGTATTACAGTAGCTTGTTAACTATCGACTCTTTTTATTATACAACTCAGGAGGTTGATAATAACAGATCTGATCTTGATGCCATTTGTATATATGGTAGTCTCACATGAAGTGGTTTGACTCAATGGCCACATTTACGCCCGCCACACCCACTCAAAGATGCCCAAAACCAGCTTTCACTCAAGCTTTCACTCACTCAAATCCACCCCAAAAATCTAATTTTACTCGGATTTTGAAATTTCTTTCACAATTATACTCCCAGATAGTTGTTTTCTTACATCCAACATCAAACTCAACCTTTTGAAATTTTCAGTATTTTTAAAATTTAAAATTCTGAGTTAGCATTGTTGTAGTAATCAACAACGCAAATTATGCCTGCGAAATAATCATCGAAAAAGTTGAGTTTAATGTTGGATATAAGAAAACAATTATCTGGGAGTATAATGGTGAAAGAAATTTCAAAATAAGAGTAAAATTGGATTTTTGGCGTGGATTTGAGTGAGTGAAAGCTGGAGTGAAAGCGTTTTTTGGGCACCTTTGAGTGGGTGTGGCGGGCGTAAATGTGGCCATGGCATCAAACCACTTGGGGGTTCTTGTTCATTCGTGGGACACTACCACGTATCCAAAGGGCATCAAGATCTGTTATTATTAACCACGGAAGCTCCCTCCTCAGTGACAATAAGTAGAGTAGTAGGCAATAATATTCATGATGATGCTATGAATATTGCACCGAAAGCTTGAATTAAATAAATATTATGTGAATAATGACATCAAGATCTTCCGAAAATGATTCTGCAAAATAGGTCGCTACACACTGATCTGGCGTGTTGTATTTCATCTCAATAAGTGAAATAAGGATGACCAAATTGTAACCTTCTGATTTAGGTATATGGCTGTCAGGTTCCCCATGCAGTCGCTTTCTGGTGTGAGAAGAAGTAGGCAAATGATTGCCTTGTCATGGATCCTGTCGGTATTCTGCAGTTCCCCTCAGGTATAATTCATCCTCAGTTACATCATTTCTTATAGTACAGAGCCATTACGAGTGAAAGTTCCGAGTAAGTGAAAGTTATTTAACTACTTTGTACGTATGTAAGACCTAGAGATTCGTAGAAAATAACCTCCTGGAAAAGTTGACTCAAAGAAATAAACTTTATCACATTATAATTGGCGACCCCATTTCTTTCACAGCCGTTATCATCCATATTTTCACTTGAAAGCAACGTGTATTGACGCAGACTGTCGACTTTACAAGGATTCGTTTCCGCAGAACACCCAGTACACTACGTATCCGGAGAATTTATCTTTAATTTAGATGGAGAACGGGTGTCTGACAATAGAGATTGTTAGCTATTGTTACAAAACTATTCCACACCCGGCTGCGCATTACTCTTGCGGTTTCTTACACAAGAACTAAATAGATACGCTAACAACTTGAACAATCTGTTATTACTGCGATCAAGTAAATCGGCAGGGAGCATCTGCACGTATTTGCCACATATTTTCGCTTGTGGTGCCAATTACTTTATGTAGGCAGAAACCCATTACTTCCTAAAAACCCCAATCTTTCACTATAAAATATTTACGAATAATGGCCCTATTAATAAAGTTGAGCAAGTTGAATATCATAATGCCCCAAAGACTGGGTTAGGACACATTAATAGTGACATTATTCCCAGTCACAAAATCAGGTCGCATAGACTTTCTCTATTTCGATTTGTATTCTGCAGGTCGTGTTTTTTCAAGTGGAACACCACCCCGTTTTTACTTGGTACACTCAATGTGTGGTCTACTCATCCCTACCAACCAAAACACATACGTTTGCGTACTTTCTCTTTGGAATGTTCTTCACGTACTTGGGACCTTTCATTATCATTCTGATCCTGTATTGCGGCATTGTAATCGAGCTAATTAAGAGACACAAAGAAAGCAAAGGACAAATGAACAGCAGAAACGGAGGTTGGTGTTGTCAGTTCGTTCCAATTTGCAAATTGCAGGGAAAATATTCCAATAATTGCTTTTCAAGTTGATACATATGATTGGAGGAATTACCCCAGAAAGAATTATAACACGATATTTTTGTGTAATTTAGGTGATGGGCTGAGGCGTTCGGGAATTGGTAATATTGGGAAAGCAAAGGAGAAAGCACTAAAAATGACTGCCGTGATTATTATTGTCTTTTTCGTGTGCTGGACACCATATTTTTTAATTTCTCTTTGGTAAGATTAATAACGCTTATTATTTCACAATATATGCTTCTCTGATACACTCACAAAATTAAAGATACATAATTATGCATAATCCACGAAGTAAATTTTAGACATGAAGGAATAAGTTCAATGAAATTGTACTCGTTGTGTTCGATTCAATTGATTTACGTGATATTTACATAATAATTCAGCTATAACAAGGTGCATACACAAGTCGACAATAATGTGCATAAGTAAAAACCTTGAATGTGGAATACAATTCCACGCCGAATAAATAAGTTTTTGAGAAAATGCCAAGATGGCTTTCACCTAGCTGCTAATATATGTAATTAAATATGTAAAACACATAACAAACAGAATCCTAATTATTTTCTAAGTAGTATAATAATGGCTATAATTGCATACCTGCGATGAACGAAGATGTTCCTGATCATGAGCAACCTGCATGCAACAAATTACATATTGCAGGTTTTATTCAGGCTTGATCAGCTGCAAGTGTAATTGCAAATTCTCACTGCGTTTGTCAACCAAAATGTCACCATATATTTTCCGTAATATGATACACATACTTAAGTCTTTTCTTGCCTTATAATTTCAGGTACTTCATTGACGAAGATTCGTTCAGCCAGCTTGATCCCAAAATCAATAAAGCTTTGTTCTTTTTCGCGTGCACCAATTCGACAGCAAACCCCGTGGTCTATGGGATCTTCCGTCTCAAATCAAATACGGACACTCTTAGGAGAGATAATAATGTGAGAACTTGGCTAAATATTTACATGGCGCAAGTGACCTAATTTAACATGATCGGATCGCACGTAAAGCATTTAATTTAAGCTAACTGACTTGTTGGCCATTTACAGGGCGGGACGTTACGACAGGGAATATCCGGAGAATCGCTATGCCAACGTCACCTTCACTCCAACAACAGCTTCCGCATGTCGGAAGTGACTCAAGACCAGAGCGTCACCATTTACACGCCTCGCAAGAGCACAATCAACGTGAGCATTATGCAACAGCCGAAAGAGTCGCAGGGCTGCAATTTGGCTGTCACTGCTAGCACCAGCAACCATGCTATCAAAGGGGTTTTAACACCCTCTTATGTCTAACTAATAAACTTCCCACTTCCTCGTTGAAGTTGATTACGAAATCGAACTGGATCAACCAACGCTCATGTTACATTGGGATTTGGAAGCACTCTGATAAGGAATCATCCCAGTCCAACCTTAAATACTTTGCTTTTACATATACTTCTCCTACTAAAACCTTGTTATATTGTATCCTGCAAATATTTTTGAAACATTGTTCCGTAATGGTTGTAGTACTTATGCTATGATATTTTAGGATTTGGGCATTTAAACTTTATGGAATACTGAAGAATATTTTGCTCTGCGTAAATAAACATGTATGAAAAACAGATTTCAAACACAGTCTCTTTATCACGCTCATATATCTGAATTTCTTCGAATGGCAAGTCCATGTATGAAAAATATCGTGTGGTGAAAGAGGGTCGCATGTAGCAGTGTGTGAGGATGTGAGCCAAAATGCGAGGGTGAAAGTTGCCAGCACCTCGAGCGAGCGGGAAAGGCGGTGGAGTGGAGGAGAGAGCATAGAGAGAGCGACAGGGAAATCGTGAACCTTGGTGAAAGCGGACGTAATGTCAAAAAAAAATTCCACTAGTACCACAAAGTATTCCTATTAACAATAGTTTATTAACCTTTTTTGACACACTCAAAACAACCATAGGTCGAAGCTTTGACCATTAGTTTATTTAGTGACCAGATAAACCTCACGTAGAAATTCTGATTAGTGTTACTTAAATATTGATTAACAATTGATAATATTGAATATCATCAAATATACTATATTCTCGTCAAGTCTTATGGAACTTTCCGTTCTACAACTTCAGGTTTTCTGACTTTTTTGAGGTAAGTAAGAGTAAGGAGAAAATTAATACACAAATTACAAATTTTCCTAAAAGGTATACTTATATAGCAACTATTTGTATAAATTGTTTGTGTTCGGTTGGTTTTAAAATTGTTTTTATTGCAGCAAGATTGCTTGACAATTTATCATAATACAAGGTTACGACAATTGCTTCGATAGCCTCAAAAACCTCCATTTTTGAAGTGCTAATTATTTGGGCCGTTGCTAACGGTAATTAAAGCACAAGAATTTGTAACAGAACGCCGAAATAGCCGATTTCACATTTACAACTGCACTGATTCTTGTACCCATGGTGAAAAAATAACTCGAGGGAACGAAATGTGAGTGTTGATAATTTTTGGGCGTTTTATTTTTTTTGGGTGAAAATTTGTGCGGCGCACACTGGAGTCTACAGACTCCAGGCTTTTAGAAAATTTAAGTTTTTTAGTCGTCGAAGCAATTGTCGCAACCTTGCAATTATTGCTAAAGTTGTCAAGTAACCTTGTTATTGCAGCTTTTGAAATATCTTTGTTCTGTACACTCCTAGTTTGACGGTGGTCGTTATTTTTCTTACTGACGTACTCGTGCGCTATGATGTTCGGACCATCGCCACCCACTCTCAAAAAGACCCCCCTGCTAAGTGCAGCTTCTCAGCCCAAAGCATGCAACAATTCCAAAACTTATGTGTTTGAACTCGAACTGGCTGAATCCAACGACAAAACATATCCAGAGTTCTCTTGGGCAGATCTTGTGAAAGATGCCAAAGTTAAGGAGGTGCCAGTGAAAAATGTAAAACAGGGTAATAATGATTTCATAATATTTGTTATGTAAGAATAGGAAAATATTATTATCTACATAATATGTGTATATTACAAACTGAAACTATTCTGATTTGTTTAATTGCTTAGGAGAAACCTTGCTAGACCCATATGCTTCGGACGATGAAGATCAATTAAAAGCTTTAGCTGCAAGACTGGAAGAAAAGTATGGAGGCCAGTCGTCACCATCATCATCCAAGCCATCGAAAAGAAAGAAGCAAAAACTGGACGATTGCATTGACAGGGCAGCAGGATACGACGAGTCAGATTCCTTCATCGACAATACAGACGCTTACGACGAGAAAATACCGAAACAGCTCCAACCAGCATGTGGTGGATTTTACATAAATTCCGGACAACTTGATTTCAAGGAAGTTGAAATTTCAGAGGATGACGACAACGACGATGACGATAGTGTAGAAGACATAATTATAAAGAAAAAGAAAGTTACAAATCCTGCAAAAGTTAAATTAACTAAACCCGATGCAAGTTTCAGTCCATATCCGAAATCAGGAGATCAAATTTACAAAAAGCGTAAAATATCTGGTGATGCCACACCTCTAGGTCTTCAACCAAAGTCTGCAACAGGAGCAAATGAGAAGCCTAAATTGCCCAAGACGGATAATTTAACATTGGCGACTAACGATTCAACTAAAAAGCGAGCACGGCAAATCTCTTCCTCCTCTAGTTCGAGCTCAGAGACGTCTTCCTCATCCTCTGAAGATTCCTCAAGTTCAAGCGATAACAGAAATAAAATGGAAAGCCAACAAAAGTCTAAAGCAGATCGAAGAGAACCTGAAGTAATAATTTTGCACTCAACTAAGCCAACACAGAAGAAAAGGTTGGATGGCTCATCATTTAATAATACTGCAGTGTCAATTAAACCAACAACTTTGCTTCCACGTAAGCCAAGAGTAAAAAACGTTCCACTAAACCCAAATTTAAAAAGGAAAGATGTGCCAGGTGCACTCCCCCTAAAACCTTGTACAACCTTACCTCCAGTCACAATTACTCGAAAAATTTTAAATCCTAGAGAATTTGTCAATTCTAAATCAATTTCTCCAGCAACAGTGAAGATGAAAAACGCTACCAACATTAACATTAGTAAGCTTTCACCAGCGTCATCGTCACAAGTTAGTTCCTCCGTACTCCAGTTAGGAACCAAAATATCTACCCCTAGTGTGATAAAGGTTCCCACACCAAAATCCTCGTTTAGTCCATCACCCACTATAGTGGCAACATTGTCTTCAATCCTAAGTCATGCGAGCCCTATCGTGTCAACTCCTCCTGGGTCTACATCGGCGTCACCATTATCAATATCATCCGAACTAGCACAAATATTCTCTGACATTCCTCATCAGTCGAACCAGCAACTTCAGCAGCAAATTTCAAACTCAGGAGTAACTTCATCTGCAAATTCTATTTGTAGCAAAAATGTCTCTACACCAAAACCAAAGCATTTAACGTGTAACGTGTATTCTGAAGCAATGGCAAAGGATGCATTAAGAATAATTTCCAATGCATCGAGTTCAATACAGCAGCAGCAGAAGAAATCTGAAAAGAGATCTCCTGAATTTAAACCACTCCCAAAATTGAAACATAAAAGCGGTTTCACGATTGAAAAGCAGAAACAACAGACGCATTCCCCATCTCCTCCCCCGTCATCTTTAGCAAATGCAAAATCCGTAAGGATAAACCCAAAGCATTTAGTAACCACGTCCACCTCCAACTTTACTGCAAATACACAAGTATCTTCGTCACCCCATATTGCAACCATCACTTCGTCTACTTCTCAGCCGACATATAATCCAGGCAGTGTTGAAATAACCAAATTAAAGAAAACTATGATGCCAGCATTGGGGTCAGGGATTACTGTCACAGAAGTCAGAGGAGGAGGGGGAGGAGAGAAGTCGTCGTCTGGTCCAACTATAGGAATGGCAACTATAACTGCAACAACGGGGAATATAATGTTTGGTGGTAAAGGCTCCTCGAATCTGAACCATAATCAACAACTAAATTCTCAAGCCTCAAATTTTAATTCAAATACAAGTAACATTCAATCTCCTACACAAAAAGTCTCGGCTGGCTCAAGCACTTCCACGTTACGTAATCTGACTAGTGATCTTTCCGATCGTTTCAACATTGGAAATTTTATAGTAAACAAGCAGAATAATAAATTCCCAGGTTTTATCACATCTTATGACGTTAGTGCACTATTAAGCGGCTCAAAAGACCTTCCGGATATTCCCAGTTCCAGTACAAACACTTCTGCCGCAGAGTTTAATAAATGTCCTAACCCTTCTACTTCCAACAATTCATCATTAAATCGAAAATAATTTGCACTTCTTTTTTGTCAACGTGTACTTATATTTCCTTTGCAAAATTATGATCTGATGTAGACTTATTTTTATTCTAAAGTTACTATTTTTTAATTGTACTTTAATATAAATGGACTGAGTAATCGAAAAGTATTAATAAAAGCAAACAACATACATATGTTTATAATGCGATTTAATTGATATTCATAAGGGTAATATGATAAATAATTTTTGAGCTCGTTCATACATATATCGTGCATAACCCATTATTAATTAATCTTCAGTAAATTATTCGTGGCACCAGTACAAATAAACTGCGGTTCCAATAGAAAGAATAAGGAAGAAGTAAGCTGCATAGCTCTTCAGTACGACCATCCCAGTGTGTTGTATGCTTCCTATAATTTCGTTGTTTCTTCTGAATACTTCCAAACTTTCTTCCAGCAAAGAATTTTTTTCATCTCTTGACAAATCGGATGCGATGTCATTCATTGTGTAAGCGATTTCCTTCTTGATGTCAGCAATGCTGCGACCATCACCAAAGTATGTAACTGCGCCCCCCGGAATATGCAATTCCCCAGCAACGTTATCGGACAAGGATGGACTTTTATAGAGCCCACACCACTGAAGAAGTCCACCAACTTTAGTTTTAAAGCGATTCCTCAAATCTCGTTTCCTCTTCAAAATTTGACCTCCTGATAAAAGGCCCAAGTACAAGTGGTAGATGTAAGCTAAGAGCCTCAACGGCTCCCTTTGTTCCAAAGTCTGCAAATGCTTGAGGTACTCTGCTACTGAGGGTCGAATTGGGTATTCTTTCAAATATCCAGGCTGGAAAAATTCGAGATCCTGTTCAAATGCCCTAGTTCTTTCTGCACCGATAATCACCTTGTGCATGCGTTTGAAAGGTTCGTACTTTGGGCCAAGTCTGAGCATTGCAGCTTCAAGGAACTTGAATATTTCATAAAATATAAGTAATCCTGCAAAAACATGAATACAAAGATGTAAGATGATATTTTTGATATATTTTTAGCAAGTTGTTGTGGTATACGTTTCCACGATTCTAATTTTACAACTACGATATTTGTATGATGCCCTTGCTTACCCTCAGCCCATATTTTGTCATCGGACATTGCTGTGAAAAATACCAGTGACTTCGATTACATCTTACATAGCTTTTTAGAGAGAGAGAGTTTAAATATTTAAATACGTACCTAGTCCTAATTTAGCATTGACCAGTGTGTCACTTATGTTATGAATTTTTCTTGTTTCTATACGCATTTTCTTTGTGAACGGAATGCCGTCATCAATGTCCATTGCGTCTTCGTCATCCTCATTTTGACTAACACTTTGAAGGCGCTCGGATTCAGGAATTTCCTCTAGGATAAAGTTTGGATTACTGACTTTCCCTTTCATTTTGATGAAACTGGCTGAATTGACTAGAGGAGAAAGTAGATCCACGATGTACTATTATTTAAGGAATTTATTATTGGGCATAATGTTACACTTTTACATTCAATCCATATTTTAAAAAATCAAAATACTTCTTACCTAGAGAAGGAGAAAGTACCCTGCAGCGCTGTTTTCACCTCTCTACAATGTAAACCTTTAACTGGCTCTGTGCTCTGTTTACATCGTTGTAAAATTTTTTCCCGAAATAAAATCCCAAATGAAATTAAGCGTGTTATGCTGTCGTATTACGTATCTTATTCTTAGTATCTAGAATAGTCTAGCCTAGTCTTGAAGTCTAAAAATTGTTTTTCATTCCTCGAGAACAAGTTGTCTGCAAAAATGTGGTAAGGAAAAGAAAAGGTTAAATCCAGCGCAGTCCACCAGCTCCGCCAATGAAGTGGAGAGGCAAGAGATTCAAACCACTATTATTGACTCATTTGAATACATTTATCAGAACGGGAAGTGTTGGGATAACCCTGAAATCTCTCTGTGATTGATACCGTCATCCTTAATTTTTTATTAGACTTGATACGAGTTCTGCTCCAGCAGTGTCCAGTCAATCTTCATCATCTACATGAGCGAGTATCGCACTGTTGTCAAATATTTGTTGTTGACAAAATTTAAAATCACCAACGTACAGTAAATTAGTAAGTTTGTTAAATTTAAAGTGATCACGGACCCACTGATCAGGTTCAAGTACTTCTGTTATATTTGGTATTTACTTACGACCTGATTTTTTGGGAGAAAGAAAAAGAAAGAGTCGGCGAAAGTCTCGCACGTTGCATTCGGGGCTGGAGAAAGCAGGAGCGTTTCAGAGCAGAGATCTCGCAGATTGGGAAGGAGACAAGGTAACCCTTAAAAAATAGTTCTCCTCTGCTACTCAGCTTGTGACAGTGCAGACCAGATGAGATTATGCAGCATCTTTACCGTGCATAAAATTTGCATATATGCTCACCAACTGGAAGTTTGGTTACAAATTTTGAGTATACTTTCACCATTTTTTATATTCGCTTGCATGCAAATTCTTAACATTTTTATTTTTTACACATGTCCTGAAAATAAGTGCATATTTAGCTAGGTCAATTTTAAGCGAATGTGTAGTTCACCCAACTACTACCCCCACTGAATTTTAACTTTGAACCGAAAATTTCTATCGATAAGTCATTTGATTGATATTTATTAGACACATTAACAAAACGGTTCCATATAAATATGTACATACATACACATATTTTGCAAGTGGAAGTGTTGTATTTTATCTTCGTGTGCGTCTTTGCAATTGATCTGTGTACATTGACATTAATCATGAATGCGAACTTATTTCGTAATCGTGAGCTGAGAATTATTCAAGTGCGATCAGACACTAAATAAATGTTTGCATAATTGTGACGAGTTTTCTTATCAAATTTATTTCCACTAATACCATTTAAATCTGAGGAATCAGGATATTTAATTGGAATATAAGAAATGCATATTAGTGTATGTATGAACACTATGAACTAATAAGTTAATATTGATTATAATAGTGCCTTAAACAGAAATAAGCTGAGTTCACAATTTTCCGAAAATCAGAAATAATCAGAAATTATATACATACTAAAATGAGTATCCAATAATTAATAAAAAATAGTGATTACATATATGACCTTCACCTTTGCATGAAAGAATTAAAAATAAATTGCAATTAATCAACAAGTATTCCTTTACAATGTTCATCATAATTAGCAAAATCGCTTAATAACAGATCAGGATCTCCAAAAAGGTTAAAAGCAGCCATTTGTAATTGAGGCAAACATACAATCCGAACGAAATATGAAGTATTATGTGCGACATAATATAATATTTTGACCTCCTCAACTTTGATTATACTCAAATTGTTGCCTGGTGTTGGATATGCAAGCTAAAAATTGCTAGTTCCGTGCGACTACTTTCAACTGTAAATATCTATGGTTTAAATTGGTCTAATTGTAGGATTGGTCTCGTACAGTCACAACACATGATATGCATAAGGATTTAAAATTCTTCTTATCAATCGACATGAAAGTAGCCACACACCTGCGTCACATTCATCAAGGTGCACATACTTACATGCATATCTTTATCGTTAAATATGTAAGCATCACGATTATATATATGACTCAATGTAATGCGACTAAACTGAGGATGAGATGAGTCAGATGAGAGGAGTTTACATAGATATGCAATACAAATTATTGCTGTGTTAAGAAATAACTATGCATTTTAATAAGAATGAATGAGATTAAATTATTCGTGATTATGAACGAATTACGAGCGATTTTTTACGACTTTACTTTTATAATATTTTTACTTTTTGTCAAAATAACATGGCTCATCTCGATGAATTCCAAAATGCTATCAAGTTCATTCTGTCGTAAATTTGTAGTTTACAGGATGAAAGAACTTTTAAAAACGTGGACAACGTTTGTTAAAATTTGTGAGTACGAGTTACTTTTATCTGTTAAATTATGATTATAATATTATAGTTACAGCAGTACATACACAGTTGAAGACCTGGCAGGATGCGGGACCAAACGAGTGTAATTAGTGTTCCAATCCCATCTTTAAAGAGAGGAACATTTCCCCACAACCATTATTACTTGAGCCAAGCTTACATTCTGTTATTGGTCTAAAAATACGGTTATTTGCTGTTGGCAGATGGCTAACGAAGACTAGACTAATGCTGATGTTAGTTGTAATAAAACTTGTGAGGAGCGAATGAATGGTGGTAAAATACATGGTTGGTGTGTTCCTTTTCCTCAATGAAATGTTGATGAAAGCATGAATGAATGGAGAGATGAGGAGAACCGTGCTGGGGTTGGTTACTTATCGTTAGTAGGTAAAGTTTTTAAAGTTGTTTGCTGCAGAAGAAGAAGAAAAGGGCCCTCCTTTTCCTCTATATTTCGTAAGGTTCAGAGTTTAAAGAGGTTAAAGAGTTAGCAAAATTTGTAAAAAAAAGTCTCCATATCACTTAAATACTCTACAATTCTTGGTGTCTGGGGTATAGGATCATTGCAAAAAAGGGGAGAGGAGTACATAGATGATGAGTTGATGGGGCTGCTGCGACCAGAGAGCGAGATGGATGATCTCTCTCAGATCCATTCATGTAATCCAATTGCACTCATTCAAGAAGGTGGTATGCATGCAAGTGTGGTATGGAGAGCGTTTGTGTGGACGTTATAATATTTTGCAGCAAAACGCGAGTAAGCAAAGGGTTGAGTTTACAAAGACACACCACATGCCTACAATACAGAGGAAGAATCAATAACTTGGCGAGGAGAAGAGATCAGAGGGAGGTTAGGTTGGCTTGGTTGGGACTTTTGCTTCAGCTTTAGTCAGCTTTAGTAGAGCAATGGCAAGCAAGGCAAGCTAAACACTTGAACCACCAACTTCGTCACGGAGTTGCTCCTTTTTCGTCTTTAAGAGTTTCTTCGTCTCCTTCATACATACGAACGAACGAACGTGTACGTACATTCACATACATGCATACACATCCTTCAACTCACGTAATGCAATGTAACAGAGTTTGATGGAAAAAGGAAGTTCAGTTGTTAGTGTGGGTCTCGTCGTATCTTCAATCTCTCGACTCACTCACACTCGACAGTTTTGCCTGCACGGTCGAATTTGGTTAGAGCGGAAACCATCCTTTTTTTGGAAACATTCTTCTTCTGCCAGTGAATGTGCTTCATGAGTTGCGGCTAACCAAACCATCTGCATCATTCATTTTGGTGGAGTTTGCACATTCGAATAGCAGAAATCTCAGTGTCGCATACAACAGTTTTACTACCGTTCCGTTCGGTCGGAGTGGAGGAATGGAGTGGGGTTGCATATTAACTTGTCGGATTTTTTGATGAAAAATAGTGTGTTTTGTTGGTACAATTTAATTGAGAAGAACATGGTAGTGCTGCTCTGGCGAAGACGAAGGAGGGAGAATTTCCTACGAGAATAAATAGGATGAGAAGGATAGAGGAGGACGGGTGAAGTGACAAAAATGTAACAAGTGAGACAAGGAATAGCACAGCAATGTAAAAAGTAGTGCACAAGCGTGTAATAACGGAAAGTGCTTGCTCGACTCTGCTGAATGAATGAATGGGAACTCTCTCTCAGATCTATCCAACCCATTTCAGTGCTAACTTGGCAAACTATCTACGCTACGTGTGCAGCAAGAGAGCGACTAAAGGCTCGGTCCGTTCATTCATAAAGTTCTCGTTGAGCTTGCAAGTACGCGATCGAGAGTATAATAGTTTCACGTTTTAAGCCCTACTCACTCAAAGGCTGTACGAACACAAATGTGAAGTTTTTCAGGGATTTCGCTGGAAAAAGTTTGGTGATCTTGTGAGAATTGTATGGGCTCCCCGAGTTGTTTAGTGTGCAATCAAGTCATTTCTACTCTGGAGATAGTTTTTGGAGTAAAATGACATCTGAAATTGGCCGGATGTTGAAATGTCTGAAAAACAAATCATATCATTCCCTTCAGGACGATGCCTACAGTCATATAACTCTTTTACGTAAGGTTTAATAACGTAATTCTCTACTCGATCTTTTACTGTCCCATTCCCAATTTTACATGCATTCTCTTGATCCGCTACGAAAAATCATTGAAATTCAGTCTTTCTGAAAGGAAGGCAAATGTATTTTTAATCCCAACTTGCGTCTTGGACGACAGGCATCCTGCATTATAAACATCCTAAGCACACATAAGCCAATTTATAAACAGGAAATCGATTATATTTGAGCAATATTGTTGTTTGGCTCAATATTTTCCATTGTTATTATGCATGCATGTACATAATTTACATCCCACGACTCTAGTCTAGGGAAGGGGCTAGACATTACGTGGATAGACGTATGTATGTACATAAATATACCCAATTTCTTACAACACGTAAAGTTTCACTGACTATATATTTTGACAAGCAGCACAGTATTTAGTAAACTTTAATACTTTAATACTTAAATACTTTTTTATTAGTTCCATCATTGGTAGGCTAATCTCTGTCCATCACTACAATTTATTTATTATTGCAATGAAAATGTGGATATGCGAAATTTTGAGCACGCGTCTCGTATTCTAATTTAAATAATTGTCAAGGACTGGGCGATAATACGTATCCATATGTAGTGTCGATATGTGTGTGATAATAATGATGATGATTTGATTGGACAAATCTTAAGGTTATTATCCGACTATTATGGATACGTCACGACAAGCATAATATAATGATGTGACTTTAATCCCCATAATGTCAAGTGAATGTCGAATCAATTGACTCCAATAATAATATTATGCATGTATATAGCATTCTCCATTCACAAGTTAATCTGCCTTGTACTCAATTATGCATTCCAGACCCGATTAGTCATTGTTCAACCGTCCCTATCTATCTATGGTCTAGAGATATTCTATTCACGGATAAGTCCATCGCTATTCTACGCAAACTCCTGATAGAAATTAAGAATTATGAAAAATATGCTTTCAGTTTCGAAGCAGTAAAAAATGTTTTGAATATTTTGTAATTGTATATAGAAACAGAAGAGACGAGTTCTCAGCCCAATGAAGACATAAGTTCAACAACGACAAATACAACAGTCTCAAAACATAACAGCGAACTCATTCCATCACCCCTGCAAGATAAGTCGAATGCCAATAACAAGCCCAACTTTAAAACGAAAAGTTTAGACAGTCTGACTGAGGAAGTGCTAAACTCGATTGATTCCACCAACGTTGTCGATTGTCATTTGAATGAAAACATAAATTCCGGACCCATTTCTCCGAATATTTTTTCTGATCAAAGGAGTTTGTCCAATAATTGTGGGAGCAGTAGCAGCAGCAGTCCACCAGCGTCAGAAGGTGGCATCATTGGTAAAAGTACAATAAATAACAACTCGAGTGGTAGTGGTGGACTTTTTAGTTTTCTGGGTCTAAAATTTAATAAATCCTCCACCCGGCATCTGGACCGGTCTTCCTCTGGAGATTCTTCTGGAGATAAGAGCGAGCCATGTAATCCAAATAGGTACACAAAATTCCCTTTGCGAGGAAACAGCACTGTGGCCCACACACCGGAAGCGGCTGCTGAACCCAGTAACCCAATAATTGTAACCCCTGACCCTTCATCCACTTCAAGCAGGTCATCGGTCGAATCCCACTCACAAAGTTCTTCTGAAATTTCATCAGCACCTCAGTCAAACTCAAAATTTGACATTTCACAAATCCAATTAACTCCCCAAACCAAAGTTTACTCCAACCCAAATCGAAGCCCACCTCAAAGTTCTTCAAGAAAAGGAGCCTTCTCGGCAAGTAACTTTATCAGCAAGTCAATTTCGTCATTTGGGAAAAAGTCTGGTAATTCTAATCACAAAAACAGTTCAAGTTTTATAAATAAACGCAAATCAAAGTCTGACAACAATTTGCATCGAGTAGACTTGGGCAGAAACTCTGCATTTTCAATCTCTGGGGGTGCGTCGGGTGGTGAAAGCAGTATTAATAATAGCAGAAGTGGTGTTGTTGCTGGCGGTGGTAGTAGTGGATTGACCACAAACTCTTCTCAAAATATTTACAACAGTGAGCCCAGAAGTGAATTGAGACTGAATAGTGTTCAAATAGGGGATCACCAAACCATCCACTTGCCCTGGACAGGTCCTGGTCTTCAAAGAAACAATTTGAGCACGACCACACCTCACCGAGTTCATCAGCATACCCACCACAATAACTTTTTTGCCCCTGAGGTTCGCTATGTTGAGTGCGGTTTTAAATTGTCCAGAACAGCAGGAGATGAGAATTCTCCTTCTTCCAATAACTTTGCGTTAATCAGGCCGGAGGAAACTCATGCTCGCTTACACAATCACTACCCTGCGACAAGTATCCAATACACTTCCTGCACCGCGGTCAAACGAAGGTCCAGGTCTCTCGAAAGGGACGCCGGGCATAGAATCAACCCACGAAATTCTATTGCATGCTCTAGTGCAGGCACATTAAATTCCTCCCACACATCCTCAAAATCATTTAGAGGTCGGGGTCTTCTGAGTAATAAAGGAGCAAAAACTCTTGGTGGTGGTGTTGCTGGTGAGACCACAGCAAATTCAGCAAATTCTAACTTTGGCCTACACCAAGTTCGCCGCTGTTTAACTCCAGAAGAACAAGAAATACTTTTAAGAAATATTAGTTGGGATTCCTTCACCCTTGAACCCAGGGCTGAAACTCCACCTCCAAGACCGGAGAAACCTGCCAGTCTTAGAAATAAGTTTGCTTGTTCTTTTGATCCTTCAACAAATCCCTCCCAGCACTCAAAGTGTGCATCATCATCATCGTCGTCATCGTCCTTTTTATCGAAAAAACCCCCCCATATTGGAGCAATCCGCCGTTCTGCTCCAAATTCGTTTAGCGTCAGCAGCGGTTCGAACGACTCGATCAACAATTGTTCGGCCCCACCATCCCCTCCTCCGCGGCCACCATCTAGTCTAAAACCAGAGAGTCGTCTCATCACCTCAATAGCAATCGGGGCAGGAAATACTCATCGGGTCCTCCCAAACAAAAGTTGCACGAGTGGAGGTGTCATCAGATCCACTTCTTTTAAAACACCCCATGTTTCACCCTCTCAGCTTCTTCCAATAAGCTCAAAATCAGACGTTGACGAGAATAACTCGTCAGATTTCACTATCCATCGTATGACATTTGAGAAGAACACTGAACAACGGAATACCAATTCTCAGCACCAATCGTTACAATTATCATCAACGTCTAGTTCTACTGATCCAATTATTGCTGCGACCTTATCCTCCAACTGTCAAAAGGCATCAACAACAATGTCCATTGACGAAACTCAGAGCTCCAGATTTATTAGCAAACCAATGAAGGGATGGGTAAGTTCTTTCTCAATATTACACCTTACATTTTGCATATCTAGTATACTTGGAACTCGATAATTTGAAAGAGTGGAAATAATGATGATATTCAAGTCTACGTCCACGTAATTTCTTTGCAAATGCACATGTGTTATATGCTCTTAATGTATTTTTGCAGCTTCACTCGGATCAGCTTCTCTCCAAGGAAGGTGTCACTTACACAGTTCGGGTAAGTTTATGTTGTTTTTATTTGCTAGCACCCTGTTCCGTTTTGCTCCATGCACCAGAAGAGTTATACAAAATTGAGGTCCTAAAACCATGAATGACGCATTCCATTGTCCATGTACTCATTACGGACCAATCTAAATTGCTTTTTCATTTTAAATAATTTAATGCGGCGTTCGTTCGTAGGAAGAGTCTGTCACTTGCATCGTCTTTATTTTATGTCTTGTCATGAGAAGAAAGTGAAGGCGATGGCGTGATTTGAAACGCATTACATGTATATGTAATATACTGTAATAATGGACATTTAAACGGAAAGTAGTCGTCTGCTAGCCATGTTACTCCTTTTAAATACAGGTCTTCTGTATGAGCTGTTATGTATATATACCTGTTTATAAAGAGGAACAGCCAAACAAATAGATAACATCTTCACTGGCATTTGAGGGTCGTTTGGGTGTTGGTTGTTGCCTTGTCTCTAATAATACGAGTTTTATTGCGTTCACATCTTTAATCTTTTGGTCAATAATATATAAGAGGAAGCATGCACAAAGTAGCAGCAGTAGAAAACGTAGTTGCAAAGATCGAAAGACTAAATAATGACTAAAACTCAAGAAAATATCTTTAGTCTTTTAGTCTTATGTGTTTTTGAGAAAAATGTACCAAGGAAAAATTAATTATATCATCTATTATTAGAGATGGGTTAGTTCATGTGTCATTTGTGTACTTCGTTCAAACACGACTTCAAATAAGACTTACTTTACAGGACGACATTTTACCTTTTTTTAAATTGTGAATAATGAGTCAAAGTATGAATACCCAACTGACAATTATTTATGCATTACAACTCTGAAAGCACTACGCTAAATATGTGACAGTATAATAATTAGCGACGATTCGCAATTCAAGACATGTAACTTAGCATGAATTACTAAAAGTTGGGAGTAATGGAGAACGACCATGGTCGGAATTACAGAATATCAAACCAAGTACAACACGATGACGGATTCTTTAACCGGAACTATCACGTTACACAAATTTCGCCATTATTTAAGGATACAATATGGCCAAAAGCATTCAAGAACCTAGTGCAAGTTCTCAGTCCAGCTCATAAATACAGGATGTTTAACATTTGCTATGCTCTGGTTCACTTTGACGTCATTCCTTAAGAAATATGATATTCAATCTGGCATATGACAATAAACAGTTTTGCGAAGGCAGGCAAAGGATATGCATATACCGGATCAATAAGCTGAGCTGGATATACGTCTGACTTACTTACTTAGTGTTACGGCAATTGTAAGTGACAATACCCAATGAAAAAAAGAAGAGAAAAAATATAATCTTAAATGTCAGGCACCTGAATGAAAACAGGCCATCGAAGTATGCCCAACGCAAGAAATAGAAGTATCTCAGCCTTTTAGGTACGAACGAAAGATTGAGAAACCGTAGTCACCAATGCTGTTAAATATATAATACAACAAGTAAAAAAAAGTCAGCCCCTCATTAAGGGCATCAATTTGTCTTCTCGTCCCTGCTATTCAACCACCACCAGACCAACAAGCCCTACTTATTTTGGTACCTGCATTGCTGAGAATCGTGTGAGTACACCTGTCCCTCTGTGATTTGGTGGACTGAGTGGGCCGTGGGTGTGAGTGACTCGAACAACAGCAAAAATAATGGTTCCTTCCAGGTAAATCGAAAAACTCGACCTCTGCCCACGCTTCCTGGCTTTTACTCAATACGTTCCTCTCGACAGCAGCAGCAGTAATCCGTCAGCTACAGACCGACCATTGTTCAAGCTGAGGATTGTGAGACATTATTGTAGCGCGTCTCTTATGACCGAATTTAGAGGGCGATGAATGAGTAGCTTTCTGACCACATGTAATTAAAAGTAGAGTCGCAGAATCCTAAATTTATGGACTTATCTCTGGGTATTAAAAAAAACATTTTGCTACTTCGACTAAATACGAAATAGTAGATATTTAGATAAATAAGTAGAAAGGTAGCAACTTTTTTTTACGTTGGTAACTTGCACACTGTGATACTGCCTGTCTTACATATAAATTGTATGATAGAATGAGCTGCATGGTATTAAAGGTAGGTTTGTTTGAAACCAGTGTGGATATTTTTCTACGTACATAGCATTCTGTTGGTGTGTGGGTGGTAATGGTTTAATCATAACTCTCGGGAGAATTGGTGCAGGTAGGTACAGTCAGTCATTCACTTTGGTTGGCACTTAACTTAGCTGTCATACTTCAGTTTTGTCAGGATTCTGGTTTATAAATATAAGCCAATAAATGAAGTGTACTAATAACTCAAAAACGCGGCGTAATGCAAGGCTCAAACTCGGTGAAGTAAAGAAAGCAGAGGGAAAGGCAGGAAATGCCTATTGGTCTCTCTGATCCTGCCTGAGTACTCAATGCCATACATGTGAGTCTCCCTTCCTGTTAAATAAGTATGACTCAAGCCTACACAACACACATGTGCCACAAACTAAGCGAGGATGAATTAAAAGGTGTATTACTTTGTTTTTACAAACCGCCCAGCCTAATACGTAATTTAAGTTTCAAAGAAATTCAATTTATCGTCTTTCGAAATTTTTCATCGCGAGTAAAATCAAAAGTCTCCGACTTGGTTGCATTTCTACGAGGACGAGGGCTTTGATTTTGATATTTCCTCAACAACAGCAGAGGAGTAAAATTCTATAGTATTTATTTACCAAAGATGAAGCTAGTGGCTGTTTAAATCTGACTGGCATGGAAAATATCACGAATGTGCACTCATTGTAAAGGAATGAATGGGGAAAATTATGACAATAAATAAATACCTTCCTTCCCAATAATCCTTTAAATTCAACGTGTGCAGATGGCATTTCGTCAGCAGTAATCCCTGTGTATCGGAATCCCATTCATATTCATAACCACGGCATAACCTTGTTGGTTGGTGGGGAATTAACTTTAATAATTCGTATAAAGCCTGTCACACACACCCTGCTGCTCATATCCCGAAACCTGGTTGGCAGTGTACACGAATTTTGGATTGGAGTGAAATACTCGTGATTATTTTGTGGTTCAGGTATTATTTCATTCACGTTTTCGGGCTTAGTAAAATTCTCTGCTCTCTACAATCCTATTACTTGTTTGTGTTGGTCGAAGCGCTGCTGCAGTGACCGATTACTCTCGACATGCTACGGCCACTAAAAGCGCATGTGGGATTGGATGATACGGAATGGTTCAAGTTTTCGAGGATATTGTTCTCATCTTGGTGGCTCATGTTGGTCCGTCGGTTGTTGGGACAGATAGCTCAACATGCTCAGAATACAAATCGCTGTTTGGATATAATTCTGGTCTGCACTTGGTCTCTGTAGCCTCTGCTCTCTAGTCGCCTCTAATGCTGCGAGAAAGGTGCAGTTTTGTGAATGAACGAGTCATCATGAATGGAACACCAAGGCAAGGTCTGCGTATATGTACGTGTGTACGTGCATTACGTTTTATGAATGGGCTTGCCAGGACAAAACAGCCTTGGTAGGAAGGAAATAAAATTTAACCGCTTTCCTCCTTCTATTTTAAGCTGTTTAAACAGATACATACACACCTACATAAATACCATCATATTTAGGATATGTCCATGTACTTATATACAACATGCTAGTCCTGATGTTATGCAAGAGAACAGTAAGTACAAATTGTGAGATACAGTGAGAAAAATGATTGTGGCAACCACTGTAAAATCAGAGATACTACAATAAAGAATAATGTACATGTAATCGGTTGTTACACATTCAAAAAATCGGAAGTGAGAAGTATCAAAATCATGAAAGCATGCACATATTGAGTCATATTTTTTGTCACACTCTTGTCTGACGATACTTGTAGCTTTCAATGAAACCCAAAGTGCTTATTTTTTTAACATGGTGTGTGACGGACATGTTCCAGAACGACATACATATGTGCATCCGCTATTTGTATATCACATTGTGTGGGGGCGAGACATGGGCGAGATGAGATGTGATAAATCCGTATGCACATGTATGTGGAAGTGACACAAAGGAGCGATAAAATAAATGAAGGAATTCCCATTCATCCATTTTGTGTGTGGAGGAAACTCTTCCTTCCTTCCGTTTAGTTTTATCATATCTCAAAGTTCCAAAATTTCCGTCGACTCAGAACCAAGTCCGACAAACGAATGAATGAAATGAATGAGTGCGTGTTGCTCATATGAGAAAGCACCCGGACGTTGTGTCGTGTAGATCAGGTTACCACATTTCATCCTGCTGCATGTGTGTGCAGGCAGCAGTTGTTACCGGTTAGTGTCAATGCAATGGTATGATCTTCCGGTTTTACTTTGTTAGCACACATGTACATATAAATATATACACATATCATTAACGCGGCAGTGGTAAAGTAATGCAGCGCTCCATCCGTTCCTTCATTCATTGACAGATGCAAATGGAAGTGGATGTAGAGAGGCATAAAAATGTAAAATTAGAACATCCTCTCAATTCCTCTCTCGTGCTGCCAGGAAACGGATATTAGACCAAATATTAACTAATAACACATACGATACTCTAATAGCAACCCCACATGGACGAATCTCGCCCATTTTCATGAGTTGATGACAAATACGCAAGTATTTAGGTCTGCTGAAGTGAGTTTGGAATGTTGAATGAATACTGATAAGTCGTAAATGAGTGAAAATCCTTTGATTTCTGTTAAATTTTCAATATTGCCAAATTATCAGTACCAATATTTGTCCGTCGCGTATGTACAATCTTTATTAAACAAATAGTAATAATAAATACCCGATTATTTTGCATCAAATTTAAACTGACATGTTTCTAAAATTCAACACCGCGCACACACATGCAAAAGCACTAGAGTTAAATGAGCCTTATAGCGACCTTAGGACCGCTTCCCTGGATAGATGCCTCGCCTCCAATGAAACTTTCGCCTCATATCATTGGACATTTCGAATATTTCGACTATTTCGAATATTCGGAAGAAATACAACGGCGACATTTTGTCCTGTTTGTCACTCCTTTCTGCCATTTGTCATGCTAGAATAATTTGTAAGTTGGTCTGCAATTTTAATATTCCTCCCATGTTGTAAAAAACTCCTCGTTGAATAACACTACCAAATCCTCCATTACAAAAAATGTCTGAGTGAATGAATGAATAATGCAAGGTTGCAAAAGAGTGGTGATGATGAGGATGAGTGTTGCGATGAAGCGCGCAGAAATTCTTACATTTTCTTTCATTATTCATCCATTTCGTCTTCGACGGATGGTGGTGGACTTGCGTTGTCAGCAAACGAGTAGAAGATGAGATTCTACCCAGACCGGACGTGTGTCGTCATTTAGATCTCATTTTTCACAAAAGACGCATAAAATTCCACCGGAGACTTTACGAGAACTGTAGCTTTGGCATTTAGTTTAATCTGCATTGAATGAAAGAAATAGAGTTCAAGACAAAATAATCAAGCATTTGTGCAAGGGAATATATGTTTTCGCACATATTTATATATAAAATAGGGCATGGTAAGCTATAGATGTATAAATATATATAAATTGCACCAAATTGAGTGTGCAACTTAACTTATGATGTAATGAAAGGGACGAAAGTTGAGGGGGTTGGGTAAAATTGAGATGACATTAAATTAGGGATTGGCTGATTTTTTAAAGGAAAGGATCGACGGCGATGGTGGAATTGTTGTCATGTTTAGATAATTCTGATTGATAATTGTAGAGTCGGATGTCTGGGTCTGGTCTGGCTGCTCGTGGTAGCCGATTTCCTTACTTGTATGAATGACTAGAAAATATCTACAATTTATAAAGTCAAGGATGCACTGAAAGGATGCAGGATGAAATAATGCTAAAAATCTCTTCTCGCAACTCAGAATTAAAATAAATTGTGATCAAACTATGCTCTTTTTATTTCCTGATTTATTTTTCAGTAAACAATTACAATGATGTCCTCACGCGTAAGCAAAAAATTAATTAAGACGAAAACTGAAGAAACTTGTAAATACAAACGTTCACCGAATATTTATACTCGGATTGAAAATAGGACTTAAAAGGGCTTTTTGTAATACAATTATAACAAAATTTGGAAAGTGAGAATTTCGTGAAAACTGTTTTATTATGAAATTTGAAGTAATTTTAGTAATGTTTAAAACACAGAACCATTGTATGCTGCCTTTGCCTGTGATATTATACATACGTATTTAAGCATAATGGGATTACATTTCCATTCATATTATGATTATGACCTTGGTATTTCTATAATGATTTCATTTAAAGTACGTTAAATTAAATATATTTACAGTAAGCATTAGTTAAGTATTTATTGTGAGATTTAAAGACCACATATTTATTTTATATTTTTCATTGCAGTACATCGGCTGTGTGGATGTGAACAAGTCAATGAAAAGCCTGGACTTTGATACGAGATCGTTAATTGCCAAGTAAGTTGAGTATAGCTTGTTTTGATTAGCATTCTCATTATTGTATGGCATCCTTTATGCTTTGCACTCTTGCCTTTGTTCTTCTTGATGCTCTTCAAATTTCTGTTAGTACCGATCTGCCAAAACAAAACTTGTCCAATTGACAAGAACAAAGCCCATAACTTTCTTTAATCTCAATCCATGATTCTCGCAGTCATTTCATTTCTTGTCGCTTTAAACTGTAACCCTATATTGGCCATCGGTATGTAAGTCGTAATACGTAAATTGTACACATACAATAATGCACAATTTAAAGGTCTAACTTTCCGTCCTAAGTTAGGACTCCTAACAAGTAAATATTTTTTATACATAATTCGCAATGATGGGGCAGTAGATAGAGTCTGAAAGACTACGATATTACAGAGTTATGAACATGTAAATAGTGAGCATCAGTAATCGTCTCGTCTCCAAGTTTTTCACTACCTGACTCAACCAACCGCAAGACTTCCCCAACATCCAACTATCCTCTGAAAGGACCCTCCTCATGAGGAGACGTGTGGGCGTTGAGCCGAGCTTGCTACACATTTTGTTAAGTAATTCTCAGCGTCAGCATTTCCAGCATTCTAACGTTCCCAAAGCTCCGCAACTTTGCCCATGAAGAACGGAGAAAGGAAGAGAAAATGGTCTGGCAACTCTTCATATTATTTGCAAAGCGATTCTAGTTATCGAATTTCTACGTTTATTCTTGGCTCATCTTCTATTCCACTTGTGTATTTACTGTATGCTCAGCCAGAATTGAAAAATTCATGTTTTCACAATGATCAATCCACTATAAGTTTCCATGTAGCTAGGCTGCATGATCCTCGTATCCCGTATGGGAGAGAGGATGGGCTTTTCGGAACAAATCCTTGTTGGTAGCAAATGCGCGATCGATGATGGAAATCAACTATGTCAATTATTTACTTCATTTTCCGCTTTGTTAATTTCAAGTCGTGTTTACTCGGTTTTAACGTTCACTGTCTTACTATTTCTTTCCAGGGAATGTATCAACCAAGTTTGTGAAGCTGCTGGAGTAAAGTCCGTTGATCGGAAACGAAAGGTAGGAGCTCGCTAATATTTGCTTACTATGTGTATATCGTCCCCTGTTCACGAACTACTTGTGTAAATATAATCTCCTTTTCTGTACTTTTTTGGCTCTCGTTTTTTGCATTCGGACATTGTGTTTTACTGCGTCTTTCGAGTAGTCTCAGTTTTTAAAAAATCCATCCACGCAATTCTATGAAGAAGAGAATTTGTCTTTAAAAATAGCATTGTATTAGTAGCAAAGTAGTTTGAAGGTGGTAAACCCACACGCCTACTGGATTTCACTCGACTCGACGGGGATAAAACCAAAAAACACTACACGTAGAATATACATAGGTCGTTCCAGATTACTCATAATAAATACCCTGCATGACATCACGGTGAGAATCATATCAGCCGATGGAGAAAGCGAAGGTAGTACATGCATATCAGTACAGTTCAGTACACACGTATAGGCGTATCTACATATATAGATATGGGCCCACACATGAAAGGAAAGCCCGGGCGACTGACACGGTCCACTTTCTTATGTATATTCAACACTCGTGTAGCTGTGCTGACAGTTGTTGAAGTGGAGGAAAGATTTGCTTGGCCATGCACGGGAAGAGTAACAAAGATGCCACTGCATAACCTCAGGACGGCGAGGACCAAGAAAGTGGAAAGTGCAGAGTAGTGGAGCCCGCCTGCCTCCCTTCATGCTGGCGTTTCTGCGTGGGTGGCAAGATTATTGATCATGAGAAAGCTTTCCAGAGAGAGAAAGAGAGTGAGAGAGAGAGAGAAAGAGAGGGTGAGAGCGAGGCGAAAGACGTAGGGAAAGTGGGTAAATTGTGTGCTTGATGCTAAAGTGTGACATGGCATACACTATTACCATGCAGGACCACTCATACCATGTTTTTACTGCACTAATTCTCTCCAACATAATGGTCATTTTCTACCCATCGTGTCTGGTTAGGAGAAAGCATTGCTTATGTTGAAGAGAAGAGCTCTCTTCGGCTCCTGATGTACTACAACTAAGGATAAGTATGTACTGCTCCTACTACAACAGCAGGTGGAAGGACGTGCCAAGTATTTTTGCAAAAAATGTTAAAGTGGGCTGGTTAATGGCTGAGAATTGCCAGGTTTCAGAGGAGCACTGGTCTAGCATAAAAATTAATTCAGCGCAGCCACATTTGGTTCGTACTTTGTCTCACTGGTTAACTCGCATGTATGCATACATCACTCGACCTGCCTTGTTTCAGCAAAGCTGTATTACCATAATCTAATCTGTCTCATTTACTTCGGTTCGTATGGCAGTCGAAGTGAGTCAGATGCGGATACATGATAGCAAATAATGACATTAGCGAGTAAATGGTTGCTAGAATTTGGCCTCATGTTTGCATGAAATTGTAACGACTGACAATCTACGTAATACTTTGATGTGCTGTATTATCAAAATACAGCATTAAACCAGATCAATTCTTGTGTCGCATAATAAATAAAGCATATATTTTGTGGAGGAGAAAGTTGAGACAAGTGAACACGCGCATGTATTTACTTTCCAAACCACTGTTACTACTATTCCTTACATAGGTTTTAGCGTCACCCTTATGCCCCCCGGCACAGAATTTCCAATAATATTCGTGATGATGTTTATGAATTGCAGTTTGATCGCAATGTGATGAGAATACTGGGCACAAGGCCAAGGCTAGAACACGCGGGGTTGGATGTGCATCTTACGATTACAAGCACTTGTCTGAAGCTCACTAGTCTGGACACTGGAGCGGTTATAGCTGCACATGAAATGCCGCAGGTGAATCAAAGCTTTCTGAATTACATAATACGTACTTAAATGGTAAATATATGTGACTGCGTTTTAAAATGAATGCTCAGGTTATAAGTTAAACGTATAATACCGAGGATGAATTATTTCCGGTTACAGTATAGAAAGTTTCGTTACAAGCGGTTTCACTAATATTTTCTTTCTCTGATCCTTAGATTTCGTTTGCCTCTGGTGGCGACACAGTAAGTAATTTATATTTTTATAGCGTATTCATTTGCGTATCGTAGTGTAAAAGTAATGTCATTTTTGTAATGCAGACAATGCTTGATTTTATCGCATACGTGGCCAAAGATAACGTGGTTGGACGTGCATGCTTCATTTTGAAATGTGGAAGTGGACTTGCTCAAGATGTTATTATCACCATAGGACAGGTAACTCCAATGCCCAATCAAATTCAAAGTATCAGATATGTAAGTGGTGTGCTATATGAACGACAATTAAACCAAATATTGCTTGTCTACAGGCGTTTGAACTGCGATTTAAAGAATACATTCAAAAACGACCACCACCTCCGAGGTATGTATTTTATCGTTATCTCGGTCAGAACAAGGATATTAGATTGTCCACTAAATATATCGATGCCTCTAGTACGAACGAAATGAGTTTGTCGTACTGGATTGAACTGAATATCCAAGTATCTACCTAATACGCCCACTCACACATTATATTGTACACATGCAGGTTGCCTCTCGCTGATGACCGAGAATATTACAACGACTTACCAGGGAAATTGCCACCCGATGTTGAGGGAAAGTGTAATGGGAACAATGAAGGGAAAGGTTTGGGTGGAAAAGGGAAAGAGATTCCAACTCTGACACTTCCGATTTCATCTGGTAAATACTTTCAGAGTTTCCAAAATTTGCATTTGTTAGACGAGCAGTGAGTGTTATACATAATTGCTTTGCTTTGCAGAAGTGTCTGTCAATCTGATTGACTTTGAAGCTCCTACACCCCCGGCTTGGGTGAGCATATGCACAAATATGTTATTGAGTTTATGTTATGTAGGCTGCGGAATATGTTTGTGAAAGACTATGACTAAAGTGAAAGTTCAGAATCAGAACCATGTGCGGAACAAAGCCAGATTCTGAAAAACTTTATTCATATTTAGCATATTCTCTCTCTATAACTTTTATATCATGGCGTTATAAAATAATAATTTAATCACCCAGGACCGAAGTACCCTGGAGTTTGAGGCTTTCGGCTCTATAGAGCCTCCCACGTTTTCCGATATTTCTGCTGTTGCTGGATCATCAACGTCCTCCACTGGACTGGGTTTACCAAATTCACCCAGCCAACCGAATAAACCGGTTGTAGTACCCAATAATAAAGACTCTTTTGATATGCGTAAGTGATTTCTGATTTTTGTAATTTTGTACCTAAAAACTTATTAAATAACTTAATTATAGCAATTATATGTAACTCATGTCAGTTCAATATTTGACTTTCTATTCAGAACCCTTCACCACAGCATTATCTGGACCAGAACAAAGGAAAAACCTTGAAACTCAGTCTTGGTTTCATGGGTGCATAAGTCGAAATCAAGCCGAGCACTTTGTGAAAAACGTTAGCAACCGTGATTATTATGACGTGGCAATAGTGGGTGTAAGTTAGTCGTTACTAATAATTGACCTTTTTCTAGGATGGAGACTTTTTGGTTCGAGAATCACAAACTACTCCCGGGCAGTATGTTCTCACTGGGCTTCAAAACGGGTCACCGAAGCACCTTTTGCTGGTAGATCCAGCTGGCGTGGTTAGTTTCTATCTACTAATTATAAAAAATATTCCACAATTTTGACCCCTATTGAATTGAGTTTTATAATGAAGTTGCTGACTGTTTAGGTTCGCACAAAGGACCAGACATTTGACAATGTGATCCACCTCGGTGAGTTATGCTATGTATATATGTCCCATATATTTGTATGCACATGTGTAAATATGCCTTGATGTGTTTTTACGAATTTAATCCAATGAAGATATTTCAAATTTGATTAATTTATGAAATCTATTTATTTTGAAATTTCAGTTCGCCATCACAGTGACAACTGCCTCCCCATCATATCGGCGGAGAGCATGGTCATTCTACGGCAGCCTGTTCCCAGAGAGTCATCTGTCCCTTAAAGACTTGATTGATACACAGATCAAGCAATGATGCTGATGATTTATATTATGAACAATTCTTATTTCGTTTTCTGGTATTTATTAAGGTTTAGCAAGTCATCACTTTTGATACTGTTTAACTGTTTACACACGCAATTTCCCTAGTCTATCAATATTGATGTTATAATAAATATGTATGCTTCATTCCTATACTGCTTAAAATGGAACGTGGAGGTTGGCACACATATATATTTGTAAAATCTCTGGAATTGTATTGTAGAGCATCTTATTTGAAATCTTTATAGATTTTCCAATGGGATATCTTCACTCTACTGAAATGCTCTCACCTTGTAATTGAGTCCCGAATTTTAATCCGTAAATGTATGTACATGTAATATATATATAATATACATAAAGTGTTGCACAATTGTACAATCGTTATCCAAGACTGTTACAAAAGTTAGTACGTTGTACCTTTAACACAATTGCACCGAGCTTGAGAGAAATATGTACACTATACCATGTATAGTTTGAAAGAGGGACTCTTTCTCAAACCATTTTAATTGACTTTTATCTCCTGCAGTGCAAACAAGATTCACATTGTTGGTAAATATATTTATATTGCCTGCTTCATTTTTGAGTGTGCTTTAGTCAAACGAATTATTTATAAATGCATATATTCATAAGTCAGTTTATATTTCACTGCTGTTTATTAGCCAATAATTTGCGTTTAAAAGAAGACTTTGAGAATACTTGAACGTGTTATCTTCACAGAGATGTTTACATGAAAATAAGTATAATGAGAGAGCCATATTGTGCCGCAAGCCGCAATAGTTTATTATTTAAGTAGAATTAGCAGAAAATACTATTTTCCAGTCAACTGAATAAATTATTATCTCTTGTAATTTCTTTTATTGCGTTCGAATTAACAAGTAGTTAATTAATATTCACTCTTACCAATACATTCTAATTTAAAATCTAGATACATATTTTATTGATGGCATTATTATTCAGTTTAATTTGCTATTTTAATACTGTTTAGTTATGTTAGAGAATATCTAATATATGATGTTGAAATTGTGCATGGAGGACATAATAGGATAAATGTAAGGAGAAGGGCTCACTTTTGTAGTATTTCAAGGGTCCAAATTATGCCATTTTGTCAACTTTTCGACCTCAGACGGCGAAAATTCATGACTCGCTATCGCGAGTGAATGGGAAAGAGAAACAAACAAGTTGTTTCTTCCTATCCTATTTTTTTACTCCTTCAACTTTTTCCACATCCTTTTTCCCATTCGCGAATCACATGTGGAGCCGTCCTGATTCAGGACTCCTGGAGTCGAAACGTTGACAAAAAATTGCCTAATTTGGACCCTGTAGGATTCAAAGTACTAAAAAAGTGAGCCCATCCCTTCTCCTTACATTTATCCTAATATCTATTATATGTGTAATCATTGTTGGTTCAATTAGAAAATTATTATTATTAGGGTTTATTAATTTAACACAAATAAGTTTTGGTTTGATCACCTATTTTTCTCGTTTTGGCTTCAATAATTAAAAGAAAACTGATATTAATAAAATTACAGTTTTATATCTGATAAATTTCAATGGAGTAAACCCTATTTCTGCATATCGTTTAAGGGATAAACCATCACTCAGCAGAATTAATCTTATTGCTGTTTATTACTGATTGCTTTAGTATCATTAGTAGTTCTGTACGTAGGAAGAATCGTCGGATATCGGTCTTTGGAATCCCTGGGCATGGTGCCGTCTCTGAGGGGGTAGGTAGCAATCAAAATCGGAAGTTGAAGTTTAATCTTCTTATCAAAACTGCGGGGGCTGATGACAAACTGATAATTGGACAGTTTCATACATTAGCAATTTCATTACAAATGTCATATTCCCACAATGACAAGTTTCAGGTTTTCACCAACAAAAGTCTTGTTTGTTGAGAGAAATACAAATAGTTTACTTACAAACAAGTCATATTGTATCCGAATCAAGTGACTATAAATCAAAATAAATCAAATATTAGTCATCATCAACTGTTTTTACATAGTTCATTTATAATACTAGTGCGTTTGACTAGTCGCTTATGGATTTGGCTGGTCGCTTACCTTCCTCTAAGATTGGTTGGGGGACACGGTGGGATTTCAATTTTCTCATTGATCCATTCGTCTTTGCCACCAGCCTTGTGAGATTAGTGAAAAATGCAAATTTTGTGGTAAAGTGTTATGCAAATAGGAGAATGAACAAAAATCAGCGTCATTCAAATTTTTACATACCTTTATCCTGGGTCGTTTGAGAGATGCCAACTCTCTCCGTTCCGTGTATACCACCTTTCCGTTTCCGGTGTACTGGATTGTCTGTTAAGAAAGCCGAATAGAAAACAATGTACAAAATGCTGGGTGTGTCACTTGGAATTTTTTAGACATACTGAATTTGCCATTGTCATTGGATTTGGTATGCAGTATGTTGCAATACATAATACATATGTACTTAGGAGGGGAGGTTGTGTACTACCAACTCAAGGATCTCGATGCCCTTTGGATATGTGCCCCATGAATGAACAAGTACCCTCAAGGTTTGATGCCATGGCCACATTTGCACCCGCCACACTCACTCAAAGGTGCCCAAAGAAACGGAGAAAGTAGCGCTTTCACTCATTCAAATCCACGCCAAACATCCAATTTTACTCGGATTTTGAAAATCCGTATAATGGTTTATACTCAACAACAACGCAACTTATGCCTGCGAAATAATCATCAAAAACTTGAGTTTGACGTTGGATCAGGGTGCATAAACTTTTTTGTTGTCCTTGGTTTCTCCTAAGGGGGTGATGCCAGGATGAAAATTTGTATTCAAAAATTAAAAGTTGGGGAATTGCATGCAATTTTGCAATGGATTTGGGTGGTTGTCATGGCAAAAGTGCATGCAATTCCCCAACTTTTAATTTTTGAATAAAAAATTTCATGACGTTAATATAAGGCTGGGAGTATAATGGTACGCGGAATTTCAAAATCCGAGTTAAATTGGATTTTTGGCGTGGATTTTAACGAGTGAAAGCACTACTTCCTCCGTTTTTTGGGCACCTTTGAGCGGGTGTAGCGGCGCAAATGTGGTTATTGCGTCAAAGTACTTGGGGTTCTTGTTCATCCATAACATATCCGAAGGGCATCGAGATGCGAGAGTTGATAGTACACAGCCCCTCCTCCTGAGATATTGAACACCTATATTTTGTAGCACTTGCTATTCATTTTCATTACCTCGGTTAACAGTGCCTCTGTTCCTATTGCCACCCGACTATTATTCGATATACTTGCCCATATATGAATATTTTCTCCTGTACACAAAAAAATATTAATTAGAGTTTTTCAAATTTTTTACATATGGAACTAAGGAATAAGAATTCTAAAAATAGAATACAAATATGGTACAGGGAGATGGCGATAGATAAAATTCTAGTCAAAATCCTGCTCTTTGGAAGGTGGCATCAGGACGCCAGAAGGAAGATAAGAAAAATGAGCGAAACAATGCATGCATTACGCATAAATGTTTTTGGAAAAGTTGACAAAATCGAAGTATTCATATTTTGAACGACTCAAAAATGGACCCATTTTGATAAGGTTTTCAATTTTGATTTGTTTGATATCTAAGAGAATTTTAAACTGAATGTAGAATTTTTAGTTGGATTAAAATCGTAGAGGCAAAGCCTGCTATATTTGTCATGTCTGAATTACTGCTTTGATGAATTTGATGTTTTATAACAATGGGATTGAAGGTGATTATTGTTGATACCCCGCCCCTTTAGACGATTAATAAAATTACATATCTACGCCTCAGTCATCTTACACTTAGACTCATAAAATGACATATGTAATCCAATCCATACCGTACCTGGTATGAATCCTCCTCTGTTCAGACGAATTTTACATTTGACTGAACCCGTCAGGCAATTTAATTTGTGCTCAATTTCACAATGAAATGGTTGCTAGAAGGGAAATACGAAATTAAGATGCGTTACTTAATACGTCAACCACATATTGAGGGCTTAAGTAAATATAATAATCATAAAATTGTAATTACAGCGATGGCTGGAGGTTCCAGGTTGAGATCGATTGGACTCATTACTATGAAAACCTGTTGATTTTTGTGAACCAATCCACTTGGTTCCTTAAGTGCAGCTTTACAAAAGTACTGCACCCAGCCATGTTTTCTGCAAAATATCAAATGATGATAAATTATGGAAAAGTTTTTGTGAGATAATGCAAACGTGACAACACTACTTTATGAAAATGTCATACCCTAAAAAGGTGGATGGTAGACCCAATGGTAGACCTTTAAATTTAAAGTTAATTATTATTAAAATTATTACAATGCATTATTACAATTCTAAGAATTCAAATTTGAGTAATTAGTAACCTAATTTATACGGAAAGCTGTGAATTCCGGGGGAAAGTAGGGAAGGACCTTGACCTAGATAAACAAATTATGTCATTTATGCTCCACATTTCTGGCAAGCATCAGTCCAATCAATCCAATGGTATTCGGTATTCTCATGTGCATAGCTAATTACAACCATTGACACTGAATGCATTAATTTCTTTCACTTACCGGTTTCACCCAAGAGCCGAATTCGGAAGTCAATATAACTCTCCTTATCATACAATCTCTCCTGGCCTCGACTTCGTAATCTTACACATCCTTCACCCACGACGGAAAGGAATAAACCTTCATAAAATGGAGAGGGAAGGTTAATTGTAAACATAAATGATGAAATTTGCGTGTGGGCGGATAAAATTAGTGATGCAGTGAATTAGACCTCGAAAGAATAGGGATAGTGCATAAGACATGCGATGGTTTTTTTACTGATTTTGACCCCCTCCCCCTCTGGTGAGTTATCTTAAGTATTCTATTATACCGACCAAAATTGAACGTGGGAGCTCATGGGAGGTGACCTAAAACCCTTTAGATCGAGCCCATCATGTATGAATGACCTTAACATTTTGCACGTCGCCAATCGTCATACAACGACTTGTTTCTTTTTAAATTTATCTTAAATTACCTTGGTGTTTTTTGTATACTTCTTAATGTGATAGAATATTATTTTTCGGAAAGGATATTTTCAAGCAATGAATAGAAAACATAGAGCGAGTCAGGAAACCAAACAACCATCTACAACATTCCTTTGCATGTAACGTGTGGATTTGGATTTTGTATTACAATGCAAACAAATATTTATGGAAATATTCATTTAAAATGCGTAACTTTTAGTATGTACCAACCATGAAAGGGCGTCTCTTCATCCAATTCCACTAAAACTCGGCCTGTCAATTACATAATTATAATTAATATATTGTTAATATATTAATTATAATAATCATAATTATTATTATTAATTATTATTAACCTGTCAAAAATTGGCCAGGGATGTAAAGTAGCGAAGGGTTATCGAAGAGGATTAAAAATTTCAATAACTTTCTTGACATTTTTGGTTAATTTAGAGGATAGCTAACTAAACATTATAGAAAATACAATGTACACACGACTGGACGATCACGATGATAAGTACACACTTTTTCAACGAGCACTACTAAACGAACTACTACAACGAACATTACTTGAAGGGAATATTTTTTGGTCTAGTTGACTCCCATTGTTGCTGATCGCGAGGGATGATGACGATAATTATTAGCATTAGATTTGTTTGGGAGTAGTTCTTCTTCAATTCAAGGTCTCAACAACAACTTGCAGCTTGGGTGCAGTTATTTATTTATACAAATGACTACTGAAGCGTCGGTGGACTACAGACTGTAATCCTCGATGATCTCGCAGGATATGTTGGATCGAATGAAAAACAGGCTATGTTTCAACAATATGTAGCGATGATGTAAATTCCACAATTTATTTTAGTCACCAATATGAATACTAACAACTAACAACACTGGTTGAAATTCAGAGTTATACGACACCATAATAGTATTTACTCTTTTTTTGTAACACTTTCACTTCTCCGTGGTTGGATTTTAACAAGGCATACCTATTAAACTGTTGGGATAGATTTCCTTTATATTAGGCAAAGTATTGGTCAATGGATGTGAATAGGTAGTACAAATATGGGAATGCAATTTGGAAATACTTTGTGTCCTGTACGTTGATGGTCACATCACAGGACGTGTCTGTCACTACATGAGACACTCAAACTCAATATCTGACATCGTGGTCTCTCAACTGACTTTGGTGACTGGGGCCGCAAAAATGCAAATTTGTTTCAAAATTTAGGGTATTTAGTTCACGGTTTGCAAATTTAGTTGTTAATCATAAGATTCAGGTGCAATAAATAAGTGCCTACCAACACATAGTATGACCGTACGTTTTAATACAGCAATGTCCATTCACTAATCCTAAGGATGAGTGTTATATTCCTTGTGAGACAATCACCTGATCCTGCTTATGCTTTTTTTAAATTTTCTTGGGGGTGGCTCAACCCTTTGCATATTTTAGTAGAGGAGACACTTCTTAGGAGTTCGTTTGTAGTAGTTTAAGCATGAGGTAAAGTTGCCCGAGGCAAAAATGACGTAAAAAACTTAACATAATGTGTATACTTATTCGAGCAACGCGTTTCCCATCCATGAGACATCGTTGTTGTCAAAGTTCAAGACGTTTTACTTTAGGTTGCAACGCATAACTCGCAATATATATTTTTTCTTTTATTCATACGAGTAAGCGGAAACAATTTATGATGCACAGTACACCACTTTCTATGCGAAAATATGAGACAAAGACGGAGCAAAGGTTCGTGAGTTGATTTTGCTATGTTACAGGAAAGCAATAAAGTTGTTTATGGTGAATCACCATTGAGAGGTTAAATAATTTCGAGGTAATCAGACATTATTCGAAATACCTCTATGAGATCCAGGATGCTTGAAAGCATCCAATAAGATTCATCGGCATAGCATATTTTCTCTTTAAGTAAAAATAGATCTCTGTGGTAAGTATGTTTATAGGATTCTTGAGAGCTTTTCATGTAGACATCATCACTTGGCCGAGAAAACCACCAGAAACCTAAATCAACATTGTCCGCCACCTACAAAATTAAATAGCAGCCCAATAATCGGGTATGGTGGTGAAAGTTTCTATATATATCCTCTCCCCTTGGTTCAATTTGTTCTCTTAATCCATGGTACTGTTTTTTCTTCGCCATTTTCAATCACAGTCCAATGTCCATCATCCTCTCTCGGACCACAATCAGTATGCAGTCTCTCTGCGTTTTCCCTATAAGTGAATCGCTATTATGCCCTCCATCACATTTGCTTTTAGCATTTATACTTTCTCCGTTTAGAATTTTCTGGCGAAACCATGGACGAAACGTTTCTCGTCGTCACTGCTCCCTAACGGGCGTCTGGGAAATCTGCGAATGAATGAATTACGTAGTAGTCCGTACCGTATAGTACGTATAGTATTGTATCTTTAGTAGTAGTACAGAGAGTCATCCATGAATTCTCTTAAAAACAATGTTGGAAGTTGTGGACCGCATCCATGTAATTATCACTATGTATCAGTTCGGGTCTCATTTTTTGCTGTAACACAGGCATGACGTTATGCAACAGCAATAACAAGGCTCTTCAAATTGGATTTTTGTCTTGCAGCTTTTGTATCACACTAAACTGGCTGCTGGTGCTGCTCACGATAAGAAGTGAACAACAACAGGAGAAAAACAACGTAAACAAGGGGCGTTCACTCATTGTAGTCCTCATTTACTCTGCTGCTGGGAAGTAATACGTAAAACGCTGTAATAAAAGAGAACAAAATGAATCTGCTCATCAGGGAAATATTGATACTCAAAATTATATGATCCCTTGCGGTAAGTCTCAACCATGTCCCTCGTAACATTGCTTTTGTCTCACCCTACCCGTTTTTTTATTAAAACCAGTAGCAGCACAATTAAGGTAGACACCGACAGGGTAAGAGCTAGGTTCATAAGAAGACTAGTAATTAAAATCAGAAAGTAGTTCAGGTACAGACGCTACTGGAACCTCTCATCGCCACCCCAAAAAAAACCAGGAACGGCGACATGAGGCGTGGATATATCCTCCGCGTCTCGCTATATTGTAGAGTAGTCTCTGATCATTAACCGCTTACTATTACAACTTGGTTTTGCAGGCAGACTGTTGTGCGTGCGTTGTGCTGCTGTGGTGTACGGCGACGACGACGATAGGAGGTGAATGAATGTGTTTCAATGTTAGTGAAGACGTGAAGAGGGATTTTGTTCAGAGAACTTCAATATGCGACTCATGCGACTCGGACTCTTAAATTCCCGTTCAGCCCGTTTATTTAGCTCGGCCGAGTGAGTGATGTGATCATCTATCCAAATCTAATACCTTCTTTTGCAAAAATAACCACCTCTGACTATTCAACAACCTATTCCTCGGGCCTGTAGGGGATGTGTACTTATTGCTACTCGTACTTTTGCAAGCGGTAGTAATCAAAATACCAGCCAAGTGATATCTTCTTCAGCACTGCTCATCACCACCCTGTGACAAGCAACAAACCGAACCATCGTCATTATCATTTAGTATCATCAGCATCACACCAGACCAGAAGACCGTGGAATGGATAGCTGATAATACGTTGTGTTGAGACTGAATTGCGAAAATTAAATAAACTCCTCAAACCTTTAGCAGACGAGCCAAAAGTGCAACAATATTTTATATTGTTGAATTAAGGTAAAATAATAGCAGTATCATTATGTATATAATTCGGTATTTGAGGACAGCTTGTTAATATACAATAACATATTTATTTCATACATTGGTTTAATTTAATCCATGATCTTTTTGTATTTTAAAAGATTCTACAACTTCCACAAATTTTTTTGAAATTGTGGGGTCGAAGCAAGACTGGACGACATCAATACAAGTTTATTGAGAAAACAATTTAGAAAACAAACATCTGTTCAAGATGCTACCAATAGGATCTTTCGAAATCATGTATGTAGTAGCGAGTCGGTGAAACAACAATGAACTTTAGTAATTCTGATTAATAAGTGATGAGTAAAGTGGAAATAGACAAACCGGAGGCCGTTATAGTGGATTGTTTGGTGTACTTTGTGCGTTCCACAATCAAAAATATTAATACGTAGTTTTGTGCGAGTGTTTCGAGGAATTGTGAGGTGATTATAAAAAGGATGGTTTTAAGGACGGAATGATACATAATGACGATCAGGATAGCCTTCATGCGAGAAAGAAGGTGGCGGATTGACCAGCAGCCCATCTTGTGCTACCACTTGCTCTGGGCGACGACGGTTTAATAGAGGAAGATCAGACTAAAAATGATGGAAAATGGATGAGAATGGAGCCTGATGGAACCCTATGCATATATGAAATCGGGAGGAAATTAGCTATTAGAAACATTGTATAAAACTAAGCAAGGTATTTCCTGGACACAATATTGGTAGTTGTGATCATCAGTTGAGTGAATTTGAACTTTTTGGGAGAAAGGCCTCCCTCCCAAAAACAAGGAATACGACGGGACTCGACGATCGCCTCTCGTTTTGCAGCATCAGCATCACCACCGGTTGATTGTTTTCAATATATATTCGTGCTGTTATCAATCCGCATATAGCAAACCAAAAACACCACCAGACAACAAACAAAGTCAGTCAATCAATGGGTCACTCGTCATAAAGATAACAAGAGTTTGATAAGTGATAACGATATTAAAGGATACCTGTGTGAATGAATGAATACCAAAGAAAACACACAAGAGACAATTGAAGCTAAAATCTTTACTTAAATTTACGTTTCTCTACAAGTAATTGTATTCGGTTGGGCATTATTGTGGACTTTTACTACATTGACCTTACGCACGTTGCAGTATTGTGACCTTCAAAAGTCCATACCAGCCCATTTACCGATTTCTTTAGTAAATGAATATAAAGTATGAATGATCAACAAATAGTATACATACATTAAAGAATTAGTGTTGCTTGATATATTTATGATACGTAGTATACCAATTTGAATTGCTGTGATTTAAATTGCAGGTATTTAGTGAGGCGAATCTTGAAAACAACATGAATGAATGACTAATTCTGATGACAACTACGTCATTTAAATCCGAAGACTGAACTTTAATTTCATACAAAACAAGACCATCATCTAATTTGATAAAATCTCACTACACATGAACTTGGACTCGTCACTTTGAAGCAAACAGTTGTGACACTCCTGCAATAATTACTATAATCGAAATCATTCAACTATCATTTAACGTGTGCCCTTTTTCGATTGTTGTGACACAGTAGAATGTGTATGATTTCTCAAACTACGGAATAATGAAGTGGAGCGTTACATTTGTAACGTCACTGGCCATTGTTTGGTCTGTGGGGTTCAGCTACACCATAGAACACCAACAGAAACTGCCGCACAATGAAAAAATATGTCAACGTGTCAGCATATGGGAGTGGGTATGTTAATATCGAAATCGGCTTTTAAGAATCATTTTATGTTACAGACACATTCACGACGCACATGTTTGTACGTTCGGGTCATAGTCACACTTTTTTGCATTTCAGGAACACTTTGACATGCTACGTGGCTGCAGTGTCATTGAGGGATCACTTCAAATTAATATGGTTTTTATTAACCCAAGTGCAGATTTCAGACAAAACATCACTTTTCCCGAGTTGAGAGGTGATTATTTAATTATTATTATTCAATTATTTCAACACCTTTTTTCTCATCTTAAAGATAATTATTTATTACTATATATTACCATTTTATAAATTCAAATTAACATCCGAATTCTCTCTATAAAAATGAAACAAATCTCTCCCATAAGTTCATGTCAAAGTAATAACCACTTTGTTGAGGCAGTAGGGATGAGTAGAAAGTATCACTAACATATTAATTAATTACAGAAATTACCGGATTTCTCATGGCATTTAGGTGAGAATAATATACAACTCCATCAGCATTACTCATCAGTACCATATGGATTTGTTAATTGTGATTATATTTCATTCAGCACGCCAAAAATAATTTCACTGAAGACATTATTCCCAAACCTGGCCGTAATCCGAGGACAAGAACTGATAGAAAATTACGCCCTCTTAATATACAAGATGCCAGGTATGTCCTTATATTTGTAGTAGACAGACATCAATTTTGTTGTAAGCGAGAAGTCCATTAGCTATGTAAACCCCAATCCCATAATATTTTTTCATAAAGGTATTTGGATTTTTTGAACGATAATTTTAAAAATGGCTATGAATTAGCCCAGCTCGCAGCAATGTTAGGCACGATTTATGATCACAGTTTTCACTTACAGGAATGCAAGAAATTGGATTGCCATCGTTGACAAATATTGTTCGTGGAGCAGTTTGGATTGTCGATAACGAGAATTTGTGTTATGTGGATACGGTAGATTGGACTAAAATTGCAAACGAGTCAAACACGGAAGGAATTTTTAAGAACAAACAACAATGTCCTGACACGTGTTCTCAGGAATGTCCAAAATCCGACTTATATAACGATAGAACTTTGTGTTGGAGCAAAGAGCAGTAAGTATAATTCGATAATTTTACTCATTTCAAATACTTAACAGGACAAAACCACCGTATGATCAATTATCATAAAAACAATTTTTTGCAGCTGTCAAGTGGTTCCTCATATTTCCTGTCCAAAATGCAATGGCAGGGCTTGCTTCGGAGATAAGCAGGACTGTTGTCATCCACAATGTCTCGGTGGATGTTATGGTCCAAATCCAAATCAGTGCCAGGTATGCAGAATTATCCTTACTACGTTTGTCATCAATGTACCATTGCTCAAGAAGACTTTCATTGTGTTTAGGTTTGTAAAGGCGTTGTTGTGAATAGTAAGAAACCTGGAGAAGGTCCCATTTGCAGGGATAAATGCCCATCTGGTTTATATGAGGTACAGAAATAAGCAATTATAATTTATTCAATCATTATTACTATTATTATTAGTAGGTCTAATCACAACTATTTATTTGCTATTATAATAATTGCGAGTTTCTTTCTCAGACGACTTAAAAAAATTTAATACGTTAAATGTTATTGAATTTCAGTATTTGCAACGACGATGTGTCTCTTCATCCGAGTGCCTTAACATAACAGCAATTGCTCCAATTAATCACCCGTATAACCCAAGTGGAAATTTCTCAGGAAAATGGTACACAAATAGAGATGGAACCCAAATGTGTAAGTTGATATTTTTCAGTCTACCAACGGAACCTTAAGTACTGTCACATCTCGATTTTCTTTCGGATGGTCTAAATTGATAGATAAGTGAGTGTAACTAAAACTTTGTCACGGGACATACGGTGAAAAATTACGTTTTTGCGAAATATTGGACGTTTTGGTGCAGCTTTCACCAAATATTTCGCAAAAACGTAATTTTTCACCGTATGTCCCGTGACAAAGTTTTAGTTACACTCACTTATCTATCAATTTAGACCATCCGAAAGAAAATCGAGATGTGACAGTACTTAAGGTTCCCTTGTAAGAATTAAAAAAATACATAAATTAATATGCTCTTGCTCATGTCTTGCTGAGTTGAACAAACTCTTGTAACTGATTGTTATATTTTTAGGCGTCCTTGAATGTCCAAAAAATACAGAATTAGCACCAAATGGGACGGCCTGCATTTCATGCGATGGGACTTGTAAGAAGAATTGTCAAGGACGAACCGTGGACAGCATTGAAGCCGCGCGTGATTTAAGCGGGTACGTAACAATACTTCATATTATTTCTGGCTATGCCATTATTCAATTAAATACTTTGTGTACGGTTTGAGTGGGCATTTAGATGTTGACAAAGTTTAATTATTAACTACACGAATCTCTAGATGCACTAGGATTACCGGTGCACTAAAAATTCACATCAGGAGAAGTTCCTCGTCAACCGTTTACGGAACCATTGTTAAAGAATTGAAAGAAAACTTGGACAAAATTGAAGAAATTGATCACTACTTGGCAGTCACTTACACATATTCTATATACTCTCTTGATTTCCTATCTTCTCTCAAAGTAATTAAGGGACAAGTGTTGGACGACAAAAAGTGAGTTTTTGGGTTATGAAACTATGAAGTTATGACTTGATAAATTACAAAATTTATTTGGAAAAAGTATTTTTATTAACATAAACATTGATAACTATGAAATACTTGATAAATTAGACTTTTTCTATTCTAGCTGATTTATAAATTGGTCAATTTTTTTAGGTACGCCCTCATAGTGAAATCAAATGAGAACTTAATGGAGCTGTGGAACGGAACGGATGTTGTAAATCGGAAAATAACAATTGAAAACAGAAATGCTCGAGTTTTATTTCATTATAATCCAAAATTGTGTAAGCTAAAGCTAAAAATTAGTATAGAGATTGATTTTGTTTCAAATTACGTCTTGGATACAAATTATTTAATCCATGACACTCTTTTTTAGGTCAATCAAAAATTTGGGAATTTGTACATCAAGCCGAAATAAAACCACCCGCTCCGAATGATAACATTGACATTGGTATTACAAACGGAGATAAAGCACCATGTGAGTATAATGTTATTATCGGAGTCAATAAACTCGTGATTTGACATTTACTTTATTTTCTTGGTATAATCACACAGGCAATACAAAAAAGCTCATGATTGAAGTCCTTCAAAAATCCAATTCGACCGTCATTATTAGATGGGAAAATTTGCGACGAAATCTCACCCGTACAAGTCATTTACTGAATTATGAAATTCATTACAAATTAGCCCATGGCTACCCGCAACAAAATGAGTCGAAATTTGATGATCGTGACCCTTGTGGTAAGTAACAACAAACATTCAAGTGTGATGAAAAAATATTTTGTAATAGACAAAACTTGCGTAGAAGTTACATATATATATATAAGTATCCAATGTCCAAATATAACCGAAATACGCCTGTCAGTATTTATTATCACTAATTCTAATGAATATTTAGGTGATGATGGTTGGAATGTTCAAGAACAAGCAAAAATAAGTGACAACGAGGTCAAAGGAATAGGAGTTGGAAACGAACCGCGGTGGGAAAACGAGGCATTGATAGCTAATTTGGACCCCTACACTTATTACGCTTTGTACGTTAAAGCCATTGTGATTCAGGACACCGATTCGATAAACAACAACACGGGTGCAGAGTCAGACATTATCTACTTTCGAACGTATGCAGATTATCCCACCAAACCGGTGAATGTCATGTTAGCCTCAAGTGTAAGTAATATACGATGATTTATAATTGTAATATATAAATATAATTCTTTTTATTAATTATCATAAATGTTAATAATAATGACAACTACTTAGTAACAAAAATGAATAATGACTAATGCTCCTGGTTTTCCCTTGTGTAGGGTCCCGATAAAATTACTGCAAACTGGGAACCTCCTTTCAAAGCTAATGGAGAAATGAAATCTTTTAAAATTTGGATTAAAAGTGTTCCAGAAAGCCAATCTCTTCAAGATCAACGAAATTACTGTGAACAAAACAGAGCACCAGTTATCCCTCCCATTTCATCAAAAGGAACTGACAGTTTTATTTCAACAACGTTCGCTCCAATTTTATCAGCCACGTCTAAAGATGCTGATTGTTGTTCCTGTAGTGCACCGCAAAAAACCTCATCAAAAGATCAAAAAATTAATAAAGTGTTTGTTGAAACTGATATATTTGACATTATTATGGGCAATTATCTGTTTCGAGTTCCAAGTGGAAATTCGCGTAGTGCCTCTCCAACATCTCGCCCAGAAGATGATCCGACAATAAATGAAATCAGGAAATCAAGACGACGACGGTCATCGTCAGTTCGTGATGAACATTCTTCAGCTTCCAACGAAGTAACAGAACATGAAATTATTGAATTTCCTTCCGGATCATCACACAAAGAAATCCTGGAGAATGAGTTGGCATCTTTGCCCATAAACAAGGAGCTCACATTTCTGAAAGAAATTCCATACAATTCATCCGTGTTGAAGTACTCTTTTGTATTGGATAATCTAACGCACTACACAACATACTACATTGGAATTCAGGCTTGTCGGTAAGTGAATTTATTTTGAATTAGCAGGTTATATCTAATAACAAACTATTAACGATTTTAATTTGCATGTCAAATTTCTCATGATTTAAATCCATATTTTTGTAACAGTGCGATCGATCCCAACATTACTGAAAATGATACTCGAACATGCTCTGAAATTATTGACGACCGTGTTCAAACGGCTAAATCCCCCACGGCTGACAATATTGATCCTCGAAGCATTTCTTGGTAAGTCGTTTCATTACAAATATTTATTAGATTCTAACCTATTCTAATCTATTAATATCCTTTAATTGAAAGGAATGTTACGGATTCTCATCGCCTCCATCTACGTTGGGCTGAACCCTTACATCCAAATGGGGTGGTGATGGCTTACGTAATCGTTTTACAAAAAGTAGGTGCCAGCAAAGAAGAATATTGGGGACGGAAATGTATAACACATGCAGAATTTATTAAGAATGGAAAGAACTATAGTAAGTTTATTTTGAAGTATTTGTTTTTGACACCGTTTGTTTTTAAATTTTCATCATAAGTTGACCGAGTAATGAATTGTTAATTTTCACTTTTCAGCATATTCGGACCATTTGTCACCTGGAAATTACAGTTTAAGGATTCAAGTGGCTTCATTAGCTCAAGATTCAGAGTTTAGCGCAGTACAATATTTCTACATCGAAGATATCAATGAGACTAGTCCTGGGTTTTGGGTATTGGTGATCCTACTTCCACTGCTGCTGATACTCTTGATTGCTGGCTGTTTTGTGTATTGGATATGGACAAACTATCCACCGACACAACTTGTTGTTTCTCCAAACCCAGAATACATGCCAAATGGTAAAAATATGGTTTAACCAGACTTATGTATTTGTATGCGGTGTTATGATATTTCCGAGTCATGCTAAGTTCAAAATAAGATAAGGAACTATTTACTTGTGCAATAATTTAAGAAATATTCGTAAACAATGTTTTTATACTTAATTAAGATGATCAAGTTTTTTCCTAGGGTTTGATCGCTATAATAAATCTATCCATTATATTCTGTCAATCTAATTGTTTTTCTGCTTTTATAATTTTCAGTGGATATTGCAGAGGAGTGGGAAGTACCCAGGGATAAAGTTCGCCTCCTCAAAGCACTCGGACAAGGCTCATTTGGGACAGTTTATGAAGGGAAGCTTCTTGACTTCATCGTAGATCAGCCTGATCTATTTTGTGCTGTGAAAACAGTTGCTGATGATACCCCTAGCGAAGAAAGAGCCCTGTTTTTAAAAGAAGCAGCACTTATGACTAAACTAAACTGTAATCATGTCGTTAAGCTATTGGGAATCGTTTCCAAGAGTCAGCCAATTTTTGTTATAATGGAATTGATGGAAAATGGAGGTAAGTTATGTTTTTTATGATTTCAAGTTTTTATTAATTTTATTACATAAAGACTACGTAGAACTTGTGAACTTTCTAATTTTTCATGTCATACTGGCCACTTAATTATTTATTTTTATTTTTAAAGACTTGAAACAATACTTGCGGTCTCGGCGTCCCGATATCGAGAAAAAAGATACTGCTCCTCCTCCAACTCTCAAGGTTTGTTTAAATTCTAAATAAACGCAAGTACTAAAACAAATAAATATTGATGCGTGAAATTTATATCATACTTGTTTTCTATCCGTAGCAAATTTTGCGAATTGCTGCAGAGATTGCAGATGGAATGTCATACATTCACAGCCAGAAACTAGTACACAGAGATTTAGCCTGTCGAAACTGCCTTGTTCAGTAAGCGTGTTCCAAGTACTTTTATTTTATTCAAATTAAAAAAATGCCCTAACGAATAACAAGTACATATTTGTATGAATAGCTGTAATATAGTTCATAAATACTGAATCTTTTAATTTGTCTCGTCCTCCTCTTGTGTCGGTAACACCATTTCCTTTACATCAGCCATGTTAATAACAATGGGATATTTAACCCCTTTCATTTTCATGCGAGGTTTCTCTGTTCCAAAAGTAATGGGTGAGACCCCTGCCAGTCCCAATTCAACAACCTCTTGTTTTTCCTCCTTTGAGCAACGCAACCACGCAGCGGGGGATATTTGTTTGTTGAAAGGGTCAACCTTCCTCCCTTGTCGTCTCACCCGAGCTTGCAAAAAGAGATGAACCTGAAAAATAGTCAATTATTAAATAATGAAATACTATTGAATCTTGATAGGCAGGAAATTATTACTAGCAACAGAGCCTCCAACTTTTCAGCCTCATCCACATTCACACGAGGTATGACACCAACTTGGATGCACTTCCTCGATCCATCAAAAATTGCTTTCCCAGGGTTTGTTAAATGAGGAGTACGTGTATGTACATCGGACACACCTGAAGGTTGACGGTTCTTTCCGATGTATCCCTGGATTGTCTCATCCACTTGCGGTGTCTCGTTTAAATGTCGACAGTACTCAGTGGGTGACAGTTGACCATATTGTTCGGTTAGGGGCATTAATGCAATGTAAACACATGCTTTTCTACTTGCTTCATAATCCTGCCTTGTTCGGAGTTGCTTGATTCGGTCAGCTACTTCTTTTTCAATTTTATGGGGGTCAGATAGTAGTTTCTTTGGAGGAAGTAACTGGGGCGGTCGCTGGAAGTTTGACTGAGTGGGGATCGGAAATGGCAATATTTTGCAATCCTTCTTGTTGAGATGGAGGAAGGCGACACAGTCTGGTCCACACTTTGCAGCTCGGCAGAGAAAGGGAACCCCTGTCACTCCATCCGTAATGGCTTTCTCTTGGTCTGCAATAGGAAGAGTGAGGAACGTAGATGCTTCCCTTCTCATATTTAGCCACCTCATCCTTGACCCGTCTTTGGCAATGTATTTTTGACCAGATAGAGCGTATGCCTATTAAATGAGGAACAAAAAACTTGATTATTATTATACATGCATAAAAGTATTCATTTGGAACCTACAATTAATTTTGATTCCAACTCATGTGCTGATTGGAGATTATCCTTATGAACTGTTCCCTTGAACTCCCACAATTTCAATAAGACTACAGTCTGCCCTCTTTGTCCTGCTTGACCCAAACAAGAGGTGTTCGGGTCTGTAAAGTGGTGAGGGCCAACACATATTCCGTTTCCATTACATCCGATGTAAAACGATACGTTTTCCCCACCCTTCATGACATAATCAAATGCGTCAGCAGCTGAGGTAAACCTCCCACCGATGGTGGCGACTAGGTAAACGCTACAAGGGCCCGTCACACGTGCCACTTCTGCGGTGCAGTATACATCCAACCTTTTAACCCACTTCATGCACAATTCACGGAAATTAGCATGGTGGGGCAGGACAGGGTCAACAGTTCTCAACTGATTGAGTTGGTTAGTGTGGAATGGATGAAGCAGCTTCATTTGAGATTGAGACCTGAAACATAAATGTAACTGACACTGTTTTGTCCAAATAATAATTATTGATTGTGTAAATAACTCACAATGTATTGATATCAATAATGGTGTGGTTGAGTAGGATGTGGAATTTCAGCATGGCTTTATTCCCTCTAATAACTAGTCGACAAGTAGGGCAAGTGTTTGAGGGGAGTTCACGGTCTCTATATAAAATGAAAAGATTTTGATGCACTTATTTGTTACAAAAGTATTTGTATTGATTACTTACGGGTTGGCCGGACAGTTTTCGTTCTCATGACCTTCACAGTGGTGCCGGTATCCAAACCCTTTTCCACAAAATTTGCATAAAAACTTGAGTGGTTTGGTGGTCTTCCTGATTGCTGTGGGTGTCCTTGGTTGTTGTCTCCAACTGCAATCGATATGGTTCATTTTTATAAACATAATATATTAAACTTTAGTACTTACTCTTGAGTTACTGTTGGGATGGGAGGAGTAGGTGGCGGAGTTTCAAAAATAACGCCAACATCATCATCATCCTCTGTAGCGGTCGGTGTGGGCGTGGTTGACAAGAGTCGTGTCTGTCTCTCTCTCGCAGCAGTGGGTGTGTATGTGGCGGATGGAGGGTGAAATAAAGGAGGACGGTGGAGACATTTCCTCTGGTGGCGTCTCAAACCGATTCTGAGAGGAAAGGTTGCATCACAAGGTGACCATTTGCACCTAAAAACAGTAGTTCCCCTGCAATTCACATTTCAAAATAAATCCTCCTCAAATAAATAATCCATCATAATAATAATTAAACACTTACTCCTTACGCTGCATTTTCGATACTCTGTCCGACAACCTTATATCTGACCTAGCACTAAGTAAAACTACGACTAGTAAACAAACGCTAAAAACAATTAAATTCAATTTTAACAATTGACAAAAAATGACTAAAGTTGCACTGGTCAGAGTAAGTGGCGGGCAGTATTTCCCGAGCAACTCATCTGGCAGGTATGATAAATATCGCAAGTTGTGTTTAATTTTGGGTGGGATGGAGATGGGGAAGTTGCACTCATTATTATAGAGAGACTGAAAGATCAGTCCGATCGTCAATTTCATTATTGGTAGTACTGGATCTTTTCTAAATAATTACTCAAACAACACAATTAATATTTATTATATTTGTAAATAGCCGGAGTTTAACCGTTAAAGTAGGTGACTTTGGAATGACGAAAGAAATTACTGATTACTACAGAAAACAAACTAGAGGGCTGTTGCCCGTCAGGTAATACCCGAATTTCTTTTATTTATCAAAGCTTCGTCCTAAAATGAAATGATCAATAGTAAATTTAAAGTACTTATACCTTAAGGTGGATGGCTCCTGAATCTTTACATGATGGGGTCTTTACAAGCCAGTCTGATGTCTGGAGTTTCGGAGTAGTTTTATGGGAAATGTCCACATTGGCTGCACAACCTTATCAGGTATTTGAGTGAAATTGACTTGTGGGAAAATACGAATGGAATAAAATACATATTTATCACATTTTTTTACTTATGTTTTGCAGGGTCTGAGCAATAGGTAAGTTGATATAATTCATTGGAATAAAGGTAACAGGAACAGCTTCTAATCAAAATTCATTTATCCATTAGCCAAGTGCTAGACTTTGTACAATCAGGAAGAGTTATGGATATGCCGGAAAAGTGTCCTCCCATTTTATATGAGTTGATGTCTGGCTGTTGGCAGTATGATCATCGCCATAGACCAACATTTGTCGAAGTTGTAGAGAGGTTTGTTATTTTTACGATACTTTTTTATGATTTTTACACGAGATTATTTAGTTTATCTATCGTGGATTTTGTTATATTTTCAGGCTGTCACCATACTTAGAACCATCATTTGCTCAAGCATCTTTTTACCACAGCCCTGAAGGGTTAGAATACCGAACTCGGGCATCTCTACGCCCAACAGAAGAGGAACCCGTAACAATTCGCACTCCACTAATAGGTAAGGTTTTTGTGAAACGGCTGTATTTAGTTATCTCATCGTCTAAACAAGAACAAATATATTCTGTAAATATGCATGTGGTTTATGGAGACATTTAATATTTGTTTAATGCGTACTTTTTATAACTTTCAGCTACTTTTGATGTATCTGACGACGAACTAGATTATGACTCTGACGATGATCACCAAGGGCTAAGTCATCATATTGTTGACGATCTAGAAGACATTTCTTCACGACGTCTACTAAGCAGTACTCCAGTCAAACCACTTGTGGAGCCAAGTACAAGTCCTGCAAACAAAACGCTGATAGAAAATGCTGGTGTTGGTTTTCTACCTCTTTCTTTCTCAGGGAATAATGGTTCATTTTTAAAGAACGCAAGCCCTTCTTCAGGAGTGTATCCCTCTATAACTGCCTCAGATCAACCATCCTCTCTGTTCTCCAACCCTCCGCTTTACACACGTAATAATTCGTCCCAACCCCAACCGCCACCAGCACCAACAACAAACTCAAACAACAACTACACTCAAGCTTTATTTGCCACACCCTCTTCCTTAAGTTCTACTAATAGTGTCCCGGCCTCAACATATTCTATACCCCTTACTCCAGTAAAAGTTAATGAAGTAAAACCTAATAAAAGTCGGCCACCCCCAAGTAGAAGTCCAATCACTTACACTTCTGTCACACCTGTGAGCCAAAACAACGCAGCACAAATTTCAACAAGAAGTAATAGTGGATCGGGAGCAGATTCTAATGAAAGGGTATGGCGATAATTCTGAATTACAAGTCTAAGTATTAATTAATAGCTGATCTTTATTATTATTTCTAAAGATAAAGATACAAGTATTAAAAGTCAAATCCATTAATTTTATATATTTCAGGAATCCAATGAAAGTTCAAAATCGTTTGGTGTAAATTGTTCGGGCGATAGTCATAAGTTTGGTAATGGAAGTAGTACAACAGGGGGAAACGGGTATATTTTGCCAGCGACGGGGAACCAACGAAATAACAAGACGACACAGTTTTAGATATGTTATTATTATCGGCTGGTTGAAAAGTAGATTTTATCATTTTCCAGTCTTACACTAAAGACACTCTCGCACTGAACTACAATAGGGTACAATTGCTAAGAATCCGAAGCGTACTGGATGTCCTTAATTGGGAATTATAAAACCAAAATTGGCATTACGCACGACTGATGAATTCACTTTTGGAGTACTGGAACATACTCCACTGTTACATTCGGCACTGTCAGAAATATACGTATTCATTCAGCTTCCAACAGGTCGAGGATTTATTCAAGCTTAAGATGCACACGATGCGGATGATATTATTGTCGAAATGAATTGCTGCTATTATAGTTACATGATGATTCTTGTACGATCCTCGTCTGATATGATCTCAGTATACATTTATATACATGTAAGTGACTAAATCGTATGAATTTAGATAAAATAATAATGTGTATTGGTTTAACTTCATAATTAAATAGTATATAAAGAGATACACAGTTTCAATTCAAAATAAAACTGCGAATCTTTAACTGATGCGGGTAATTATATTTTTTGGTTGTTAAAAATATAACAGTTAGTAAACGATTAATTATTGGTAGGTTGAGTCAATAATAACTTTGAAAGGAGTTGGTGGAAAATTATATTTAAATATATATGCATACATACATATGTGTCTACTAATCGACTACAAAGTCATCCATTTCATGTCCGTAGTTTAAACCGGTATTTATTATTCAGCTACAATAATTTTCTTGATTCTGCTGGGCCATGAACAAGTGATGAAATTTAAAATAATGTCATAAGGAATCTGTACAAGATGATTGTAGATTATTTAATGGATAATGATTTTGAATATTTCATATCTGTTGTCAATTCCATGTCGTTCCTTAAAGAGAAATTTGGTTACTTTTGATTTATTATTCTAGAATAGTGTGTATTTATATATACTGCATATGTTATATATTCTCGAGTGTACCGGTGGAATTGCTTTAATGAATTGTAAGATAAGTTCTTATCATTATTTGAACGAAAAAAAAACTTGGATCTTTTTGAGTGAGACATTAAAGTTTCATTCACTACACAGTTGTTGTTGTACAACTTTTATAGATTAATATATTACAAGACGATTATTAATTACTATTCAAACCAGGTACAGAGTTATATTTTTTAAATTAATATGAAAAATAATATGAAACAAAAAAGAGTATTCTATTAAAAATTGCAATCATTGAAGCATTACCTCCAGACAAATATATGACGCCTCTGGTTGTTAATTCTTGTGTACAAATTAGTTTCGTAAGTTGTATTTGTATTACCTATGTAACTTAAGTATTGCGTAAATAATGCAATAATAAAAAAGATGCTTGTCCAAAATGATAAGTAGCCAAAACTTTTGGTTTATATAACAGTAATAATCATTTTGCTCTGCCCATTTCATATTCTCGGAATACCTTAACAAATCAGTCCTTCTCTTTTGAAGGCCACGTAGATGTTTGCATGAAAAATTCGTGGAAAAATCTTGATTTACCAGCGAATAGTGCGAATTTCTTGAACCGGATAATAAATTATATCACGGATCATACTTATTTAAGAAATGTTGATAACTACGATAATTAATTTTTCACAAGTATTTATTTTCTCATAATTTCAACTTGGTAGACCATTTAAACAAACAAAACACAGAAGAATGATGTAATGATATAAAAATATTATTTCTTTGGCACAATAAATCAGAAAGGAACTCGGAAAGTTTTTGAGCTCTGCCAATTCTACTCTAAGAATTTGTACAACATTTGAATTTGTTAACTAATCGAAGGCTAGAGTTTTAATGAGCTAGACGCAAATATGACTTAATGCCATCCCCATCCGTGAGAAACCGTGACGACGGGGCCGGATGACCATCCCCAACCTCGGGACCTGGGAGCCCAACCCCATCCGTAGTGTCGGTGACCACCCCAACCTTTGTTGAACAATTTGGGTCCAAGGAGGGAGCCAAGGAGGAAACTTTTTCCAAGGATCAACGGCAAGGTTGGGTCATATGGCGACCTCTTGGCACGATGATGAGCCTCAACTTCGGCAGTGTGCTCATATTCTTTAGAAACAATTGCAAAAATTAATAAAGAGTCCAAGTAAATTACCCTCCTCGGAGAAGTGAGTGCACTGTGTTACGCTTTTTATATTTTACTGACCATTCTCATGGCTGAAGACATCGGCCACTGCCAACGCGACGAGGAACAAGGTTGCGAACGTGATGAATCCCTTCATTTTGACTGATTTTTGATGATTAGATATTACAAGAAATGGTTAATGAACGTATAGAAGTCAGGACACCAACTGATACAGATTTCCGAAACGCAATCCTTTTTATACATTGACGCTCCAAGAATGGAATGAGCCAGCCAAAATTGCTCAAGAGTCTGCACAGATTGGTATGCAGCCATCGACCTGCGAGTCCTCATATTTCACCAAAGCCAGAAGCCATAAGGGGACGACGGCGTTGAACTTATTTGCTCCAATGAGGAACTTGTTGCGCTATTGTTAGAACTAGATTACTTACATTGACACAACATTAGACCCACACCACAAGAATTTAAAAAGAGCACTTATCGTCGCTGATACTGATACAGTGAAAAAATATCTAGGTACGTGTGTGCGGAGGCTTCATTATTCCACCAATCAAAGCTCTGCGTGACCCTCCTCCCACCCTTCACATCAAATCACATCTTCATGACGCCTAAATCAATTTATCTAGGTATCTATACTTTACATGGATACATACAGAAAGTCCATTTGATTTTGACATTTGCATTCCACTTGCTCCCTGTTGCCAAAATCTAAACTACATACAAAACTAGATTTGGTGTGTGTCATAACATGATGATGTTGGCCATTAGTTCTGCAGATAAATATTAAATTGTATGTATAATGCATCTGGTAGATGCGAGACGACTTCCTATTTGCTAGATTATGAGTTACAACAATTACTGAACTACAGCCTCAAGTCTGGTTAGTTTTGTGCTCATCAACATTTGTCTGTTAATTTTTTGCTTCAATTTCATTTTCATTTGGTCTATTCTAATTCTAATAATGCATATTCATCGCTGTAATAAATCTAGAAAAAAACTACGTGCAGAAGACGCATGAGCACATCAATTTTTTACCCGAGTCAGGGCTTATGGAACCGTCATGTCCGTCCGTCCGTCCGTCTGTCCGGCACGATAGAGCCAAAACGGCTGAACCGATTGACTTGAAATTTTTACCATATGCATATTGGACAAAGTTAGGAAACGAGTTCGAAGATGGGCGAAATCGGTCAAGTGGTTGACCGGTGGGGGTCATCGGAGTGGGTGGGGTATTATGCACCAAATTTCAAAATTGTCGTAGAAGGCTAAAATTGGGTACAGAGGTTGCTAATGGCTCCTAATAGATAAACATGACTTTAAGTTTGAAAAATTTTCATCTTGAGGGACCCTATGGGATGACCCATACTGATTTTTCAAAATCGTCGTAAAAAGCTGAAATTTGGTAGAGAGGTTGCTAATGGGTCTTAATAGAAGAATATGACGTGGAATTGGTAAAATTCTTATCTGGAGCGACCTTATGGGGTGACCCATACCGATTTTTAGAAATTACTTTAAAAACATTAAATCCGGCAAGGTCATACCTAATGGCTTCTCATGAAAGGATATGAAGTTAAAAGTGAGCGAATTTTAACCAGAGTGACCCTGGAGGGTAACCCATACCATTTTTTAAGTTTAATTTTTTCCATCTGAAATTTGGTACGAAGGCTAAAAACCACTTCTTGATAGCAAATATAGCTGTGGAAGTTCAAAGTGGTAATATTATGTCGGTCAATTCGGAGAAAAATTTAGAAACAGCTAGGACTCACGGAGTCAGGGACTCTGTCCCTGACTCGGGCTATATGGAGTCTGCACTGTAGGTTTTTTTGTAAATAATCAGACATTTCATCATAAGAGGACTGTGATTGGGAGGTTAAGAATCGCTGCTGGGCGTACAGTGTGTGTACTCTGTTGCGTGTTTGTGGGTCAAATGTCAACTGATTGAGAAAATTGAAAACTGAAAATTTGAAATGGGTTGGAAGGAAGACTGCGTATGTATTTTGCTGCGTGCTCTGCATTATTTTAAATTGCATACGATGAGCGAATGCTGAAATTATGAAAAGCGGACAGCTAACTACTTAAATACATATGCTGATTGCGAATTGTGGACAATTATATTAATTACACACCTCAGAGGAATTCTGAGGACCAAAGACTTGATGTGCGTGAGAGGAACATTTATTGACAGGCGACAAATATTAGTTGATAAATGCACCATAGAAATTAATATTTCGTTTTTTTCTATTCTGTCCTTGTGGGGGTTACTTGGAGATTAATTTGATGTTACTTATAATTTGTAATACAGGTTGTGTCCAAGATTGTTTGACACTTTATCACTGTATTAAATATAGGGAGAAGATTTACCTAAGTATTAAGTGTCAAGTATTTAATGGTGGCATTTAATTTCAGTTTATTGGACTTTATGAGATTAAAAAAAAGAATTGACACTTATTTTGTAAGGTGTCAATAATGCGAAAACATGGTTAAATTCGAAGGTGAAGTTACAGTAGCACAGTCTTTAGCTCGAAATATGTACATACATATGTATGTACGAATAAATGTATGTAACGTAGCTAGTATTTATGTAGGTAAAAATAAAGTATGGATAAAGTTAAATGCGAACGGTGTCATTTATAGGGTTGAAGATTGATATGGTTTTAGAAATTCTAGTGGACCTTCTTTAAAATTAAATAAAAAACGTTGTTCTGAAGTTAAGTGATTGAGATAATAAGATGTCTGTCATTAAAAAGCGTTGTAACAAATTATCGTGGAGCAGTGGTCTGTTAATTTTGCAATGACCAGGGGTCACTATGACTGCGACATTATGCAGTCAAATCGGAAATTATTTGCTAGTTTTGGCACGTCACTTTGACAAAATGTGACTTCTTCAGCGAGAAAATTGTCGTTGAATGAGTGACATTATTTTCAGGACCTCATTTGTTTGTTGAGCCGCATCAGTTAGATTATGAATCACTGCCACCATGTGATTAGGTTATGAAAAACGAGTTTACGTCTAATATAAGTTATTATGTTTTCAAGGGGCTGAAATATTCGGCGTAAATAATTTGATTAAATGCGTGCTTCCCATGAAGCTCACGTATAAGAAGGAAACAAGTTGTTCATGCAATCAGCCAAGTCAAATGACATAATCTACCGTATCTTAAACGCAATTATAATATTGCCCTGATTGCCAAATAACAAAAAAGCGTGAAAATATACCTAAGACGATATGAGCAATATTTATATGATTTATTCAATATATAATTTATCGTGACATCGATAAAATCAAAACTTTTAGCCTAATTGATCATCAGTGTAGTGTCATGCTATTTTACATATTTTCAAATTTAAGATTTTCTCCAATCTAATGTAACTTTAAGGCAGATTATGACTTGACATTTCTGGGTTTTGACCACCTACAGTTGACATTTTAACCGATTTAACATATTGTAGCATATTTATATTTGCATTTATAGCGTGTGTCTGATTGCCAATCAGTTTGAAATTTGGGCGACTGAGTGACTAAGATGGACGGAAGACGGAAATTGTGTCTGATTGATGACGTGCGACGGAAAGAAAATATTTACATTTATCCTCACTATCATTGTCACAAAAATGAAAATGTATGTTCACATGGAATGCATAGCGTGCGGCCAAAATGTGAGTCTTGACTTTACAATGAACAGAGTACATTGTAAAGAGTATAATTTTTCAAAGTTTGTAGATTAATCTCCCCAACAACCCGTATAAGTAAGTCCCAATATGTGCATGTACATGCATAGGCATATTTTAGCGTCATTGCTCATAAAATGCTAGGATCGGTTAAAGGGCATACAGGGGTATGATACATATCAAAGTGTAGGTCTAATTGTGTCCATCATCTGGTACATATATGCAGTCGCGATATTCGAAACCTCGTTTAACTTGGAAAACGGCAGGCGCATAAACTTTTCGTTGTCCGTGGTTTCTTCTAAGGGGGTGATGCATGAGTATTTTTTTAATTAAAAAATTAAAAGTTCGGGAATTGCATGCAATTTTTTTATGCAATGCAATGTTTGGTTGTCGACCATATCTTTAATAAATAATGTGGCAAAAAATATCTTGCCGAAATATTAGGCAAGATATTTTTTGCCACATTATTTATTAAATATATATATATGGTTGACAAGGAGAAACCACGAACAATAAAAAGTTTATCCGGATAACGGTGTTCAAAAATAAATAAGTTGAGTGGAGCATGAGTTGGATGATTAATGGGCAAATAAAATAAGCTGGGACCACTTACAATAGAACCTTTTTTCAAGTTACACCGGGATCGACTAGCGAGTTACGTCAAAAAAATCAAGCCAAAAATTAGAAGTCACGTGACACTTATCTTTCCGTTGAATGGCCCTTTTGAAGAAAAGTATTGGCGGTCAAGTTCAATTTTTGAGGAAATTTTCTCTTGCTTTTTTCTCCACGGGGCGAAAACCAAGGCGCTCGTGTGAACTTTGACCTCTATTGTTTTTCTTCGCAAGGGCCATTCAACGGAAGGAGAAGTGTCACGTCCTAATTTTTGGCTTGATTTTTTGACATAACTCGCTAGTCGATCCCGGTATAGCTTGAAAAGAGGTTGCATTGTTATTAATAACAATTGTCATTATAATTGTCATCATATTGTGAACATGACAATAGTCATGTTCACAGTGTGAACTTCACACTTACTGTTACCTTACTTCCATAAGTTAAAAATGTGCTAAATTCCACAAAGGGTCAAGTTATGAAATAAATTGAAATGGGATGCACCCCTCCACATTCCACAAGGGCACGCCGAGCTATGCAGTAAGGTAACCTCTCTGCGTTTTGAACATGGTCATGGGAAGTTTTCGTTTAAAAGGATTTTCAAAATTGTTCTCCATGGATCACGAATGCCGATTTTATACAATTCGTATTGAGTTTTAGTCAATTTTAAAAGGGGTCCCATGTTATTATTATTGAGTATGAAGTGATGTATATGGCAATCTTGAAAGTAATGGCTGATTCGGGCTTTATGAAGACTGCACATTGTAGGTTTTATAGTTGATAGTTGCAAAATCCTCTGCAGGCGAAGTGCAGAATCTATTAAATATTTCCAATTTTCCTTCATATGGACAGTCCTCAGTAGGAAGTTCCTTCTCCACACCTTTATACGGAATGGAGAGCAGAAAAACAAGTTCATACAATAAGGGAACACCTAATAAATAAATACAGCAAAGTAATGAGCTTGCCAAGCATACATTGAATACAAAATCATGCAATTTTCGACCTATTCATTTATTGCATCGATTACAGGCAAATGCCAGCGCCACAACCATTCATATACTAATTTCCAACATGTCTGAGCGAATTGCTACAACTTTTGTCTTGTCAGTTGTTGCAATTTCACACGTCTCATCATTACATTTTCATTCTGCGTTAACCTGTTGTTGCTTCTCTTAAACTTCAGCAAGACGTATTACATATTTGGTACGTACGTGCATAAATATGTAAGTTAAGCCATAACAAGTATTGCATCAATGTTATCTTTTTTTTATTTTGTACAACTTTTTGATTGAGTTTTATGACAAATGTGTGACCCATTATGCAATCTCGTGAGTTGTACTTGAAGGGATGAGAACGATAAAGTATGAGATTATAACAATTAAGGCTGAAACCAACGAGAACAAAGAAAAATTCAAATTCCGCAAAATACTAAAAATCCCTTTTGACAACTGAATCTTCTGATGCAGTGAGCTAAATTAGTGCTGGAGATCGAGTATCGAGTATACAAAGATACAAATAGGTATGTACCCGTACGCATGGGCAGTTAGCTTGTATTTGTTAAGTTAATGAGTTAAATTGAAACGTTCCGGAATAAGACTATGCAAATATGTAGATGGTTCACAGCAGGGACATTGAGAAGGTTCATTAGTGAAAAATTGATACAAGTAAAGTTCAACACATATTTCGAGATTGCAAAGTTTTGATTTATTTCAAACTACTCTATCACCAAATATACAGAGACTGACAATGGAACAATTCACAGTGTACAGAGGATATATTATTTAGTGTTGTGGTAAATTAATTTGCAAACGTAAATCGTAATAATTACAATACAGCGAAGACAAGACAGTTTTGAAGTATTAGTTTTGCATAAAAAATACAGAATTTTGGCACTTTTGAGAATCGTCTTTTTCGGTTCACATCAATATTTTCACATAAAATAAACACAAATAATCCAAATCTACAATTTCCTTCTAAATGCATCTACAGAAGTTACTTTTATGTATTACATCGATCCAATAATTATGGTTCAGCTTTAATTTTTTGAAACCAATTTAATTTAAATTGCAAAATTTTCGTTTTGTTGCATATTTCGCAGCTTCATACATACATACGAGTAGTCAAGGTCAATAAACAGTCTAGTGATTGGAGAACACTTAGCAAAATAAACAGATTTTAATTCAACGCATGATTTAACAAGTGAGGCGACAGAAATAACGCTTCTGTACACGATGTGTGTACATATGTATCTGACTGAAAATCATATACATATTTATGTCTACTAACACGTATCTTTATAATGATTGTAGATCAATTACCACAAATTAGCAGTCAGTCAATTTTTCCTTAACTTTATCTTCGATTAACAAATGCATTGCACGAAAGCTTTGTTTTCCAAGAACAGTAATTAAATAGAAGAGCAAAAAATACAACATCCACAAATCACAATAAGAATATAATAATAATAATCGGGTAGGAAATAACGGCAAATTCAGTCCAGTTCAAAAACAGGTTTCAAATATTCCTAATGGACTAAAATTAATATACATAAACATGCATGATAATTATAGCGCAATTGTCATAATGTCAACTATCATCATCAGTACAAGTATCCTGCTATTTCGAATCGTCCGATATGTGTTTGATTGCAAAAATATTTTACTTGATCTCCACATTATTCTTTTGACTCAATAACACTACATACCGTATATTTTATATATCTAGTTCTCGTTCCTTAGCACTATTAAGCACTATTATCAGTACCAACCAATATTATCTTATAAGTACCACTACAGTATTATTTTAATAAGTTTACAAGAAAAACGTCTAGCGATGTATGCTTATGCATATTTATCCATAATTCTCATCCACAAATTCCAGCAAAGTTATCAAAATATTTTTCATCATGTATCACGAGGAATTCTGATAATGAAGCGACAAAGTTACAACCTATTTATAATAATATTATCAATGCGTCTTTTTATATATTTGCTTCGTTTGTCATTTGAATTATAGTTACAAAATCTCTCGGCTAGAGTACGTATTTCAGCTTTTTATAACATAAACTAATCATTAACTAGGTTACAATAGTGTTTTTTTCAGTACTTTTTTATTTACTCGCCATAGCATGACGAGTAGGTTTCTATTATTTAAGCCAGTCTTTTTTTAAACGTTTTCAATATAATATCTTGACCCTTATACGTTTTCTAATATCTAAATAATATGACAATGCATGTTGCTTTAATTATGCCCAATAATTATAATCAGGTTGAATATTACAAGAAAAAAGATAAAACTACGCCCAAAGATTAACAACCTATTTGTGATGCACTGTAATTCTCTCTCATTTTTTTCCATCTATTTTGGAAACAAGACGAAACAGAAGAATAATTTGACTCCTATAAATTTTCTGATATACATTTCCAATAATCCAAGGCATTTTCCAAACATGCACTGGAAACGGGGATTAGTATCTCGGTAATCAGTTCAGTTTTCCTATTTATTATGACACCCCACTTGACTTGTGAACGCTTTTCCCCAAATAAAAAAGACGAATTCTGAAGTAGTAAGGACAAATTGTGTTATTAGAGACCATAAGATTCCCCCTATGATTTTCTTCCGCACATACATAAGCAACGCTGCGTGACTTTTTATATCGCTGCCAATTTTATATAGTAATCCTTCATTAGCGTTGACTAGTTTTCTACGCTCTCGAAAACAGAAGGAATCCTTGCTTCAACACTAATCCGAAATTTCATTGACTTTGATAACTCAGTAAATTTGCGATAATTAATGGTTTAATTTAGAATACGGCTTTTTAGCCAGAGTCAGGGCTCATTCTGTATGAATTAATCAGGGTCCATCAACTGTATTTTTGCAGGATTTCTAGATAAATTTCTATGCATAATAAACAGGGCGAGGGATTATATAAAGCCTTCGTGAAATTAAGCACACTATGCTTACTGCGAATTTACTAGATGAGGTCTGAAACTATAAGCGGTACCCAAGAAGATTAATAGCATAAAAGTCCAGCACCAAATACGGTATCCAAAAATTATGTTTTACATTTTATGAATGATAGATCCGGATATTTCAACTTGCTTGCCAGCAAAACTTTCCCAGCATAAGACACCCATATTATATTCCCAAACTTTAAAATCTTTTAAAATTTTTTTGGGAACTTATAAACTGACGGGACAATACCTAAAAATTCTTCAAGGATACAGTTGATAGACCCTGATATCAGTACGATAAGTTTTGGAATAATCAACCATATTCGTTTAGCAAGGCAAGGTACATACAAAAAATGTTTGAAATTCGTAGCTTGACCACCTCGGAAATTTCATTTTCACATCTCAAATTTCAAAATCGACATACATACATACATACATACATAATCGTAGCGTTGTTCAAATTTGAATATGACAAAACCTACGAATGCGACAGTCTTGGAGGAATATTGGCTTTTTTTGAAATTGGCGATGGAAATTCAGTTAGCAGTGCACAAATAAATGTTTATAAATTATTTTCGAAATAAAGATAAACGTTTAATTGAGTGCCTGCCTGCTTCGTGCATGGCTAAAGTAATATCAATAAATACGTAAAAATGTTTTGTCTCCTTCCAATCAAATATCACCATCACTCAGAATTAGTTACACAGGATTAGCACAGCCCATGGACGCAGCACATATAAAATCACGTTCGTGCTCCACACGACTCGAACTTTGTTGTCTATACCCCTAATCAAAATTTCGTACATAAAGTAAATGCAGGTTAAGCTAAAAATACCTAAAGTGCTTGATAAAACAAGATAGTTTGAATGAGAAATCACAGTTGATTACCACATGATAAGAAGGATACAAAAAAATTCGAAACACATATGACATAAATGACTTAGCAAATACAATCAAGCAAATATACAGATAAAATTGCCAAAAAAGTGTGATTTGTGTGCAGCAATAACATCGTTGTTTTAAAAATAAATACCAAGTAGCAACTTCAAGCACTTTATCATTCCAATTCCTAAATTTGCGACGCCAAATTAAAGGTACCAAAAAGTGCTAATCCGAGTACCCACAAATGTAGCAGGATATTTTGATGCGTCTCAATTTTTATATTAATCTATAATGCATGCTTGTGATTGTTTGGATAGCCAAGACTGATTGCATATTACAACTTATACAACTTTCTACCTGCACTACCAATACATATTTATAGACAACATAGTTTTGAATAAACTCGCGTCATTTTTACAACGTTAGAGAATACGTGATTAGTGAGCAACGACGCGCCGATTGACTGGTATATTCGGAATATTAAGGCCAATGACACATGAGATTGGTGACTACGATTTACATTTGCGAGTTGCATGACGACTTTACGAAATTAATTGAAGCTGTCTGTGTGTGAACGCTGAGGATTAACAAGAGTTGAAATTTTCATGCAGATCAGTTTGCTCTCTTCCAAAAATAATGAGTTCAGTGGGTACAGAGGGGTTGGCTGCTGCTCAATAGTTACGTCTCCAGCTATCCGTCATCGAACTGGAGAACATTCGTGTCCAAACAAGTGTCGGTCATAGTCGCTAACCAATTCTTTTATATGGGACAACTTTTTGTGCAAGTAGTTAAATTTCTCCTTAGCTTCTTGGTATTTTCTATCCTTCTTGCTGGCGTAGTACTCTTTTACTATTTGGTCTCGGATGTTCTAAGGATGAAACAGAACATTATAATTTTTAATGCGGATGTTGCTAACTTTGAGGCTAAGCCCCACACAGGCCTTAGCATTTACTCAACTAACCTGATATTCCACAGAGCCACGAACCTCTTCTCGCAGTCTTTCCTCCAATTGAGCAAACTTTTTTGAAACTTTCCCTATCACATCATGCAGATCACGGTACCTATGAAGTCAACAATAAAATAGGATCAATTAGAGTCATCGAGTTGGTGTAATTTTTAACTGCAAATTGAGCAAATCTCTGGTGCAATAATATTGTATTTAGCAAAAGTCTTACCGTGGATAATCACTGTTGAAGTCGTCTTTGTAGCGACTGGAACAATAACAGAAGTACATTAATTATAAAGTACATGAAAATGCAATGCATCTTAATTTGGCAAACGCTCAACTACGTGCATTTGTTAATCGTATTTAGTTATTTTTTCTCGTGTTTCATATCTCATTACGTAAGTGTTAATAAAAAGCAATGTAATTTTAATTATTTTACCTCCTTTGCTCGTCTGACTCGATGGCCGTGTATTGACTGTAAATATGTTATATAAATATACAAAGAATTTTCGGTAGGGCCAATAACTCTGAAGGCTAAACTACTCACGTTAAGTAAGGACAATCCATACAATCCTTTGCTGAATTATTGGTATGATCTCCTGCTTTGCGAGGTGGTAGTAGCTCAGGTCCCTTACTTTGAGCAGATTTGCGATTTTCCCGATCCTTTCTATCACTTTTGTCTTTATCTCGACTGCGAAACTCTCGTTCTCTGTCTCGACCACTGCCTCGTTCCTTATCACTACGACGATGATCACAATATTCCTCCTTTGCACCATGTTTTGAAGTAGATGGGGACGAACCATGTCCAGTTGCACTCTCGCTTTCACCATATCCACCAGTGGCCACAGAGACTTGGTCATTCCCAGGTCTCATGTCACAATCTCCCTTTTGTGGCTGGTTTAGTGGCAGAGAATCAATACCGTGACTTTCAGGACTAGAGTGCGGCGACAGGTACTCGCCTGATCCGTTCGTGGTTGAGCTCACACGATTACAGTTAGAAATGCTCATGGAGAAAGTGCCTTGGCTTTGGTTATTGGGTTTCGTGCTGGACAGGGATGCTCCATCCTGGAATGCAGCTCCTGTTGCAAACCCTGTCTCCTCATTATTATGATAATGTCTTCCGCTCGTGCTAGTACTACTTCCGTTTCCACTGTCAATAGAGTCAGTTTCATCAGAATCCATGGCCGCTTGGGTTCCTTGTGGGTCACCCACTTTGGAAGTCCAGGTGTAAGGAGAGAAACCCCCCATATTATCATCTCCAGTATGAAATTCGTCCCGCGGAGAAGTGTGATTATTATTATCTTCAGTACTGTAGTATTGAGGGGATAGTTGCCCGTCAGCATTGACAGAATTGCCGTGACCTCCGAACGAAAGGGCCAGCCCAGCATTCGGACCACTGTTGTTAGAGCTGCCGTTAATGCAACTGATGGGACTCAGCCGTTCGGCAACACGATTTTGATGCAAATGTGGGGACAGACCATCTCTGTCAGATCTCCCAACACTTAATCCTGCGTCTGAGCTAGAAAAAGAAGTTGATCCAGGGTTGCGAACGGGTCGCTTGAAATGTGACACGCGCGGTTTCTTGCTATTCGGCACATCCTCGTAACCACTAATATCTTCAAGTAAAATACCATCGGGACCAACAATCATGGGATCGGATGACATTGGACGTTTATCTCCGGGTCTGTGACCATTCTGTTGACCACCACCTGAACTATACTTGTTAATTCCGACGCCTGACTTAGTTTCAAAATGACTGTTGGAATATTGGCTGCTTTGATTATGCGATGGCGATAAATGGCCACCAGAGCTTGTGGAGGCAGTACTTCTCGGAGAGCACCCACTGACTCCACTGCTCACACTAGAATCAGAGCCAGGCGGCGTGAGGTTCTGAGGTTTACGTCTAAACAATGGGAAGTTTATCTTAGATAACCACTTAAAACCAGGGAAATTTCACCCCATAATGCCGGTCCAATACATATGTAGGTATATTGTACCCACCTCTTCATTAGCTGTCTTTCCTGTTCGGTGTAACAAGGCCAATCTTCTTGAACATCATTCCATACGCCCCGAAGAAGAACATACTCATTATTTTTAAAAATGGAAATCTGTTTGAGAATTGTCATCACTAGCTGCTTTTCTCGATCTTTGATCCCGTCTATATATATATATAAATTTATATAAATTAAATGGGATCTAAAGAACACTCAAAACTCAGATCTAATTTTATAATGCCACTTTAACCCGATCCTATCTAGGATCATTATAAGTTAAGACACATTTCAAGATTATGGCATTTATTGACTAATTGAGAGTTTGTAGAAGTTGGTAACAATTGCAATCACCCACAACATTATTTTAAATCTATTTAATCTTACCACGAGATAATCGACTTTGGAGTTCTGGCTTCTTAAAAGGTTTTATGCTTAAAAGATGAATCAATCTCTCCCTATATCAAACAAGGGTCGATTAATCTTAAATGTTCCATATGTTCGAAATTTGTTATATTTTGTGAATGTATCAAATACGCACTTTAATGGTCGTTTGGCAATATCCGCCGGTCCAATACCAGGTTTACAACTCCCTGCAGGTCTTGTATTAATTCCGGAGTTATTGTTTCCAACCGAGTTGAATCCGTTAAAAGTTCTATTTATTGACGAATTTGATGAAGAATGACCAAGGGACGACGCATTTGTAGTTTTTGTATTGGTAGATGAGGAATTATTCGGAGAGAATTTTGCATGACTAAATGGCGAAGTTTCGCGACGGTTTAATGGAGGAGGAATCTGATCCATCTTCTTCTTTACTTTTCTTCCTATGTCCGGTCCGTTTTGTTTAATTACTTTAGCACTGCGGAAAAACAAAATTTCAGCTTTTAAAGCTTATTGTGCATGCTTGATGACAGTATTTTTTAGAATCCAAAGCTATGTCACTTCATTGCAAACACAGAAAGAAATATGTACTAACAAAGGAACGAATAATGTTTACATGAGACAGAAAAAATACAAACAATACAAGAAGCATTGTTGAAAAAATTCAATGCATATTATTACATAAAACTAGTACAAAGTTTTTACCATTCTTGTTTCCTAATATCTTCTGCTTGGATAAATCTCTGTCTTGTTTCCTCATAAACATTGTCATTTGCTTTAACACGTATCTTAAATGGTAGTGCCCCCATGGAGTCGAGTGACCTGAAACAGCGTTAATATTATTAATTACAACTTTCTGCGTTGAGTATTTCTGAGCCACTGGCATTACTGAAGCAACAGTAAAATATTTTGGATGCTTTTAGTCAATCATGCATGAGAAATGGGAAAATACATGGAATTCTGTTAATTTATCATTTACTGGAGTTAATTTTTATATTATTTAAGCTTATATTTCTTCAATTACAAAAAATATTCCTAAAATCTGTGGCATGTCATTAAAGACTCGGGTTGTTAATAATTACTACATATGATGTTCCATCCGAGCAAACACTACTTGACATGTGCACGAAAGCCTTTACGGAAAAGGATATCCATCCATATGTGGTTACATTATTGACGAAAGAGATGTTGAATTGATTGGCACGTAATTACCTTGAGCTCGACTGTTGAATACATTCGAAACTCCCTTGCGGACCTTCAATATCGGCATTCGACTGTAAACTGAAGTCGAACACTTGACCTTGACTGCTGTGCGATGAGGGAATATTAATTCTCTGCAAATATAAAAAAGAAACTGAATTTTATTTTTAGTTTAATATGTAATATGTAAGTATGTGACACTAATTATCATGGATAATTTTTATTATCGTAAATTTTTAATAAAACAGCAACGCATGAATTCACCAGCAGAAAATTTGTTCAGGACGTGTACATAACGCATACCATTGATGCATTCGACTCAATGGAGTCAAGTGACCTGAAACATTGGGGTTTTCGGCAAAAAAATACAATGCCGGATTGGTAATTTTGATACAATCCGGCAAAAATTAGAAATTAGAAAATTAGAAATAATTTTCTTATATCAATGTCTCACAATAGTGTGTTAATAACTCTTCTAAAAAAGGGATCCTTATGGTTAAAGAGAAGCGTCCGAACATTTTTAAGCATTCTAACTGCAGAACAACAGGTATACAATTCGTTTAATTTCAATCTCGGTGCATAAAAGATGTCCCAAATCGGTAAACATTCTGCTAGCTTTCAACTTATCACTTAAATATTCATGAGTTCATGCGAATGTTATTGTACAAGATTAAATCATGTTAGTCAACAGTCACAAGTTTATTTGAGCAGTTAAAAGTGGCAGCTATAAAAATTTCGACACAGGAGAGCAACTCTAACGTAGCAAATGTGTCCCCGTCTAATCCAACAGCAATAGAGAATTATAATGTGTGGGCTAAATGAACACTAATTTCAAACATCTTTTCATATTATTAGATATTTGGCGATCGTTGCATTCCACAATTTAATTTTCACAAGACCATTATTGCCAGACTGCATCCTTCATGCTGCATATAATTTCATCTTGATCCAACAACTGATGAAGTATGGTGCACATGTTTCATCCCGTTGCAATAATTCTATTGCTTGATAAATCATCAAGTTTTGTATTCAAGTCTGTCAATTTTTACACCATAACTTTCTATTTTCGTGAAGCAAAATGTCGGCTTCACGGTATTACATTTCTATTCAGTCACCATTATATTGGATGATGACTATGGCAAAGCTTTGCAAAGGACGAAAGGTAATCACAACGACATGAAGGGTTGCGAAATAAAATGTGGTGGTTGCCATCATACTTAACAACTAGCACTGCATGCATACTAGTTTACTTTGAGCAATAAATTATACTGCACCAATTGGATTGCACTTTTGTGACTGTCAGCTGCCCTTATAATTTGCTCCCTCGTATTTATGGCCAAATTAGCACACTCGCAAAAGAACCAAATCTTGGAGTTATAAAATCAATCTAACAATGTGGCAAAGAATAAAATATTTCGAGGTATCAAGAGAGCGCACTTTAAATCAAGAAGTTTAACTTCATGTGCATGTATTTATTTAGATTTTTATATGCATTTATTGGGAATTATCTGGTCAACGTTTAATAACATATTTCGCACCCAACACGTTCATGCGCATCAGTGTTAATGATTGTGGGTTGTGGATTAACCTTGTGTCAGACTCAGAATTCAGATCAACTGCTAAAATTGATGTAAAATATGGACAGGCTTTTGACCGCTGGTTATGACACAATGAAGCTTTTTTGTTGAATTATACTTACAGTACTGACACCATGGTCAAGGTACTGGAATCATTTAATTAATTCATCACTGGGGTGAATATTTAAATATCATTTTACACATTATAACTTGAATACTAAAAATATGTGGGAGGCAGTATTTCAGTTATGTATGTATTTTAAAATCCTAATCACACCTCAACTATAAAAGCACCACTAAAAGCAGACCAATACGAATTAGAGTCAAAATATTCCGCATACAGATTATCCTATGACACAAATTATAGTTTGTGTCTTGCACCGAAATGTTAAACCCATTCATCATTTTGAATACATTAACCACACAATTCAGTTTCAATTCTTTAGAGTATCATTGTAACATATGCATGAAGGCATGGATATGCATACAGTATAACTATTATTCCAAGCCCGGACACCCCGCGGTCCAACCATCAAATATGTGGGGACAATTTTGCCATTGTTAATGCATCCTCCCTATCAAATTCAAATCTACATATGTACAACCAAAGTTGAGTTGTTTGATATATACTTTAATTACATAAAAAATGCAGACTGAGCTTATAAAAGCAGACAAACTCATTTCGAAAACCTAGCGTATACTTATTTTTGCCCACTTGGCTGGTTTCGACCGAGCAAGGTATCTAAGCTTCCTACAACTAAATTTCAATTTATTGTAGCCCTTCATTTAAATCGCCTTTTGAGAATGCACTTATACTCTCTAATAAATGCCATAAAACAAGTTACACCTGTTGCATCCAACAGTCCGTAGGTATAATACATACACCCGTTTACCTCTTCTGCAACGTCTCTCCCCAATATTTGCATGAATCAACAATGGTTTCGTGTTTAGGAAGCATCTAAATTACCCTTCATATGTATCATCTTAAGTAATAGGGAAGAACCTCATTGAATCGTTTCACGACAAATAATTTACCAATTACAAGAGAGCAGGCGATAGCATTTGCAAGTATTTCTGACTGATTAAGCTGAAACGAATCAAGCACATATTGAACATGCCCTAAAAAATCAAACGCGCAGTGAGAAACCAGAGTTTAAAATGCATTAGGCGCAGTTACAACAAATAATGATGACTACTGCCTTATGTGCATCTCAGGTTGGTAGACAGTTGGGGAATAAAACAATGTTAATGCCAAACCCAGTGTTCCCAGTGTAGTGTTATTTTGGCATTGCATTTTCATGATGTGACTTCACTGTAACAAATAACGGAACTATGTCCCAAATCGATAGATTTAATAAGGTCCTGTAACATAAATGGTCAAACCAATGTTCTAGTATGCATTGCATATGTACAAAGAATGCGCGCATCATTTTTAGCGGGTACAATTCAGCATTCTCCATTATAGAATCAAAATCAGTCGTCATTGTATCATATCACATTTCACCCTCGACTTGTCAACTTCCAACGCAAACACGACTAGTATAAACAAAATTTAAGTAAGACAACAAGTAGTAATGACATCCACCAACAAATGCCTAATATTTAGATATCTGCATTCCGCATCGTGCATAGTCATTCATCTACTAGAGCCCTACTTAGCTTAGTTATTGCATCTTGTGACCAGAGACACATTGAAATGAGGTCTCCTCTAGATTAGTAAGCGGTGCTGTAGGCTGAAGGGATGTTAAGAAATACAAACAAGAAAGAAGCACACAGAAGACGGCGAAGGTGTGAAGTCATAGCAATGATTTTTTGCAAAGTAAACGGTTCGTAATTTAGGAAATGTACTGCAGCCATCAGCAATTTCATCCATATCGGTGGTTAGGAATGATTGAAAAATTCTGCGCACTGAATTGCACGTTTGGCTGTGGGTTTGGACACGATAATCATTCATCGTATAGGCAAATCATTAATGGCCATACGTGTGACGGTAGGTTTAGCAGCAGTTTTTACGAATGAGAAAACCACACGTCCGTAGCTGTAATGGTGTCAATCTATGGAGATTTATTGAAGGACTAAAAAATAAAATTGGAATACGTGATTTCATACTGAATAGTATCAAAACGTACTCGATTTCTCTAATTTATTCAGCACAAAAATACACACTCGTCGCAAGTCGTAACCGCAAGAATAAGTACTCGAATACCCCTGATGGCATTATACTGTATTAAAGTATTTTAGATATTGGAGTTCAATTTGATCAAAATAGCCTAATATTCACAATACGATGCGAGTAATTCATAATAAACTTGAGCATTATTGATTAAGCTTGCTTAAAAGTAACTGCTAAGCATTTTTCTGTTTAATAAATAGTTGTCCCATTGTCAAACTTTCGACATTTTAAATAACTGCAGTTTCTTTAAATATTAAACGGCTCCCATGAATTTGAAGACATTGCTGCTTGCTGTCCGTGAGCGTAACTAATACTGCGATATCAGGACTGTATGCCAAAAAATTTCACACTTTTTTTTACAAATGTGCAATGTGCTCAAAAATACAGTAAACAAAGTTCGTACTATTATAGAATATGACTTGTAAACTAAGGATAATCATACAAAGTAAGTGTTTAGCAATTGTTAAAAAGCAGGGATTTCATGGGCCTGGCTAATGGAATTCAGCATTTAGAGTTTTTATTAGTCTCGAATCATACCAGACAAATTGTGCACCCTGTAGCATAATCTAAAGACAACCTATGCACGACGTAAATAACACCCCTCACGATTACCTTCTGCAAGTCTACGGGGAAAATACTGCAAGAGTATGCTGGTTCACAAGTCTACTAGTCCAAGTATGGTGTAGAATTTAGAAGTTGAGCTATAGATGACCACTACAACCGTGGTTGTCTGACCAGTTTATGCAAAACCATTTGACCGTCTTCGCCTGCCGTTAATACGAGTACGAATATGCAAAATTTAAAAATCTTTGTTTCCAATTTATATACTTCTCACGCATGCATGTAAATGCTCGTAAGGCGGTGTCTCCTATATTCATTATGCATGTCGTATACGGGGAATATATTGAATAAGTATGCAAATATGTAATATCACATGATTTACCAGACAGATAATTCGGACTGGGTGAAAAATATATTTGAACTTGTAGACTAACCGATGTGTGGATCTGAAATATGCAACTTATTCATGTGTCGTGCAGGGAACCAACGAATTGTTCCATTTTTAACTCGATAAGGGGCAACAATTATACAATATTAAAATATAGAAACGATTATAACCTAAAATCAATTGCATGAAAGCAGTTGTACAGATTCCTCAAAAATCCTGCTACACATATGTATAATATATATCGTACACATGTTGTTAACGTTAAATATTATTTTTAGACAACGTTCTTAATTATGCAGTGAAACTATGTACGTTGAAAAGTGAATGTTTTTCACGTCATTGGTAGGTTATGGCTCTCTAGAATATGGGCTCGATTTGGTTGGTTGGTTGGGATTTTCCATTTTTCCATTCCGTTTTCTTTCTTTCTCTCCCTCT